GTCTCACCTGAGACATTGCAGTATTTAAGTAAGGAATCACACTATGGGGTTTTGTTGAGTCTCACCTGAGATACTTCAGTGTTTAAGTAAGAATCACACTATGGGGTTTTGTTGAGTCTCACCTGAGACATTGCAGTATTTAAGTAAGGAATCACACTATGGGGTTTTGTTGAGTCTCACCTGAGATACTTCAGTGTTTAAGTAAGGAATCACACTATGGGGTTTTGTTGAGTCTCACCTGAGACATTGCAGTGTTTAAGTAAGGAATCACACTATGGGGTTTTGTTGAGTCTCACCTTAGATACTTGAATGTTTAAGTAAGGAATCACACTATGGGGTTTTGTTGAGTCTCACCTGAGACATTGCAGTGTTTAAGTAAGGAATCACACTATGGGGTTTTGTTGAGACTCACCTGAGACATTGCAGTGTTTAAGTAAGGAATCACACTATGGGGTTTTGTTGAGTCTCACCTGAGACATTGCAGTGTTTAAGTAAGAATCACACTATGGGGTTTTCTTTACTCTGCATTTTCAGAAATTTAAGAATATATATAAAAAAATAGAAAAATAGAATTGTTTAAAAATACAGGGTGTTTCACAATATATGTCACACATCTGAAGGCAGAAAGAAAAATTACAACAAAAGCTACATATACATTTTAAATATCATTTTAATCAGCAGATATTCAAAATTATTATTTTAAGTCAGATGTATCCAACATTCTCCATTTCAGTTTCTATGGCAACGATTTCCTAACATGTTATACTGCACGTGTTTTCCTTACCATTGTCCAAAATATCTTAAGAGACTCTTGTTCAGAAATTTCTGACCACTGCTTCGTACGTTTCACATGATACTTGACAGATTTCCTGTTTATATCTAGCTTTTTAGAACCCCAAAAGTGCATATTTATTTTTTTATTTAAAGACGCATTTAAATAAATGTCTCATTTCAGAACCACCGGTATGTGCTGACGTCCACTCCTCTCGCTCTTCCTTTCAATCAATTTTGCAAACTTAACCGACTCTGAATGTCAGTTGGCTTTAAATGCTGCAATGCTGAAATCTTGTATGCAGACACACTCAGTTCAAATCGAAAATTTCTAAATACACCTAATACACTTACATAGTCTCAATCCATTTCCCTAAACTCCGATCTAACTGACTTTCTTAAGGTTTTCTCAATGATTGACTTCAATTTAACAATGTTCTCATTGGCGGGTGGGGGGAGGGGGGGGGGCAGGATTTAACTGTCTCTCATCTTTGCATTATGTTTTATTCAAACTTCTTAATTAACCTTAATAAATGAAAACTTGAAGAGGGCTTTCTGGTATGGATATTTTTCTTCATCACAACTTGTACAACATTTAGGATATCGTGCTTATAATAAAAGTTTACAAATTCAAGTTTTTGTTGCTAGTTGTACTCCATTTTGAGAACAGCTGAAATTATGACATCACTGATTACATCATCAGTGTACTTCATGGTATTATAATTTTCCCAATATTTTTGCAGTATCATAATTTCAGATCAATATGCTTGTCTATGGCATTTTAGTGTTTTTGGTATCATGCTTGATATTCAGATTATGCCCATTTAGATGTGTGACATCTATTATGAAACACCCTGTACAAGTCACTTGGACTTTTATATTGTATAGATTTCACTATGTTGGCATTTATTTGAAAAATTTTCTTTCTTCAAGTATACAGGTATATGAATTTGAATAATATTTCCCAGAATCTTGAAGTAAATAGATGCAGATGTTGTGTTGTTTTTTTAACAGAATGAACATATGAATTAATATCCACAGTACTATCAATATTCCTGATCACTCAAGATTTACCGATTCTATTTTGTATATTTTGTCCAGGAGAGAATCCTGATTTACTTTTGTCCTTGGAGAACCCCCACCTTCGGACTCTAATGACAGACCTGGTGACCTCCCCCTTACCTTCACAGGACATGGAGAAGGTGATGAAGGAACCAATATTTCTGGAGTTTGCTGACCAGTGCCTGAAAGTCGTGGACAATAACCATCAGACAAAATCACCTGAAGGCTGACACATACAACATTGAAATGGAGAGACTTAATTGTTTTGTCTGGAGACTAGTGAATTGTTGTTTTGTTCATGTATTTTTCTTAATTTCTTCAGTGCAGATATACAGGCAGATATGTGTTTCTTTCATTCTAAATTTTTTACAGTAAAAATCTCTGTTCAAACTTTGACTATTGAAGTCTACAAAGTGTATACTGATTATTGTAGGCATGGTACACACAATTTTCAAACCTAGCTGTTATTGTGATAATAAGCTAGGCACTGGATAATTTACATGTACATGTAATTATGTGCTGGTAGTAATAAATGTAAATTTTATGTCAGAGTTCCTTTTAAGATACTTGTTTGGAAATACTGTATAATACAATTTATCAGGTTTTTTCATCAACAATACTCTAATTGTCCATATCAAGTATTTTTGGAGAAGTATATTTTAGATAAGTACTCATGTCATATAGTGTGACTCAAAATCACAAAGATTGTGCATCTTACTGAGCTATTAACTTGACCTTTTTGCACTTGAATTATGACTTTTAGGTTAATCACTTTAACTTTTATCATTTTTACCAGATGCATTCATGGCAATAAATATAATCTTATTTTATTGAAGTAGTGTGAATAATCTTTATTATGGGAAAAATCCTGCAAATTCATGCACATAAGTTATTGTAAGACCTTTTTGCACTTCAAGTATCATATTTAGGGTATTAAAAATCTAAATAAGCAATAAAATATTTGCTTGTATCAAGCTTTTTATGAATTTAGTTCTATTCAGTCAGAAAAAATACTGTGTACTTTAAAATAATGAAAGAAAAAGTTAGGGCCAGTGATATAAAGGATGACTGTGCTTAAGGCCATGCAAAAATTGAGACAAAAGAAACCTAATGATATAACTGCTTTAAGATATGTGGGACATATTTAATAAGAAATATACGAAATATAAAAAAAATTGAATGACAAGTATTGTTTCAGCTAAAGGTCCTTCTTCCCCTTAAGGCCATGTGAAAATTGTGACAAAATAACTTTTCAAAGCAAGCATTTTTCATTTAATTGCAGGAATGGTCATCATGTAATCTACAACTTTATGTAATTACATTAAATAAAAATAGACAAACATGCGCTCTTGGTTTAAAAGAGAAAAAACTGTTTCTTCTAACATTTGCTCTCTCTGTTGTAACCAAGGGTTGTGGCATGTTGGATATTATAATTCACCACGTGATTTCTTACCTCAGGTAACTGTGTGAATACTAAATTCCATTAGGTGACTTGTAAGGTTACATGTTTTGTGCTACTAGGATGCTGTGCTCGAACATGTTGAATTGTGAGGCATCGATTCAAAATATTCTTTACTTACATGGACTTGCTCATATTGTTAATTTCATTTTGAATCATTTGTAAATAGTGTATTTGTGCCATAGAGAAAAAAGGGGGAGATTGGAAAGAATAATCTTGTATTTTTATATAATTATGTCATTGTTATTTATCTAGTCTATTCTAGAGGCAGTCTTACAATGTTAGCTCCACCTCTCATGCATACCTAATGTTTAATCAAGGGCAGGTAAGTGTAAATTCTTTATATTTGGAAAGCAGTAAGGACAAATTAACATAGAATCATTTAATTGTATCACAGTCTAAAATCATTTTAACATATGCATTTGGTGCCAAATTGACAGAATTCTCTAGTAAAGATATGAAAGTGAAATAAGGTTAAGATATAAAAGCAATAGAAGCGACGAAAAAAAAAACCCAAACCCTGAGCATTAAGTGCAGTTATTCTTTTGAGATATTGGTCAAAATATGCAATTTTTAGGCGAAAAACTGTGTAAATTTTATCTTGACTTCTCCAATACATCTTCATTTCTTGGCAAAGTCTGTTGAGTGTAAAATTTGTTCAAAAGTATTAATTGAAACCTATATTTAAAATTACAAGTATATAATAACTAGAAAAAAAATTCTGAGTAGAAATACAAATGGCTCTAGATTCAAGATACTAAATTTAACAAATATGTAGATTTGAAGCATTTTCTTATAAATATCCTTCCACCACAAGAAATAGCCTCCCCCCCCCCCCCCCCAATCCTGTCTCTTGATGATCTGTGAGCAGTTTTTAAATTGAATATTGTATAGTTTGCTTTATTTTATTCAAATATGTTATAAAAATTCTAAACTGAAACTAGCAGTCAATATCAGCAGCCACTAGTAGTAGCTAGCAGCCAATAAAGGAAATTCATCAAAGGACTGAGAGTACTCAGATGCAATACTATTTTTAGCTCACCTGAGCTGAAGGCTCAAGTGAGCTTTTCTGATCACATTTTGTCCGTCGTCCATCTGTCCGTTTGACTGTCTGTCCGTCTGTAAACTTTTCACTTTTTTTACTTCTTCTCAAGAACCCCTGGGCCAAATTCAACCAAACTTGCCACAAAGTATCCTTGGGTGAAGGGGATTCAAGTTTGTTCAAATGAAGGGCCACGCCCTCTTTCAAGGGGAGATAATTAGGAATTAGTGAAAAAATAATGGCATCATTTAAAAATCTTCTTCTCAAGAACCACTGGGCCAGGAAAGATGAAACTTATGTGGAAACATCCTCAGGTAGTGTAGATTCAAGTTTATTCAAATCATGACCCCTGGGGGTAGGATGGGGCCACAATGGGGGATCAAATTTTTACATAGAAATATATAGGAAAATATCTTTAAAAATCTTCTTCTTAAGAACAGCAAAGCCATGATTGGTTTTATTTATATGGAAGCATCCTCAGGTAGTGTAGATTCAAATTTGCTCAAGTCATGACCCCTGGGGTTAGGGTGGGGTCACAATGAGGGATCAAAGTTTTACATAGAAATATATAGGAAAATATCTTTAAAAATCTTCTTCTTAAGAACAGCAAAGCCATGATTGGTCATATTTATATGGAAGCATCCTCAGGTAGTGTAGATTCAATTTTGTTCAAATCATGACCCCCAGGGGTAGGGTGGGGCCACAATGGGGGATCAAAGTTTTACATAGAAATGTGTATAGGAAAATATCTTTAAAAATCTTCTTCTTAAGAACAGCAAAGCCATGATTGGTCATATTTATATGGAAGCATCCTCAGGTAGTGTAGATTCAAATTTATTCAAATCATGACCCCCAGGGGTAGGGTGGGGCCACAATAGGGGATCAAAGTTTTACATAGAAATATATAGGAAATTATCTTTAAAAATCTTCTCAAGAACAGCACAGCCATGATAGGTCATATTTATATGGAAGCATCCTCAGGTAGTGTAGATTCAAGTTTGTTCAAATCATGACCCCTGGGGGTAGGATGGGGCCACAATGGGGGATCAAAGTTTTACATAGAAATGTGTATAGGAAAATATCTTTAAAAATCTTCTTCTCAAGATCAGCAAAGCCATGATTGGTCATATTTATATGGAAGTATCTTCAGGTAGTGTAGATTCAATTTTGTTCAAATCATGACCCCCGGGGGTAGGGTGGGGCCACAATGGGTGATCAAAGTTTACAGAGGAATATATAGGAAAAAATCTTTTTCTCAAAAACAGAAAAGCCATGATTAGTAAAATTGATATAGAGTCATCCTTGGGTAGTGTAGATTGAAATTTGGTCAAATGAGGGTCCCTTGGGGTAGGGTGGGGCCACAATGGGGGATCAAATTTTTACAAATGATATATTTTGAAAAAAAATTTCTGCTCAAGAACAGCAATGCCATTTGTTATATTGATATGAAAGCATCATCAGGTAGTTTAAAATTCACCCCCCCCCCCATTTCAATACTAAACTGATTTTTGCCATGATTAGTAAAATGGATATGGAGGCATCCTTGGGTAGTGTAGAATGAAATTTGTTCAAATGAGGGACCCTGGGGGTATGGTGGGGCTGCAATGGGGGATCAAATTTTTACAAATGAATATTTTGGAAAAAATCTTCTGCTCAAGAACAGCAATGCCATCTGTTATATTGATATGAAAGCATCATCAGGTACTTTAAAATCCAATCCCCCCCCCCCTTTGTTAACTTTTCAATACTAAACTGATTTTTGCTTTTTTTCCTAGCCAATGTGCTCAGGATGTAGCCCATGGGCCTCTTGTTATACTTTATCTTAGACAATTAATAATTAGATATAAGTTAATGCAACAATTAATTACTAGTACTTAGTAAGTCGAACACTCGGAGGCAGTTAAGCTACCTGCATAAGAAAAATGCTTTTGAATAAATATAACACAAAATGGCTGTTGCTGATTGTTCCTATGTATTCCTATGTAAAACTTTGATCCCCCAATCATGGCCCCACCCTACCCCCAGGGGTCATGATTTGAACAAACTTGAATCTACACTACCTGAGGATGCTTGCACATAGTTATGACCAATCATAGCTTTGCTGTTCTTGAGAAGAAGATTTTTAGTATGTATTCCTATGTAAATCATTGATCGCCCATTGTGTCCCCACCCTACCCCCAGGGATCATGATATGAACAAACTTGAATTTACACTACCTGTGGATGCTTGCATATAGATATGACCAATCATGGCTTTGCTGTTCTTGAGAAGAAGATTTTTAAAGTTTTTTTCCTATGTGTTCTTATGTAAAGCATTGATCACACATTGTGGCCCCATCCTACCCCCGGGGGTCATGATTTGAATAAACTTGATTCTACACTACCTCACAATAATTCCACATAAGTTTCATATTTTCAAGCACAGTGGTTCTTGAGAAGAAGATTTTTAAATGATGCCATTAATTTTTCATGAATTCATAATTATCTCCCCTTGGAAAAAGGCAAGGCTCTTCATTTGAACAAACTTGAATCACCTTCACCCAAGGATACTTTGTGCCAAGTTTAGTTTTGGCCTAGTAGTTCTGGAGAAGAAGATGAAATTGTGAAAAGTTTATGACAACAACAACACAAACAACAAGGAAGACAAAGAAAGACAACGGACAAATTTTGATCAGAAAAGCTCACTTGAGCCTTTGGCTCAGGTGAGCTAAAAAAAAAGAAGAAAATTTCACCATCTTTGACCACTTAAGAACAAACCAACATTGGGAATATGTTAAGTACTTTCGGGAGAATCCCTTAGTGGCCTTTGATGGGTCTCAGGAACAGGATGCTCTTAATATTGTAGAATGATAGATATAGGGTTTGAAGATAAGCTGTTGCTTTAAACAATAAATTACTTGTACAACATAAAGGGTTCATAGGGCTTTTATATACGGTTATCGGTATTAGGCTGTAGTGGTATCACCAAGTAGGGCTGGGACGGTACAACTTTTTCTATATCGATACGTATCACGATATGTTGAATTGGTTATAAAATCTATTTTTTGTATTGAAATGAACAAAACATTTCTTCACAAATAAGAATAGTTTATTGAAAGAAGTTGTTTATCTGTTTTAAAACAAATTATTTTACACAAGTGGTGTTAATCATTATGTATTTCATATTTATATTCATATTTAGCATATTTCTTTTATATATTAAACCCAAAATGTTAAATAAACAAAGAAAAACATAAGGATATTTTTTTGCGATATTTCGATATTTCTTCATATGTATCGATATGAGTATCGTCTTCACACAGAATCGATATTATCGATATCTCGATATATCGTCCCAGCCCTACCACCAAGTGGTGCCAAGGGCAGGTTACATATTTCAAGCAGCTATTAAACCCCTCATCTTTGAAGTGGGCTTTAAATCATTATTGTGGCAAGATAGAGGGTCCCTAGGGCAATCATTTCCCGCTATCAGAATAGGGCTGTATGGCACCACCAAGTGATGCCAAGGGTGGGGGACATATTTCAAGCATTCATTTTTCCTCAATCATTGACCACTAAAACAAACTAATACTGGTAATTGGTTAAGGACCATAGGGAGTATACTTTGTCACCATTTTGAAGAGTCCCAGGGACTGGAAGGGCCAGTGAGCTAACCTGAACTTTGTCATTTTTTCACATTGTATATTGAGATACGGGTTAAAGGTCAGCTAGTATATCCCTTATCTTTGAAGTGTGCTTCAAATCATTACTGGGGCAAGGTAGAGGGTCCCTTGGGCCTGGCCTCTATGTGATCTCTAAAATTTAGGCGCCAACTGACTCCTAATTAAAAAAAAAATTAGTCGCCAATGCAAGTTTTTAGTCGCCAGGTAAATTTTTCTTGAGCAATAATTTAAAAACTTGGCTTGGACATCAGTTAGGTTGAGAATAATTTTCACATCAATGATTATATATTGCTTTATTAGCCGATTCCTGATCTACGAAATAATGCAAATCCCATTTCAAGGGATAATATTTAATGTGCCGATTTCCTAGCTTAATTTCAGACATGACAATATTTATTTATTTATTTATTTTTGAAATGCAAAAGGACATGCCCATGTCTTGTGTTAACGTATATTTATGTAAGTAGTATTTTGATTCGCCAATTATATCATTGATTAAACCACCGATTTTAAATCGTCTTTGCTTCAGTACCACTAGTATTTAGATATACAATTTTTATGGTAGGAACGTGCAATGCAAAAATTTACCAGGAAAGAAAAACTCAAAATTCTACGAAACAGAGCTTTATTTACTCATAAAGAAAAATTATATAAAGGACCTTAAAAGCATTTCATACTCCTTGCTGACTTATTCACTTCTGCACAATACCTATTCATATTTTATAATATTAAGATAATTTAAGTTTAAATCAATTTTATGCCGGGTGTTTTGCGTTGAACACAATACTAAAAAATTAATATCTTTTGTGTTGTTACATTTTTTTTATTTTATTACATTTTGCGTTGCCCTCAACGCAAAAATTAAATAACACAAAATGTAATTAACAAAAAGTACATTATTACATTCTGCGTTAATCTCGACGCAAAATGCAAAGTGTGATAACGCAAAATATTATAATCTTAAAAAGTGTGTTATTACATTTTGCTTTATTACATTCTGTGTTGATTTCGATGCAAAACGTAATAACGGAAATGTAATAATCCCAATTTATTACATTTTGCCTTTTTGTAACATTTTGCGTTGTAACAAAGCTGTCTCGTGAATTTAAAGCATTGTCTAAAATTAACGTATAATTTAGAAACTAATCATAGCAATTTGTAACGATGAGCCCCACCTGTCTCATACCTCTCTCTCTCTCTCTCTCTCTCTCTCTCTCTCTCGTTAAATTCTTTTAAATAAGTATTTCTATTGTGCAGTTTATCCTGTACGATGTATAGTTGAAAGACAATAATAAATTATTTTACATAATGGTAAAAATAATTATTTTTACTCGTGAGAGGACGACCATTTGAATATGACTGGGGAGAGATGGGGCTGGTAGGTTTTAGAAAAAATAAACTCCTAGAACATGTTGAAAATAAATAATCTGTCTTCAGTTGATAGGAAAATAAATAATCTGCCCTTGCAATAATTGGTCCCATGCACCACCCTCCTCGTAACAGACTTTATAGGTTGTTTTGCTTGTCAAATCTTTTTCCGTAATGAAAAAATAATATGTCCCTGATCATCTTGGAAGTAAATAAACTGTCCTTCACCGACATGAAAAAAAATCTGTCCCGAAAAAATTTGCCAGCCCCCCCCCCCCGTTCTGAATCAAATGGTGTCCCCTTTACCTGTTTACAGCAAAGCTGTGTACACGCACTTGTATCTAAGCAAGAATTTTTTTTTTTTAATATGTGTTTTGCTAATGATGCATTCAATTTATTTATGCATTAATTTTATTGTATATTTTGACATAGGACTAGGCCTAACGATAATCGATATGTCATTGATGTACGTGTTGTAAATCCCCCCCCCCCCCATATTCTGCCTCTCATCCCTTTTCCTAATCCGGATTTGCTTGCTAGTGCTCTTAATGGGACTTATCAGGTTATATATATTATTATTATAATTCAAGTTGCAGCTTGTTCATATTGCACCACTTCGTTTGTTCAATACATAGGAACGTTCAATCTCTACATTATTTTGACAGATCTGTCAAACACACCAGCGACTATGATGGAAACTTCCCGACAATATGATGTCATGCCGAACTAAATATAAAGCTGACTCTCTGCATTTATTGGTCGAGAGCTTGCAGGTTTTCTAAATATAGGAGTTACATCACATTAGTATATAAAGAGAAGGGATTCCCCCGCGGCCTCGTTGTTGCTCGCTCTTTCCGTCAGTCAGGTCGTATGGTGGTTGTGCCCTTGGACCACCGTCGATTTTTCTCTGAGCGGAACGAAACAAAGATAGGTGTGCCTGTTTGTTATAAACAATCCGAAACTTTAATATCTATATTATCAAACTACCGGAAAAATACGGCGAAACACAACCATTCTGTAGCTGAATTTAGCTTGTGATCGGTGACCTAGTTCCGCAAAGATCGAGCCGAGCCTACACGAGGAGCCGGCCAGCTGATTTCCAATATGGAGGCCGACCAACATTTAGCTAACGACTACATTTCCGATTTTGATCTTGATCAGTTACTTGATCCTTCAGCAATAAAAAAGGAGACAAATAAATTCGCTGATTGTTGTGGGTCGGCGGTAAATGTGCCCGTCCCAGGCCCCGTGAAGATTGCTAGGCCGACCGCGCCTGCCCCAACCGGGCATAGTGTTCCACCGTCGCCAAGTTATGCAGAGAGTGTGCCCCCAAGTCCGACCGAGAATGAACAGTTGATGGAGGATATAAGTTGGCTGACTCAGAGTGTAACAGGGTTCCCCGGCTCTGATGATAGTTCTAGTAACGACAGCGATGTGGACATGCTCATATCATCCAGTCCCGAGTTTGTGAAAAATTTCAGCAAGTATTTGGTATCGGGGGCTGAGGCAGGCAAGGGAGAGTTACAGAGCACACCACCCATACAAGTTCAAGAAGAAAATGCAAAATTTAAACGCTCTCTTAGCAATGCGAGCACCGACAGCAATTTCAGTTCTGTGTCGTCCAATATGGCGGTCGAAGACAAAGTGGCCGTGAAAATAAAGACCAGCCTTAAAGCACCGAAAAGGAACAACATTAACAAAAAATTCGAGCCTTTGGAGGATGATGAATTGGTAATGCTCCCCGTGCGAGAGCTCAATCGTCGTTTGCAGGGAATGACAAAGGAGGAAGTGCAGAAACTCAAACAAAAACGCAGGACATTAAAAAATCGAGGTTACGCGCAAAACTGCAGATCAAAAAGAATGCAACAGCGCAGTGTATTGGAGAAAACTAATAAATCTCTTGAGCAACAAGTGCAGCAACTACAGAGGCAGCTCAGCTTGCTGACCCGCGAGAAGGAATTTTATAAGCAGCAGTGCGATCTTCTTGGGGCTCGATGCAGTATCATCACACAGGCGAGGAAGCGTGACGGTTCCCTTACTGACGGCTCTGTTTCTAGCTACCCAAGTTCCCCAGAGTAAAATTTCATTAACTCCAGGACAATGAATTTCCTCAAACCTTTGTATACATCGCTGGGTTTGTGCTAATTTATTATCAAATTTTCATATCCTCAACAGTGGAACATGGAAAAGAAAAATCATGTAAATATTTTGAGAAAATGTCCCAGCAACTATATTTTAGTTTCACCCAACTCATAATCTGTGTTACTACTATAAGTATGTATAGTTAGATCAGCTGTTGATTACCTTGTTGTTTATGTTTTTACAGTTCATCAACTATAGTATGAAGTATGTACAAGCTGTTAATCCATGCTTACTCCAAGCGTCTGTTACTTGTTAAAAAATGTTGTTTTAAAAAAATCTTGTTGTTGAGTGGGGATAGAATTTCATTGTCGGCTTTCCTTGATATTATGAGAAATCTGTTTTTTTATTTTTTTTGATGTTGACCTCCTACTCTCCGATGTTATTTTGTTAGAGATGAATGATGAATTGAAAATTGTTCCCGACTTTTGTGCTCACTGAATAATTGTTTAAAAAATGCGACAATTTCCACAAAAGGAGGAAATGTCTGAGCATGCAATAGTTGTGAACAATTTTAAGTGCAACATTCACTTTTAGAGTACCCACTGCAAGGGCAAACATAAACCAGTGTGGTTACCTATAATGAAATGATCTGTGATAGTGGAAGTTAGGGGTCATATCAAAACACCGATTTTTAAGACTTTTTAATATTTTGAGTCCCTGTTTTGGGAAAAGGACATTGCGAGTGAGATCTGGATTTTTTTTTACTGGAGTTGTCTGGAAATGAAGCTTGTATGACAAAACTTTGTGTGGTTGCCCAGAGAACTTGCAATAGAGGGCTTATTGTGGATTCTGATGGCAAATCAGAAAGAGAGAAAAGCTAGTTCCCATTGTTGGCTTTACATTATGAGATGTATAATTGTTTTGTTTCTTTTAAATAATGTGTGAATGTATGAGTGAAGTATTGTGTGTGTGTGAATATATGTTACATTTTAAAAGTTAAAAAAAAATTACAAAGAGCATCAACAAAATATTATAAAAATGTTTTAAAATGTGAAAAATATATTTTAAAAAAAATGCTGGTGTAATAGTTAACCAGTGCCAAAAAAATAGCAAAAATGTGAAAAAGATGAAAAAAAAATGCCCAGATGAGTGTATATTGATATTGCAAAATATTGCCCTTCAAGCTTGCTTTTTCAGCAATTTAAAATTGACAACGAATTGAGGATTAAGTGAACTGAAGGCAGGATTGTACCTATTCTGATAGAAGTGTGGGCAAACTGGATCAGTCGGATACGAACCGTTTTTATTTACTGGACATGACATTAAAAAAGCAATTTGTATGTAAAGTTAATATTCTTTGCATCACAGATTAGTAAATGTATTTTGTAAAGCAGGAAGTCACATGCAACCTTTTACAAGTTACACTGTGTTGATGGCAATTTGTGAAAGAAATCTGGAGGACTGTTGGTTCAAAATGGCAACAGTAGTGCAATGAATAAGAAATAATATTGTTATTGCAATAAATACTTGTTGAGCCTGTTTTTATCCAGTGAACAAAAGTGCTTTTGAGGTGGATCAAACTTTCTGCTTTACATTTTAATGTTATCATGTTTGACTTGTTCGCCTGCTGGTGCAAGTAAATAACTGCATGAACTTATAATTTAGTTTTTGTTTTATTTTTATTTATTCGTGTATTTTTGGGGGTGGGTGGGTGGGGGGTCTTTAGTTGGGAACACTAGATGGTTTTAACAAAGAACGAACCTTTGAAAACATATGTGGCACTGACTGAGGATTAGAATTATTGAACTGTAAACAACCTGGTATATCAAGGGTTTCTCACAGTTTTGAAGACATTCGAAGTAGAAATGTGCATTTTACAGACACTATACATGGATTGTGGTTAGAAAGACTGCAGAATTTCCCTAGTATGCGTGTCCTGCTGCTATGAAACAAGGAAAAAAATACTGTACAACCATAAATTAGCAAAAGAGACAGTCACACATGAGTGCATTTAAATTTGGGCATGGCTTGCAGGTGACATATTAAACAAACAAACCTTTGTTATCAATAATCTTTATTGATGTATTTTAGAATTTGTGATAAATTATCATCACACAGGCAATAGTATACGTCATCAAAAGGTCAAAATTAAAACCGCAAAATAGTAAATAATTTATGTAATCCTTCAGTATTATGTAAAATGCAAAGAAAAGTTTGATAAAAGTGGTCAAAAGTTGACTCAGTTCTATAACACAGATAATATACATCATCTTTCAGAACTTATTACGTTGTACAAAATGGTGGCCCTGGTTATTAAGAGGAAATGAAGTTCTTGTACAGTTCTATGTTAAACTGATTTTCTACACATTTTAACAATTAAATTATGTCAACTTTGTCAAACAAAATTATATCGCAGGCAATATTACAAATCATTAACATCAGTACAAATCACAAGGAAATGATTATGAACTTAAACTTTGGTAAAGATCACAAAGGAATAATCAAGTAAAATGCCATAGCTAGGCCAATAAAGCAAAAAATTAAAACTTGGTTTTATTCAGGAAAAATAATATTGAGCATGAATTAAGTGAATAAAGTATATATGCATGAATGGACCGGAAAATTCTGACTTTCTTGATGGGACTATACAATTTAACCTGAGTAAGTTGAGATTTCTTGTTGTTTTTAGTTCCATTACTCTTCCATATACATGTAATTGTGCTTCTGTCAACCTTTTGTACCTGTAGACTGAATTTAGAGGATGTGCAATGAAAGCACTATATTCTTCTTACATGTGGTAATTGGAAACATTATAAGAGTAAAAACGCAAGGTGAATTCTCTTGAGAATAAACCTTGATACATTTGATCAATAAAAATTACAAATAAATAGGATTAATTCAGGTAGTCCTGAGGAAGTAGCTTGTTATGGTAATAAAAACAAAAGGCCCATGGGCCACAGCACTCACCTGAGTCAATATGGCCCTGCAGTTCTTCATCAGCAGATTTTTTTCTATTATATATTTCTATGTAAAACTTTTATCCCTATTGTGACCCCCCACCCTATCCTCGGGGGTCATGATTTGAACATTTGAACAAACTTGAATCTACACTACCTGAGGATGCTTCCATATCAATACGACTAAACATGGCTTTGCTGTTCTTGAGAAGAAGATTTTTTCCTATATAATCCTTTGTAAAACTTTGAACCCCCACTGCCGCCCCACCCTACCCCCAGGGATCAAGATTTGAACAAACTTAAATCTACACGACCTGAGGATGATTCCATATTAATATGACTAATCATGGCTTTGCTGTTCTTGAGGAGATTTTTTTGAAGTTATTCCCCTATAAATTATATATTCCTATGTAAAACTTTGATCCCCCGTTGTGGCCCCACCCTATCCCCAGGGGTCAGGATTTGAAAAAAATGATTCTACACTATGTGAAGAAGGTTTCATTCAAGTTTCAACTTTTTTGGCTCAGTGGTTCTTGAGAAGAAGATTTTTAAAAGATGCCACAATTTTTTTTTTTACGTATTCTTAATTATCTCCCTTTGAAAGAGGGAGTGGCCCTTCATTTAAACAAACTTGAATCCCCTTGACCCAAGGTTGCTTTGTGGCAAGTTTGATTGAAATTGGCCCATTGGTTCTGGAGAAGAAGTCGAAAATGTTAAAAGAATTCAGACGGACGATGGACAAAATGTGCTTGAGCTTTCAGCTCAGGTGAGCTAAAAAGATTCCAACAGAACAACCTCTTAATAAATAAATATTTATAGCAATTTAATTATTCATTAACAGTGCAAAAAGTGGGGTGGGGGGGGGTTAATAAACAAAAAGAACATATGTTCACAAAAACATTTTTTTTATATGGATGTACAAGAAATATTTTCGATTTGTCTCCAAGTCTTGAAAAATAAACAAAGACTTATGAAATTCACTCAGTCATGTAATATTCTAATACTAAACTTTTTTTTTAAAAACATTGTTCATGATTGAAATATATACAATATCTATATCTAAATGGTTTTTTGTTTGTTTGTTAAACACTGGTATTGTATACAATGCAAAAACTATATTAATACCAGTAATCTTAATTTCTGTGTTAGTTGCATTCCAATTCTATTAAGACTCTGTATTCTCACTTGGAGATTAAACAGTGGATAACTGGCGTTTAATGGGTATTGATCAGTTATATATCTTCTCCAGCTAGCACTATATCAATGCTTCAGCCTCTTTCTGGTGCTTCCACACATTTTGATACCAAGATTCCTTCAACTGATGAATTCCATTTCTCTCTGACTACTAAGTCTGTTCCTACTTCCTCTCTTGTGGACACTGTATCACATTTTAGCTGGACTTTTATGAAGTGATGTGACAAATCTCTAGTTCTCTCTGTTCAGCGCCTTCTGTAACATCCCCTCACTGAGGTTCCAGAGCCTGAGAGCCAGTTCCTCATCACAGCCAGATTTGGAGGGTTCACAACGACAGCAGTTGTTAAAGTACAGTCCGCCCACTCCCTCCAATTGTGCAGAGGTAACACAGAACACCGTAGTGGCTGCACCTTGTTGCTGAAAGGAATAAAAAATAAATCAGCTCTCTTCTCCTGAAGACTTGAGACATGTGTTATATAAGTTTAAACACATTTTGTAACATGTAATTTTGGAAGATTTTGTTAACTTAGATATGTTGATTTCTGATCAGTCATCTACCATGTCTACGTATACACAGTAAAACTTCATACAGAGTCTAGATGAAATCATTCTAACTTCACTGCAAATTAATGCAGCCATACTGTGACTCTCTAAATAAAGAAATAGTTGACATATCAGCTTTTCATCAATTGTAAGTGACTTTGAAAAAACAAGAGGCTCATGGGCCACAATGCTCACCTGAGTCACTGGCCCTGCTAATCTTTATCAGATCTCCCCCCCCCCCCCCTCAAATACATGTATTCCTCTGTATTTTTTGATCACCTTCTGTGGAACAACCTTAAATAAGGAAGCTTCTACATAAGTTTCAGCTTTTCTGGTCCTGTGGTTCTTGAGAAGAAGTTATTAATCCCCTACCGGTGAAACCAGAGGGGACTACAGGTTTTCTCTGAGTCTGTCTGTCCCTCTGTCCCACTGGTTTTCCGCACTTTTTTCCTAGACGCTTGCAGATATTGAGCTAATTTTTGGTATGTGAGTAAATCTTGATGAGTTACAGATCAAGTTTGCATTTCGTTCCACTTCATTGATTTTTGACAGAATTATGACCTTTTCAATTTTTAAGGGTTTTCCACAATTTTTTTTTCTAAAAGCTTGCAGATATTGAGTTGATTTTTAATATGTGACATTACCTTTATAAGTTATAGATCAAGTTTACATTTCATTCTGCTTCATTGATTTTTGATGGAATTATGGCATTTTCAATTTTTAACGGGAACCAGATTACACTTGCTGGTATGGGACTAGTATTGCTGTAATGCAATACTCTCAGAACGCCTTTTAGTCCCCTACCGGTGAAACCGGAGGGGACTATAGGTTTCCTCTGAGTCTGTCCGTCAGTCTGTCTGTCCGTCTGTCCCACTTGGTTTTCCGCACTTTTCTTCTAAACGCTTGCAGATATTGAGCTGATTTCTGGTCTGTTAGTGTATCTTGATGAGTTACAGATCAAGTTTGCATTTCGTTCCGCTTCAATGATTTTTAACGGAATTACGACCTTTTCAATTTTCAGGGTTTTCCGCAATTTTTTCCTAAACGCTTGCAGATATTGAGCTGATTTTTGGTATGTGACTTAACCTTGATGAGTTATAGATCAAGTTTTCATTTCATTCCGCTTCATTGATTTTTGACGGAAATATGGCATTTTCAATTTTTAGCGGGAACCAGATTACACTTGCCGGTAGGGGACTAGTACATCTTCGCTAGCCAAGGGTTTCTGATACGCTACTCTCCTCATAAACCCTTGGCATACGGTGCTGACAAAAGACGGGAATGTTTTTGTCACGTGATCATGATCACAGATTGCGTCATCGACAGAAATAAAAAGCGTATTTAAAAAAAATTTGATTTTAAAGAATAATTAACAAGAAGGTATCGAGTTATGTTAATTTGTTATTTAAACATGTAAAAATGCAAATCTACATCTTCAGTATAGATTTTTAATCACATATTTTGCACGTAGCTTTAGATATTGGATGACACCATAGGGTATCTTACGGATCATTGTTTACTTGCGTTTTACATTACCGATATTAAAGAGTCAAGATATATCCCGAACGCAAATATCGTCATTTACAAAAACAATTGCTGATTGGTCGAACGATGTCGATCAACTCCAATCACAACTTGAGAAAAAAATCCCAACTTTTTAGCTCACCTGAGCTGAAAGCTCAAGTGAGCTTTTCTGATCACCCGTTGTCCGTCGTCCGTCCGTCTGTCCGTCTGTCCGTCCGTCTGTAAACTTTTCACATTTTCAGCTTCTTCTCAAGAACCACTTGGCCAATTTTAACCAAACTTGGTACAAAGTATCCTTGGTTGAAGGGGAGTGTAAATTGTTAAAATAAAGGGCCAAGTCCCCTTACAAGGGGAGATAATCAAGAAAAGACAAAAATAGGGTGGGGTCATTAAAAAATCTTCTTCTCAAGAACCACTGGGCCAGAAAAGCTGAAACTTATGTGGAAGCATCCTGGGATAGTGTAGATTCTAAATTGTTAAAATCATGACCCCCGGGGGTAGGGCGGGGCCACAATAGGGAATCCAAGTTTTACATTGAAATACATAAGAAAAATCTTTAAAAATCTTCTTCTCAAGAACCACTGGGCCAGAAAAGCTGAAACTTATATGGAAGCATCCTGGGATAGTGTAGATTCTAAATTGTTCAAATCATGACCCCCGGGGGTAGGGCGGGGCCACAATAGGGAATCCAAGTTTTACATTGAAATATATAGGAAAAATCTTAAAAAATCTTCTTCTCAAGAACCACTGGGCCAGAAAAGCTGAAACTTATGTGGAAGCATCCTGGGATAGTGTAGATTCTAAATTGTTAAAATCATGACCCCCGGGGGTAGGGCGGGGCCACAATAGGGAATCCAAGTTTTACATTGAAATACATAAGAAAAATCTTTAAAAATCTTCTTCTCAAGAACCACTGGGCCAGAAAAGCTGAAACTTATATGGAAGCATCCTGGGATAGTGTAGATTCTAAATTGTTAAAATCATGACCCCCGGGGGTAGGGCGGGGCCACAATAGGGAATCCAAGTTTTACATTGAAATACATAAGAAAAATCTTTAAAAATCTTCTTCTCAAGAACCACTGGGCCAGAAAAGCTGAAACTTATATGGAAGCATCCTGGGATAGTGTAGATTCTAAATTGTTCAAATCATGACCCCCGGGGGTAGGGCGGGGCCACAATAGGGAATCCAAGTTTTACATTGAAATATATAGGAAAAATCTTAAAAAATCTTCTTCTCAAGAACCACTGGGCCAGAAAAGCTGAAACTTATGTGGAAGCATCCTGGGATAGTGTAGATTCTAAATTGTTAAAATCATGACCCCCGGGGATAGGGCGGGGCCACAATAGGGAATCCAAGTTTTACATTGAAATACATAAGAAAAATCTTTAAAAATCTTCTTCTCAAGAACCACTGGGCCAGAAAAGCTGAAACTTATATGGAAGCATCCTGGGATAGTGTAGATTCTAAATTGTTAAAATCATGACCTCCGGGGGTAGGGCGGGGCCACATTAGGGAATCCAAGTTTTACATTGAAATACATAAGAAAAATCTTTAAAAATCTTCTTCTCAAGAACCACTGGGCCAGAAAAGCTGAAACTTATATGGAAGCATCCTGGGGTAGTGTTCATTCTAAATTGTTAAAATCATGACCCCCGGGGGTAGGGCGGGGCCACAATAGGGAATCCAAGTTTTACATTGAAATATATTAAAAAATCTTTAAAAATCTTCTTTTCAAGAACCACTGGACCAATAAAGCTGAAACTATTTGGAAACATCCTGAGGTAGTGTAGATTCTAAATTGTTCAAATCATGACCCCCAGGGGTAGGGCGGGGCCACAATAGGTATATTAAAAGGGGGAAATCTGGTAAAGAACAGCATGGCCAAAGTTACTCAGGTGAGCGATGTGGCCCATGGGCCTCTTGTTTTAACACCGTATGCCAAGGGCTTATGAGGAGAGTAGCGTATCAGAAACCCTTGGCTAGCGAAGATGGGGACTAGTATTGCTAATGCAATACTCTCAGAATGCTTGTTTTTGCTCTTTTACACTAACAAATTATTTTGTCCCCTTTTAAATTCACCCAATTACAGTTCTGTTTAAGAAATCATACCGTCTTCTTTGATTTCCCCCTGTCTTAAATTCGCCCACTTGTGACTTGGGAGAAAATAAAACAGAGGCAAAGATTTCCCTGTATACAGTATTACATTATGTTGTGCTACGTAATATTTTTTAGCTCACCTGAGCCGAAGGCTCAAGTGAGCTTTTCTGATCGAAATTTGTCTGTTGTCTGTCGTCATCGTCGTTGGCGTTGTCGTTGTTGTAAACTTTTCACATTTTCATCTTCTTCTCCAGAACCACTGGGCCAATTTCAACCAAACTTGCCACAAAGTATCCTTGGGAGAAGGGGATTCAAGTTTCTTCAAATGAAGGGCCACGCCCTCTTTCAAGGGGAGATAATTAAGAATTAGTGAAAAAATAAATGCATCATTTAAAAATCTTCTTCTCAAGAACCATAGGGCCAGGAAAGATGAAACTCAAGTGGAAGCATCTTCAGGTAGTGTACATTCAAGTTTGTTCAAATCATGACCCCCCGAGGGTAAGGCGGGGCCACAATGGAGGATCAAAGTTTTACATAGAAATATATAGGAAAAACCTTTAAAAATCTTCTTCTCAAGAACAGCAAAGCCATGATGAGTCATATTTATATGGAAGCATCCTCGGGTAGCGTAGATTCAAGTTTGTTCAAACCATGACCCCCGGGGGTAGGGCGTGGCCACAATGGAGGATCAAAGTTTTACATAGAAATATATAGGAAAAATCTTTAAAAATCTTCTTCTCAAGAACAGCAAAGCCATGATGAGTCGTATATATATGGAAGCATCCTCAGGTAGTGTAGATTCAAGTTTGTTCAAACCATGACCCCCGGGGATATGGCGTGGCCACAATGGAGGATCAAAGTTTTACATAGAAATATACAGGAAAAATCTTTAAAAATCTTCTTCTCAGGAACAACAAAGTCATGATGAGTCATATTTATATGGAAGCATACTTAGGTAGTGTAGATTCAAGTTTGTTCAAACCATGACCCCCGGGGATATGGCGTGGCCACAATGGAGGATCAAAGTTTTACATAGAAATATACAGGAAAAATCTTTAAAAATCTTCTTCTCAGGAACAACAAAGTCATGATGAGTCATATTTATATGGAAGCATCCTTAGGTAGTGTAGATTCAAGTTTGTTCAAACCATGACCTCCGGGGATATGGCGTGGCCACAATGGAGGATCAAAGTTTTACATAGAAATATACAGGAAAAATCTTTAAAAATCTTCTTCTCAGGAACAACAAAGTCATGATGAGTCATATTTATATGGAAGCATCCTTAGGTAGTGTAGATTCAAGTTTGTTCAAATCATGACCCCTGGGGGTAGGGCGGGGCCACAATGGAGGATCAAAGTTTTACATAGAAATGTATAGGAAAAATCTTTAAAAATCTTCTTCTCAAGAACAGCAAAGCCACGATGAGTCATATTTATATGGAAGCATCCTCAGGTAGTGTAGATTCTATTTTGTTCAAACCATGACCCCTGGGGGTAGGGCGTGGCCACAATGGAGGATCAAAGTTTTACATAGAAATATATAGGAAAAATCTTTAAAAATCTTCTTCTCAGGAACAACAAAGTCATGATGAGTCATATTGATATGGAAGCATCCTCAGGTAATGTAGATTCAAGTTTGTTCAAATCATGACCCCCGGGGGTAGGGCGGGGCCACAATGGAGGATCAAAGTTTTACATAGAAATATATAGGAAAAATCTTTAAAAATCTTCTTCTCAAGAACAGCAAAGCCATGCTGAGTCATATTTATATGGAAGCATCCTCAGGTAGTGTAGATTCTATTTTGTTGAAATCATGACCCCCGTGGGTAGGATGGGGCCACAATGGAGGATCAAAGTTTTACATAGAAATATATAGGAAAAATCTTTAAAAATCTTCTTCTCAAGAACAGCAAAGTCATGATGAGTCATATTTATATGGAAGCGTCTTCAGGTAGTGTTGATTCAAGTTTGTTAAAATCATGACCCCCGGGGGTAGGGCATGGCCACAATGGAGGATCAAAGTTTTACATAGAAATATATAGGAAAAATCTTTAAAAATCTTCTTCTCAAGCACAGCAAAGCCATGATGAGTCATATTTATATGGAAGCATCCTCAGGTAGTGTAGATTATAGTTTGTTCAAACCATGACCCCCGGGGGTAGGGCGGGGCCACAATGGAGAATCAAAGTTTTACATAGAAATATATAGGAAAAATCTTCTTCTCAGGAACAGCAAAGCCTAGATTGTTCATATTTATATGGAAGCATCCACAGGTAGGGTAGATTCAAATTTATTCAGATCATACCCCCGGGGGTAGGATGGGGCCACAATGGAGGATCAAAGTTTTACATAGAAATGTATAGGAAAAATTTTAAAAATCTTCATCTCAGGAACAGCAAAGCCCTGATTGATCATATTTATGTGGAAGCATCCTCAGGTAGTGTAGATTCTATTTTGTTCAAATCATGACCGCCGTGGGTAGGATGGGGCCACAAATTCTTAAATAGAAATATATAGGAAAATATCTTCTTCTGAAGAACTGCAAACCATGATTAGTCATTTTGATATGGAAGCATCCTCAGGTAGTGTAGATAAAATTTTGTTCAAATGATGACCCCCAGGGGTTGGGTGGGGCCCATTGGGGGATCGAAAGTTTTACATAAGAACACATAGAAAAAATATTTCTTCTCAAGAACAGGAAAGCTATGTTTAGTCATATTGATATGGAAGCATCCTCAGGTAGTGTAGATTCAAGTTCAAATGATGACCCCTGGGATAGGGAAGAACCACAATGGGGGAAAGGAATATATGGGAAAATTTTTTAAAAATCTTCTCAAGTAACCCCCCCCCCCCCCCCCCCCCCCCCCCCCGGGTAATCTTTTCAATACTGAACTGATTTGTGCTTTTGGCTAGCCAATGTGCTCAGGTGAGCGATGTGGCCCATGGGCCTCTTGTTTTAATTGTTTTGTGCAGTTATGTGTAAGAATTAGTTTTAAGAATTTTTAGTAAAGGGAAATTTAAAAGTTACATGACACAATTTTTGAAAAAAATATTTTTATAATTTCTCCTTTAAAAGTGTCAAATGTATGAAACTATGTTTATATACTTTAAAATGCGGTACAGCATGACGTAACGTTTCTGTGGTGTAATTGGTAGTGTGTCAGACTGAAGATCCTGGGGTTGTGAGTTCGATTCCTGGCACAGGTGCTTCAGGGCTCAACATTAATGTACCGGTACATCCAACTGACTCTGACTAGTAGAAGTTTGGTAGGGCTAGTTTATTTTGTATCAAAGTAGCCCGACTGGTAAAAATTTCTAGACACCTGATTCAAACGTGTGCTTTCTTGTTTTTTTCAAAATGTTCAATCAGGTTTCATTTCTGTTGAAAAATATACCTCGCCAATCTTGCCACCATTTGATTTTCTCATAAAGGCTCAACTCTACTCAGTTATACTTCCTGCCATCATTTTCTTTTATCTGTAGCATGGTATAATTTTAATTTAACCAGGCCTAGAACTAAATTGAGTTTAAATACCCCAGTACATCTCTACTCTTTCTGTTTTTTTTCTCCCTTGAATTCAATAAAATGAAATTTTTTCAGTAATATATTATACAATTTTTTTTTTACAAGAAAAAGACCCACTTATGATGACAATCAAATTTTTGATGATGTTGTTATTAGTCCCCCTACCTCTGAGTCTCTCCCAGGCCCATAGGAAGCAATTTCAGTTTGTGGGGGCACAGCCATACATTTTTGATTTGAGGGGGACTGTCAACTACATGTACCAAAAATTCTTGACAATTAAGCAAAAAAAAAAAAAAAGAGGGTCATCAGGCATTTTGATTGAGGGGGCACAAACATATAGTATCTATGTTTTCTATAGTAATCTATATATTGGCAAAATTATTGGGGGAGCATGGCCCCCCCTGTGCCCCCCCCCCCCCCCCGGTTCCTACGACCATATATCCATCCATCTGACTATCACGTTTTTTTAATGTCAATATTTTGTAATAATTAATTGAGTCATTCAATGATCCTCGGATACTAGGTCAGTCATACTGAAGTTGAGGTCAGGTCTAGTAAAATATTTTAGGAACCGGGTGCTCGTCCAACTGGTCTAGTTTGTTTTCGAGTTAATGTGCTGTTAGATTTTCTCTGGAAAAAGAAGCTGTGCACTATTTTGGCATGGTATGCTTATGCTTTATAAATCCTAGGTACATTATGCAAAATAGTTGGGACTTGATCTTACAGGAAGCATAGTAATAGGTAATATTTCACATTAGTGCTTAATTTCAAGTCAATCAAAATTTGAGGTGTATTAAATTTAAAGCTAGGAACAATCATACTTATCTAAACCCTTTTTGCAATGTTCCCATTTTCTGTTTTCTGCAGTCTTAACTGGTGATTTAACACAATTTTCAACATTAGCCCAACATAGGCATGGGGGGGGGGGGGGGGGGGCTACCCACTTTTTTTGCAAAGATAGACATAATATAGGCATTGAAAATTGGGGCTTACCTTTTTATGTTGGTTTAGCCCCCCCCCCCCCCACTTTCAATTAGCCACCCCACTTTCAATTTGCTTCCGACACCTATGCCCAAGGTGATGAAATAACTGTTTGCATTATCACAGATTGGGAAAAAAAGATAGTTGATTTACTTTGTAAAAGATGGCTACAAATCATTAATAATTCATAGTTCACTGTGTTCTGTACTTTGTCAATGTTAACTTAAATATTGATATAGACTGGTCATGCTTCTTCTCCATTCAACACTGTCTATCTTAGATAGACTCCACATGTATACTCCTCTGTACTTACCAAAGACTTTGTAAAGGGCCTGGCCACGAAAAATATCACTTTGTAGAACCACCAGTTTCTAGAGAGGTGTGTGTACATCACATTTCCAGGGTGTATTGAGTTACTAGTAACTCCTTTATCTGACAGAAGTTTGTTTAGGTGAAGAGAAAATAGGACATTACATAGTTTAGAGTTATTGTAAGCCTGCAAGTCCTGATATTGGTTGCGCATGGGAGATAACTTGCCCTCACTGATGTTGTCAAGGGAAAGGTCACTAGCTCTGCAATAAAAGGCATTTCAAAATACTCAAAATAAGAAAGAGTGTATAACTAAAATGTCTAAAAGAGATGGATTTATAATAATTTAATACATATACCACATATTAAGTATAAGTTTACAAACTGAATCATTTTCTTTAATACCGGTATATGTTTTATTTCTAATTTCAAAATACTGTAATAAAATAACTTGGAATTTTTTTCTTTTTTCATCCATTAAAAATATAAAAATTTAAATACAAAACTCAGTTGATCATATATCAGCGAGTTATTTAAGGTACTAAGACATATTAGGCATTTAATCTTTATGCATTACAGTGTTCATTCTACATATTTGCCAAACTTAATTACAACACATCCTGGCCTAGTTTCCTTGAAATCAAACACAGAATTATTGTGGTATTTTCAATGTAGCCAGAATACTGTAAATGTACTTATTTTAGCATGTGTTGTGCTGCTTCTAATTCAAGTACACGCTAATTTATGTATATAATTAAGTGAAAAACAAATACATATAGAAGCTTGGATCCAAATGCACTAATTCATGATTAGATGCTAATAAGTTGATGAAGAAGACTGCACAAGATGTTGAGTGTTAATTTATGAACATTTACATATATGGTATTACATTCCAGATAACTACTGAGCTGCTTGTAAATCATGGTACCATCTGGATGCCATTTTCAACCATGGTAAATTATATTGACTGTAACAAAATTCCTAGGTCTGCTTTCTTAGGTCAATTAACAAAGCACAAATTAATTGAAATTGTTTTTCAATTGCACAAGAATAAAAAACTATAAACTACTTCCTATTAGTAGGTATAACTTACAAGATAAATTAATTCAAATCTCTATCAACTTTGAACAGTTTACATCAAATTTTGATTAATCTTGCTTACAGATTTAAATTGCATATTTTCTGTTGTGTTTTCATCATGTCATAAACTAGATTTGCCAGCAATCCTAAAAATACCACTAATAGCACTGGCTAAACATTAAAATATAAATAGTTGTACATTTGAAATAAATTTCATCATCTAGATCTAATCAGGGTTGCACTCCACCATAAATACAGCCCTCTACTTCCATGTAGAATACTTGGTTATAAGAAAGTCACTGGGACCCTGAGTTTTGCTTTAATTCTTACAAGGGAGATTCTTTATACCCATATAAGGAACATAATGAAAAAATCTTTATAACCGAGGTTTCTTTATACCCAAGTTTGTGATAACCAAGTTTTACTGCATGCTAATCAATGTTACCCATAATACTCCTAGATCTAATGCTCTTCAGGAGGGGGAAAAGATCTTATTTGAAGTTGCATTTTATCAGTACCTGTGTGATTCCGAGGACACTATTACGATTCGCGATGGAGAAGATGATGCTAGAACCTCCCACAGAAGCTTGGTCAGGTAAAACTGGGCCAGATGATTTACTTGGAAGGTTATTTCAATGTCATCTTCAGTTTTTGTAAAAGGCAAACCAAACACTGCAGCATTCAGAATCAGTAAATGCAGTGGCCTAAATAAAATTGTTAGAAAGGATAAATCATATCAGTATGTATATTTGAGGGTAAAAAAAATTCACAGTACTCAGGTGCAAATTATATCAATCCAATAAAAAGATATTTTATGGTTCAATGCTTTCAATTACCTTGCGATACCTACTTACTGCTGCTCTTTTGCAATGAAGTCAAGAAAGCAAGCTCTAAATTGCACATCATTTTCGGAGCATAACATATTGTTTACATTATAACGTAGTGATAATCAAATGATTTGAACAATGAGTATGCCAAAGGTAAAATGTACTGCCAACGATGCTGCACGACAAAGAGTAAATCATCTTACTTGGAATTTTTAGACTTCCAAAAGTAACATTTATCATTAACAAATAGTTGCATTGGTAATTAGAAGAGTTGGTTTCATAAAAAAATATCTACAAAACTGTAACACAGGAGAACTTGCATCTTCTAAGTTTTATCAGCATGGTGCACCAACAGTAAGCAACATGTTTTACCATTAATTCTTTCTTATATGTCCTTTAAAAGCTTTGAGTCTACAGTGATCAATCTTGTAGCGTATTCAATAGCACATTGCCCCCGGCTAATTGACGTTTCCTACCTACACTGCAAAAGTTCCGTTAAGTTCAGTAATTGTGATTTCAAGTATTGAGTCCTTTCATATTTTTACTTTTTTGCATTGAATACAGATCATTTATTGATCTGCAATGAATTGATAATACATGTAAAATTTGGAAGAGTTTAACATCCCATTCTATGCATATTACTTTCTAAGTTATAAGAATATTTTATACTTTTCATTACTTGAGAAATGAAAAAAATTAATTCAAAATAGTTCTCTGTGCTTTTTAAATCAAACTTTCTTACAAAATATAATAAACTATTAAAATGAGGATCAATCCTTTAAAATATTTCCCCATGACTTTATACAAATAATGTGCTCTGAAGAAAATATTAAACCCAGTTCAGTTAATTCTGTCATGAATTCAATTCTTTAATACATTGATGAAAAGAATTAAGGAGATATTTTTTCCTTCAAATTAATCTTCTTTTTTACCATTTATTTGATCTGTATTCCTCAGCAAACATCCTCACACTCTTCAAAGAAGCTAGGTCCAAATGCATGACTTCTAATTTGGCAGATGGCCTCTCTTCCAGAATAGTCTTTTTACATTTGTTTGCTGCCTCCAGATTTCTGCAGGCCAGAATAACTGTAGCACCAAAGTAAGCCAAAGTTCTCGCAGTTTCATACCCTACAAATAAATAATATACATGTATATATTCAAAAGTTGATTTCTTCTGTTCAGATGGGGTACCCCATCATAATCAGTCAAAGCTAATGTATCAGCTGATATTTCAAAAATAAATCCAACTAAAAATATGAGCATTATCACATGTATACATTCATTTATTCCTTCATTTTTTTTTTCCAAATGCAAAAGGAATGTTTTATTGGTTCTTTGGTTCTTTATTTGATTCTAAAGAACCAGAACCTCATTATCATCTTTGTAAACTGATACATGTCTATTATTTGGCATTCCTTGGTGGCAAAATAATAGATGTTACTGGCATGACATTATTAGCAAGTATTCACTATAAGAGTGTTGCTAAAAATATTTTTCATATAAATAAGCAAACATAAAAATCATTTCATTCTTATTTCAAAATTCCAACAGAAAATGAATGTGACCTACTAAATCTACTACAAGAGTCTTACATATTAAATACAAGTACTTTAAAATGCTTATAGTTCAATATAAAATTTTTAAAAAAATATAATAAAACTTCCAGAGGGAACAGAGAAACTAATTTGCAAAAAAAGGGTACTCAAGAAAACACTCTAAAAGATTAGCATTATAATTACATATTAATATTATTTACCAATCCCACTGTTTGCCCCTGTCACAATTGCATATTTTCCAGAAAGGTCTTTCCCCTGAACCACTTGCATTGCAGCAGTATTTCCATCAAACTTCTGTTTAAAATCTAAAGGTGTTTTCTTTTCATCCTCTGCAAATGCTAACCTTGGATCTGTGTACGTCGTCTTTTTGTTGATATGGCTGAAATATATATGATAAATCAGTAAGAAAATTGAAATAAGATTGATCTCTCATGTTATTATTCTTAGAAAATCGCCAGTTAAAATCTACATTACTAGAAATGAACAGAACCCATGCCAACATGGTATCCACTTGTTGGCTTAATAGCACTAGTACAGGAATTTAATTCAATGTGGTAGTGTAAGGTATCAGCAGAGCTAGCTGCCAACATCATGAAACATCATGAAATGAAAAATCGTAAGAAAGGAGTCCAGTGGCCACCTAGGCTGCTGGAGATTTTTATCCCCTCGCAACGGGATCGAATGTTGCCTTGATATATGTATACTTTTAAGCATGTAATAATTCATATCAGGAATGATATGCTCTTTTTCGAGGGGATGCTAAGCTTTTAAGGTATATAACTGAGAGAAGCATTGTATAAAATTAATGCAAATGTTAGATTTCAGCTGGATTAAGATTCCATCAACAGTTTGCATCACTGTTAACTCACTGCACAACTTCAAGTGTGTAATTTTCTAATGTATTTATGTACTCACTCCACAAATACTATAACACCATCATCAGTTATTTGTTTTTCCCATCCATAAGGCAAATCTAAAAAACAAAAAAACAAATAAGATGAAATCCCAGTCCCCCCTATGTTAAAGACTATTTTCACACCATATTAACACAGATAACTTCACAACTACAAGCTGTAACTGATGGTAATTTTTTTGCATTATTTAACACCCACTTATACAACTAAGATAATAACAGAGTTCTGATAGGAAATTCAGAATGATAAGTAAAATAAGGCTGCTAAACCGCATGCATGATGTGCACTTTTATTCTAATGGCTATTGCTTAATTATCTCTCAGACACATTAACAATAAATACCAAACCTGAACGGGATACTGATGACAAGGTTTAAACAAAGAAGTAACCTGATCTTGAGACCCTTGACCTTGACCTTTGACCTACTTTTCAAAATACACCATAGTGTTAATATACACATATTCTTTGACCTTTGAGAGATAGGTTTGTTCTAGGTTTGACGGAAAAGGTTGTGTGATGTTCCAAATGTTCTGTCAGTTGTCTAAAAATAAATCAGGATCTGTTGTATCAGGTACGTATACACTAATGGGATAGGCAACTCCTTCAGCGCCAAGTTTATTCGCCCAAAACATCACACATAACATTGCAAATTTCTCAAACTACATTTATCCCCAGTAAACAGTTTAATTTTTTGTGATAAATGTAATCTGTTCTTTTTGTTTAATGGAATGGAATTTTATTAAATTGCATACATTTCAAAATAATTTAATTATAAAACAAACAATAAACAATTTGGCAAATTCTTGGAAATACGACTGATCAGGGGCAAGTGTTGATTTTTAATACATACAATGTAATTATACTGAAATAAGGAGCATAAACAGTGCTAATAACAAATCTTGAATAATTTTTGGGTAAATAAATAAAGGTTTTGTTCTGAAACATTTTATTGCATTATGATCAGAGATATACTGTAAAAGCAGAAATATTTGTTGGGGATTTATTTTCGTTTATTTCGTTGTTAACAATTATCAAAGAAATTAAATCCCACACGAAACTTTTATATGACTTTATGTAGAATAGGGTTACTTTCAAAACAATGAATTTTAATGCCCACGAAACCTTCTTAGATGACAAAACAACAAAATTTTATCCCCACGAAAATTTGTGCTTCTACAGTAATATATATAAAATCAACCTACGAAATCCTGCAACTTATAAGATATTGTGACAGTTACCTATCCCGTTAGTATATATGTCCCTGCAGGCTGCTTGTACCAGTTAATAAATATTAAAATAATTATTTTTAATAAATTCTATTATTTAAATTATTCATTTATTTTGAATTTCTATTGATTGTGACTTTTATTAAATATTATTTATTGCAGTCTTAATTACTGTGGCTGTTTTGTTTTGTTTTTTGTTTTTTTGGCTTGAACTATGATGCTAGTATGATATTTAAAAAATGATCATCCTTTAGTTTTATTTATGTTTTTAATGATGCTACGGAAGGAAATACATCTGTTCCTTGGAACACTCAAGTTTAAAATTCTATCGTGCCTCAAATGAATTTAATCCTTTGAAAAGTGATTGAAAGGAAGAAACCTCTGCAAGTGCAGGTGTTTTTGCAGATCGAATTAGTAGCCTGAATTTAGGCCAATCTTCTCCCAACAATGGCCAACATCTGTTTAAAAAACTCCCGCATGCACAACATGCACAATGACTATATTCCGAACTTGTGACCTCTGGGTCAGTGCACATGGCTGGAAGACAGTAATTGACGGCTTTCACATTCTGAAGTGTTATCTGTCTTTGTCAGCACAATGCTCATTTTTCTTCTTTATCCTTTGTAACTTACCTGTAAATATTTTAAACCTTCAAAGGCTTTCAGAGTATTTTGCTTTGTTCTTGTATTGCCATCATGGCATGGTATTGGACTTAAAAGATAACATAATGAACATATACAGACAGATTTAATTTGTACGACAGTGCAACATAAAGTTAGTAATATTATAGAGGGAAAACAGCGGGTTATGCCGATTGACCCTGCAAAGGGAAATAACTAAATGTGAAAGTCGTCTATTCAGAAAGCAGTGGGTTTTTTTTAAATGATTTAACAGGTTAATTGTTTCAGGTTTGGCCTGATCCAATAAGCTATAATAAATACAAAAACAAATGCACTATTTTATAAGTTATTTAACTTATTGATTGTTGATATATTATAAAAGCTGTTATGGCTATAATTTTTATTATTAATGAGAGAAGAATCTTTTGTGATGGACTTTGAAATGTTAAGCAGTGCATATATTAACCTCCTTTTATCTGTTTCCTCTTCCCACTGCGAGGATGGTCCCATTGTGTAGCCTTAGTCTCATGACTGAAATTAATCAAACCATGTTTTAATATAACAGATTATGAGATGCCACAGGAGTTCGCAATTTTATCAATAAAGTCAATAAAAATCACTCGATTGACCAAGCCATGAGCTATGCGTTAGCATAGCGAACAGGTGGAGATACATACACAAGTTAAATTTTAAGCCTAGCTACATCTTACGGGTTATCTTCATATGTTTGACAAACAAATTAACCTTTCAATTAATTATGAACTACATATATTTTCCTTAACGAATTACTTTGCATAATACACTTGACCCTGTGCAGATACACGTTCTTCCCAACCCGGTGGTAGTTCATCTTCACTGTCAGTGTCAATTATGGGCGCAGACATTTTGTTCCCAAAAAGTCACATGATACGAGCACCCTTCTTTCCGATATTTCAAATTAAAATGATACAGCTTTTTTTTTACGCAATTTAATGTTTTTAAATAAAACTGATTATAGATGCGGATTATACTTTTCTTTTTACATTTCAGGAAAGTATAGATATTTAAATTTGAAGTTATTTGATTTGAACTTTATTTTCTCCACCAAATAACACGAAGGTTCCATGGTGTAATGGTTAGCACTCTGGACTCTGAATCCAGCGATCCGAGTTCAAATCTCGGTGGAACCTGAACTTTTTTTTTTTTTTTCCCCACGATTATAAGAAAGGATAAATAACACAAATATCAGCAATGAGTCTAATGGATATATGTTCATATAGATATTTTGAATTAAATGTAGAAATTTTGTAAGATGTACTTAAAACGTGTGCAAAAATTTGTCTCGAATTATACAGAAAATGGCACATATTTAAACAACAAAGAATACATCACTGTACATGTATTATTATTTATGTCATTTCTATTCAAAATCAGCCAAGAAAAAAATCTAGGCGTATTTTGTGTGTGTGTATGTGTGTGTTATAGTTTATCCAAACCAGTAGAAAATTCCCGCGGCAGTACGTTCTCTCTCTGATATTTTTTTTTTTATTTTATTTTGTTTTTTAAATTTAATCCACCAAGAAGAACACCACTCGAGGTGACCGGCACCTCAACGCCCACGCATTATTTACAATGCCAATAGTCGGATATCTTCACTAGAAATCATACAAAATTTAAACATATACACTAAGGGTCCGCTAGCACTGGTTCTCTGCCCTTGATTCCAGTCGCTGCCGCTAGGAATTACAAGTTTTTTAGGGCGCTTGCGCCCGTTAACCAATGTCAGGGTACCAGTCTAAGGGTCCGCATCCCAAGAAATCCCGTCCGGTTTAGCTATGAGCTGAACTCAATACAAGTGCTATTAACGCTAATCACCGATATTCCCCTAAGAGTGATTCGAGACAATTTATGGCAGAATCTTGTAGAGGTGGATCTAAAAAAAAAAATACTTTTACAAATATTTTCCTCGGATGTCATTGATAATTATAGCATTTATTTCCTTTAATATGCTCAATATGATTTTGCTACCACGCGTTCTTCTACCTTTTTGCATGTGGAATTTATTTAAATTTTATTTAGAATTAATTAAATTTATCTTGAAATTTAGCGATTTCTTTTTTATTATAGCCTTAAAATATTTTTAAATCTAAGGAGAATCTATAGTGTACAAGTCCCTCTAAGACACCGTGAGTTACCCCATACCCTGCATATTTAACTTACCCCTTTAGAAGGGGTACTACTAAACAGAGAACCCTAGAGAACTCTAAAGAACCCTAGAGAACCCTAATGATTTTTAATTATTTATTGTTTGTAAATGAAATATTTATGTTTTAAATAACCAATATATCATACAAAAACAAAATAAAATTTTAAAAAAGAATATTATGACAGGTGTTATGCTTATTTTCAATGGAATACTAATGTATGAAGATTTCATCATACTTTGTGTTATTTTAATTATTTTTTCAAATAATTTTACGCCAGAGTTAATAACTAAGAGTTCTATATAACTTTAAAAAATAAAATTAATGAAAAATAATGTGAAAAAGAATTGTAAAATTATGTGGTAAAATTATTATTTCAATTAACAACGTATTTGAAATTCGGTTGGGATCGGGATGACATAAAATATTACACTACTCTATGTTGTTACGTTTTCAACTTTTTTCGAGGGAAAACATCCATAAAAAATTCATGTTATTGATTTTATAGATAGAATATGATTTATAAAGTAAAAATAAACTCAATTATGCATAAAATTTATTTGAATTGACCAAATAAACCTTGAGTTCTCTAGGGTTCTCTAGGGTTCTCTGTTTAGTAGGACCGCTTTAGAAGAAGGTAAACATGGCCTATTTACACCCTTCCTACTACGCATTCAAAGGCAATATTTCTCAATATTTGAAATTTTAATTCTTTTCCCCCAGACACTCTCCTTCCCATCTATGCCCTAAAATCAGCCCATTCCACCCCGTATACATCCGAAGACATATTTATGAAAAAAACCTGTGTTTTTATATGGCACTACTTGGTCAATGAAAAGGGGTAAAATTAGTAACCTGTGATACGCTTACACTTTCTAGAAAAAAAAAAACTTTCTAGAAAAAAAAAAGGGTTACAAACTCAAACATGGAATTTAATTTCCTTTTTATTTTAATTTGTTTATCGTTTACTCGTTTATTTTCTATAATTATATGTTTCATTTTAAACTCGTTATTATTATTGAGCAAGTAGGAAATTGAAATCACGCCCCCCCCCCCTCCAATGAAAGGCCTTATATTATATTGTTCTTTTAAAGCTTTAATTTTAAATCTGAAAAAAATGTTGGATCCTTCCCTCAACAGTGCTGCCATCATTTGTCTCGCATCACTCTCATGGGTAATATAAAGATTAGCGTTAATTGCGCTTTGATTGAATTCAGTCTAAAGCAACACCGGAGAAAATCCACAGAATTTCTTCCCATGTGTAACACTTAGCAACTCAAATTTCTAAAATGATTTAGAGTTTTAGATTTTTAATATTTTAGTTCAAATCCTTAATTTCAAAAACTGAAATTGATCTCGTAGTTTGAAATTTGATATTTTAGTTCAAAAATATAAATTTTCAAATATCCAAACATGTTTTTAAAATTTTAAATATGAAGATTTTTACCTCAGATATATTCAAAATTCAAATTTCCAAAATCAATTTTTGTATTTTAAACTTTTGTGTTTTTAATCTATCGTCCTCTAGGCCTTCCATTTAATTGTAGGAGACAACAGTTTACTATTAAGTATTTTTACAGTAGACGCGAAAGGACCATATGGAGAAATGTGTACATTTTGCTATTTTGCATAGCGACCATATTGTATTCAATATTGCAGATTTCTGTTCAATATATTATATAAGGATTTTCAGAAAAACAGAGATAAAGAAATATCATCAATTAGGAATAATTTCTTCCTCTTATGGCTCTCTTTTTTTTTTATTGTATCCAGGATCGGGATGCACTCCTTTACAAAATGACGAAAATTAAGTTGATTTGAGTTGCATTTGAAAATCCGAAGCGAAGCTTCATTACATTGTTGATCATAGAAATTATATGTTGAAAGAGTTTGGAACGCTTTCATAAAAAAATCTTGGCAATGTTTTTTTTCCCGCAGTAACTGACACGTTGACCATGTTGACCACCAACCGCAGAACAGTGTAGAATGCAGGGAGATGGGGGAAGCATGCTTAGTCAAATTTTTTTTACAAAATTTACATGTAATTTATCGCAAGATTTTTTGAAACAAATGGATATATAAAAGTCCATAAAATATCAACCTATGCACACTAGGTCAAACAATGTGTGAGCATGAACAGATGAACGGAGCAATGTTGGTGGAAATAAATTCAGCAGAAAGATTTGATTTACTTCTAAAATTTTGACTGAACAGGTGAGCTCAATTGTCCCACTAAGAACTGTCCAGCACGCACGATCTAACAAAGTAGGTCCCTCCATTAATAGTAGGTGGAGGGTAATTGTAATGTTTGTTTGTTTGTTTTTTTATGTCGAAGATTAGGGGGTATATAGTTTTTGCCCTGTCCGTCCGTCTGTCTGTTTGTCCGCAAAAACTTTAACCTTGCCCATAACTTTTGATTGGTTGGAGCCATGGCTTTCATATTTTTACATATGTATTCCTTGTGACAAGACCTTTCTTTGGGTACCGCCATATTTGACCTTTTGACCTTGACCTTGGAGTTTGACCCAGTTTTGCAAAATTTTACCAAACTTTAACATTGGCCATAGCTTTTGAAATATGGGTGCGAGGGCTTTCATACTTCACATGTGTAATCCTTGTGAAAAGACCTTCCTTTGGATACCAACAACTTTGACCTTCTGACCTTGACTTAGGAGTTTGACCTACTTTTGAAAAACTTTAACCTTGGCCATAACTTTTGAACAATTGGTGCTAGGGCTTTCAAATTTCACATATGTAATCCTTGTGACAAGACCTTCCTTTGGATATCAACAACTTTGACCCTTTGACATTGACCTTGGAGTTTGACCTACTTTTGAAAAACTTTAACCTTGGCCATAACTTTTGAACAATTGGTTCTAGGGCTTTCATATTTCACATGTGTAATCCTTGTGACAAGACCTTCCTTTGGATACCAACCACTTTGACCCTGACCTACTTTCGAAAAACTTTAACCCCATAACTTTTGAATGGTTGGTGCTAGGGCTTTCATACTTCACATATATAATCCTTGTGACAAGACCTTCCTTTGGTTACCAACAACTTTGACCTTGACATTTTACTTACTTTTGAAAAACTTTAACCTTCGCCTTAACTATTGAACAGTTGGAGCTAGGGCTTTCAAATTTCACAGATATATTCCTCGATCGAGACAAGACCTTTCTTTGGGTATCCACATTTTTTATTTTTTGGCCTGAAATTTGACTTGCATTTGAGAAACTTTAACCTAGGCCATAAGCTGCCATACGGGGGCATCAGTGTTTCACAAACACATCTTTTTTTGTGACTGAGTGATTAAAGATTAAAAACCCTATACATACACTGCGCAGAGTGAGCTGTCCTTAGATTTAAAATGAAATAAATTGTAATCTAAAGTTTAATACTTAATTTGTAATCAATTCAAGCATTTTAAATATTTCATTTGACCCAGATGAATTAATTGAAGACTTTAATTGCATACAAGTTTACGTACTTTTTCTCATTTAAGTAAGCTACAGCGATTTCAGTTACACAACACTTCATTTCTTTGAATATTTTTTCGGGGGTAGATGGCACGTACTTTGTGCTGAAAATAAAATAGATAACTCCATATTCACATCTTTATATGATATAATTTCCTCAGAGTCCAAAAAACATTTTTCATGGGTGAATAGAGGGCCCTATCGTCGCAAACCATGGGCCTAGAAGTACGGTGAACTCCCATTCTGGACGGGTAGGTTCTCCTAAGAGCGGACTCCAGACCGTGGCTTGAGACGATGAGAGGGTCCATAGCGTAAAAGTAAAATTAAACATAGCTCCACATTTGTAAAGAGAGGGACAAAATATAGTGAGGTCCCACCGAGATTTGAACTCGGATCGCTGGATTCAAAGTCCAGAGTGCTAACCATTACACCATGGGACCTTATTACTATACTCGGGATTAATGTTTGACAGTATACTATATTGTGAAATATAGCCGGATAAAATTGTAATATTGTAAGTAGTATTGTCAAGGATTAATTTGTTTTGATGAATTTGATGATATAAACACTTTTATATTTATTGGAAATACTGTTTAATTTCATAAATTATTCATAAAGTCTGTATTGATAAATGTATATTATTTTGTAGAAATCCGTTTTAACTATTTTTCATTATTTACTAAACCGGAAGTTAAAATTTCCCAAAGCGATGCAACATTACAATATGGCGATTCAGCATGTTATGTGACAAGACAATTTTTTGATATTTCCCATAATGAACCCCAACGTCCAGGTAGTCACAGATGTTAGACGTATGGATATATGAGATCTTTTTTTCCTTTGCAATGCTTGTCATTGCCTTTTATTTTGCATTTGTAGTGACAGCTACTTGAACTTAAGACATGGTTTTACATGGAGTTTGTTCATATTATTCCTGTTTATATGTTTTAGTTTATTGTTTGTTTGCATATTAAAGTTATTGATGTGTGAAATAATGTTCTGATAATTTTAATTTGATAGGAAGTTACCTTCAATTAGAGACATATTTTTAGTTGCTTTCTTTCACTGATTTTTTTCTTGGTAATTAGTATCAAGGTGAGTCTTCATATTTTCATGATTTTATCAGTCTGATTGGACTAGTGAAACTAGTTAGAGTAATCTAACTGTGTCTCAGGATAAGCCCTCACCACAGTTAGAATACGTCCCATATACTTGCAATGTACCAAATCAGAGTGTGATTTTGAAGAATACAAAAGGAGTTGCACTGAAAATAACTACCAAATTAATTGTAACAAACCTTTTTGAGATGGTATATATCTTTTAATCTAAAAAATAATCCACATAAATACGAAAATTCAACTCATTATCTCAACGTTTTTTCCTCGCTTCAAATTTAACGCCATGTTGACATTCAGAACTCCCTGGATTGTTCATAGAAAATGCACAGAGTACGGGTTATCGCCCATGTTTATTTTGCAACATTGCTAACACACGGAACAAATTCTATCGTTAAACTGGGTCCGTAGGACAATATCATTTTAACGATAGAACGTTCTATCTAAGTGAAAACCAGTAGGTTTTACTAGTTCGGTGTCTCGGACATGCAAATCTTGGGGGTGAAATGATATACCTCCTTCAATCACAATAGTTATCATAATATGTTGACAGTGCGACCGTTAGGGCGAGTGCAGATATTTATTCAGGTTTAATTAAGATTGGGCTCTATCGTCAAACTTCACATGACATTTGGTGTGTCTAGACTCTGACGTCACATGACGTCGTATTTAAGTTGCATTACCAAACCGGAGCCTGAACATTGTTGACTATAATGAAGAACGTTTTATTTACTATTTATCTTCAATATATCCATTAAATCAAGGGGAGCTTATTTTTTGTTAAACTGTTGTTGTTATTCTCGCGAGAACATATCTTAAACAAGCAATGCATAGGGTCCAAAAGTTACTGCGGAAAAAAATTTGTTTGGATCAATGTGTAAGTCCGAATTTTTTCTTCGCCCAGGCATTGACGTTAGAGCTCTCATTGCGCTCGCTATAATTTTGTCACGTTAGGGTTATTTTTAGGGTTATTTTTTTTCGATACGATACATTTTGATAGAAGAAACAAATTCAAACAATGAAAATACATCTTTTGCTTAAAGTACATTTTGTTTATTTTAAATAAAAAAATGTAATTTGTGTGTTTTTGCAAACCTCGCAAAATATTTTCAAAATAATGCACATCTTATGTAATTTGAGTGTTCTGACTGGATTTTTTTTTTAATGCTAGGGACTAAACTTCCTGGATGTAACAAGCTTAGATCCTCAAGAACAGCAGAGGGTAAATGACATACTGTTTGGACAGAGGAGCAGAGTGTTGGGAAAGGTGGAAGTAAGTAAAAACCAGATGACTGTCATTTCAGTATTACCTATGATGAATACATGTACCAGTGAAGAGTGATTTAAGACATTTACCATAACTTATTTATTTGAAGTATTGTTGCATACATTCATATTTTCTATCTTCAGACTTCTAGAGTGCATTAGGTTTTATGTCTTTTCAAATGTTTTTTTGTCCGATATTGATTTTTCAACCTCATTGTTGTAATGAGTATAAATTTTAATTTGTTCTTTATAGTTTCCATGGGGAAATTTAGAGCCAAGAAGATTTGGTAAGTAACATTTATTTTAAGAAGGAGACTGTTTTTTTTTTTTTAAAGGGGGGGGGGGGGGGTATTTTAAGCCTATGTGCCCAATGCAATCTTTACCTTTTGATAACTTAAAATATTTACATTTCCAATGTCTTTGTCCGGGATAAAATTTCAAATAGTAAAAATACTTTATTTCTACATAAATCTACTGGTTCATCGATAGGCGTGGTAAAAAAAAAAATCACGTGCTTGGCGGGAACAAATAGAGACAGAAGCAGGACTTGTAGCACGTGAATTTGCAGAATCAAGAGCATGTAAATATAAGGAATAACTGTCAGATTTTTTGGTTTCATGACGATGATCAATCAATTGGCTTGCATGATAATTTTATGCATAAACGCCTTCGGCGTTTATGCAAATTATCACGCAAGCCAATCGATTGATCACATCATGAAACCAAAAAATTAGACAGTTATTCCTTAAGTAAATACTAATTGAAGAAGATGAGTCACACAATAATATTAGAATTAAGTCATTTATATATATACTTTTTATGGTGTGAAATTCATTTAGAACGACATGGTATTAAATTACTGTAGGACAGTTCTTGCTGTTTTAACAACCCAAAATAGCACCAAGTTGTCTTTCTTCAGTGTAATGTGGATTATACAGTACCCCCCAGAAAGATTATATATTTTCTTGGCCAATATTAGAACAAAGAGACATTTTTCTATAGATTGCATTTACCTCTTAGTCTAATGAATCGTAATGAAGTCTTGAAATATCATATTACAGGGGAAGGAGATGTTGACTGTCACACTCAACCTAATGTCTCTGCCCAGGGACTCTCAGACTCATCTGTACATCACACAGAAAAACACCCCGAACAAGCTATAAGCAGTAATGCTACAGACAAAATTGTGTGTAATTCTGAAAAGGCATTTGAAGTGGAAAACTTTTATATAAATAATGCTAAAACCAAGGAACAGTCAACGAACAGAAATGCTGGGAAACCATATGAGAGGAGAAACAAAAAGAGAAGACCTCCAGATTACTATCAGAGGTTTGAGGAAGCAGCTCATGTGGAAAATTCCATTTTGACAGGCAGTCAGGAGGAAAGTAGACCTTTAATGTGGCATGAAGAGGTGGAACAGTCTCTTCCATTGCTAGACAATCAGGTGGACAGTTTTCCTGCCACAGGAAATTTTTCTTCACAAGGCAACTCCTACTTGGAGCAGAGAGGTGTTCATTCCAGTAACAGTGCTCAGACAGATCATTATCCACAGCATCAGAACTTTGGTGCTAACTTCCAAGGAAATGTTACTATTGACAATTTGATCTCAAAACAGCCAGAATTCATTCCACCCAGCAGATCATCAGAGGAAATTTGTAGTCATTCAAGCAATTTCTCACAATGGCAGCAGCCAGTTCTAACATCTGCAGATACATATAATTCTTCTTCTAAGCAATCTGCTCCAATTTCACAGTTCAATGTGTCTGGTTTTGACTCAGCTTCATTCACAAAAGTGTCCCCATCTATGCACCATAGTGGGCCTTCCCATGAGACCACTAACTTTGTATCAACACCTTCTGTGATGTCACATGGAGTTTCTTATGCTGGAGGAAGCACAGAAATCTCTTCTACTAATGCATCCTTCCAGACTGAATCACAAAACATTGAAAAATTGTCAGAACACATTTCAATGGTATCTGTGCAACATCCAGCACAAAATGTGACACCAAATACTTGTAGTAATAGTAATTTAGCTCTTGATGGCTCAGGAAAAAATTCCTCCATGATCCAAGAATCATCTGTTGATTCTTTCTCCTCATGTATCCCCCCAGTTTCTAGTCAGCATTTGATTGACCAAGAATCAAAAGACAATGTGGATTCAGCAGATCAACCTCTCACATTTGATTTTGATCAGCCTCGCACAGACCTGGACCCAGATCAATATCCAGTTTTGGGTAAGACAAGCGGACCCTTTTCTGAGGAATCCCCTAGAGACTCAGCAGAAGGGTTATCTGTACAAAGTACCTCACCGCAAAGTGTTCCTCCTCAAGCTGTCAAACCAAAGTCTGCATCATGGGCGGGGCTGTTCAGTAACGTAGACCCAGCGAGACAGGGATTTGTAGTGACTACTAGTTGGGCATCTACTCCAACTACTGACACCCCCAAACCAGCTGAGACACCCAAAACAGAGTCTAAGTTACCATGTGCACCAGTGGATGTTTCTGAAGATCCACTTGCCAAAACATTTGGAGGTAAAATTGAATATTGAAAGTGTGTTAAGTATTGTAACTGATAGCTACTTGTCATTAATTTTATCATTATTCACACCCAAATCATTATTTGTTAAGTGTAGATCTATAGTTGAGTTTGCAAGAGATACAGTTGGTTGGCTTACTCTCAGAATTAATTTGTAAGTTTTACATTGATGAAACATTTTGTAATGTAGACTCCCTGTCTCGGATGAAGGTCAACCATGTTCCCATTGGACTTCAGCCGAGAGGACTGATGAATCGAGGCAACTGGTGCTATATTAATGCTGTATCCTTTGGAGAAAAACTTTATAAAACAATGAATTTGAGATTTATTCCAGTACATTTATCATTAAATAATTTTTTTTTTCATAATTTTTGGAAGTATTTTAGGGAAAAAAAGGATCAAAGAAAAGTTTGTGTTTACTTTTCCTGACTAATATTTCAGACTTTGCAGGCTTTAGTCTCCTGTCCGCCATTTTACAATGTGATGAAAAAATTCCCCATTCACCCCCCTGTAAGACGGGGCAAAAGCTGCACACCTATCTTAGATAGCATGTAAGGAAAAAAATATCAAAATATTTTGAAACTTGAGATGTACTGTATTGCAGTGTTCACATATTCCACATACTTGTACAAAGTGAGGATAGTTACTTTTATGTGGTACGTTTTTGTTTTCAGAGTCCAGTTTGTTCATGAATTCCATCCATGTGGCAGACCTACAGAAAGGGGTAAGAATATAGTAAATGTCCTACATTGGATTCTGATCTGTGTGTATTTGCTGTTTATCTGCATGTTTGTAATATTTTTACATTTTGGACTTTTTCTTCCAAAGCACTTGACCAATTTCAAATAACTTTGTTCCAGAGTGTTCTTTAGAAAAGTTAATTCAAGTTTCTTCAGATAAAGAGTGTGTAGATTAAAAATTTTTGGAATTTGTGGAATGTTTAAATATCATATTCATGGTATTTTTCATGTGGAAAATCTGAAAGATACATGTTTACATATGTTTTTTTCATTATGTAGTCATGGGGTTATCAGTGAAATTCATTGAATAACCACATTTTTGGTATCTTTATTTGTAGGAAAGAGGACCTTGACAGACTTGACCCCAGGGCCTGCCTTTGAGCCAACCAATGTTTACAATATGCTTCAAGTCATTGAGGCAAACAAGTCATTTAAGGTCAGTCTTCTCATGGCTTAATTATGGAAAGGGATATACATGTATTATTTAATCAATAAAATGCTTTCTTTGTTATTGTGAGAATAACAACCATTGTAGAAAAAATACATACAGTAAAACTTGTCTAATCCGGTGACCAGTGGTTCCAAAATTTTTGGTCGGATTAGACAACATCCAGATTGGAGAAAATTGAACAGTTATAGCAAGTTAAAAATTACATAGATATAAACAGAGAATGGTAAATAAATACTTGATCAAATGTGTCATTTTTTACGTTTCACTTGAAAAAAAATCGTCTATTTCGTTTGTTTTGAACACTGTTTGTTCTTCAGAATTTTCATTTCTGTTTAAGTTTTTTTTTATTCAGTAACGAAATATAATATCTCTTGGTCATTTATTTAATTTGAAATTCGTTAAATGTTTAAACACACTCCAAAACCTCATCGTAGCTGTAAATCTTTTTTTAGGGACAGATTCCTAATTAATTTCTTTTGTAATTAATATGTTTGTATATTTAGACACTGTCTTTGTTAATTTCAAATGTTATTATAATAATGAATATTGGATTAAAATCTTTTGTCGTTATGGTCGTTGTAAACTAGCGACACCAAGGGAAGTAATTCGAATTGCAAGTCGTTGCATGCAAAACGAAAGAAGAAAGGAGGTCATGAATAAGTCTCCAAGTTTTTCTACAGACATACTACACGCAACCATCACTATCACTCGTTCTTTTGCGAGTTTCCTCGCCTTATTTGAGCCATTAATGATTTTTTTAGCACGTTTGTTAAAATCTTAACTGTCGATACAGGATAGATCATTAACGGGACAGTAATTAACCCCACGCGAGACTTCATTAATGACCAGCGGGCACAGGTAAAAATAAGTGGCCGGATTAGAGGAGATAATTTGTACTAATTATGAGTAGTTAGTTCTTTAAATAGCGGCCGATTTACAGAAAAGGCAATATCCGGATTGAACAACATTTATTAAACATAAATTATAAAGAAAATTTAAGGGACTAAAATATTACACCAGACTGAACAACATGCCGGAATGCACAACATCCGGATTCAACAAGTTTTACTGTATAAACCTGCATAAGTGGGTTATGTAAATTTTTCTGCAATGGTTGCAATTATTAAATTTAACAAAGACATTTTATTGTTTATATTTATGTCATTATTTATGATTGTCTAAAGTAAGTTAAAGTACGTAAAATATTGTATTATTCTGTATGTCATGGTATGTTTCAATGATGGAAGAGGCAACTGCCTAAGAAATCTTTCATACAGATGGTTTTAAAAAAAATTTTTATAATTTAGAGTTAATGGATTGATTAAGGGAAGTGGGTTTCATAAGAAATAAAGGAATATTTAGTGTATGTATTAAATATACAGTTGAACTTCAGTATCTCGAACACTGATATCTCAAATATCATGGATATGTCGAAGTGATTTGGAGGTCCCAACTACTTATTCTTTAAGTATTTTACCCTTGATACCTAGAATCCTCAGATATCTCGAAGTTTTTTCTTGGCACCATCTTGGCACCATCAAGTTCAAGATAACAGGGTTTGACTGTATTTGCAAAACAAATTCTTTGGAAAATCAGTTATTTTTATTTGCCTATATTTTGATGGGACATATGGGCTTTCCCATTGTTAAGGGTATTTGACCTGATAAGATAAAGAAGTCTAACTGGGAGAAATGACATTCCTATATATAAACCATTTTTGTTAACATTTTTCTGCAAGGTATGTTTAAAAAGGTGCACATTTTGATTATAAATTAGAATTCTTTTTGGAAAATAGTTTGCAATAAAGAAAGATTTTATGTGATAGAAAAGGGATGATGAATCTTGCAATCTTTAATGTACCATTCTTTCAATTCACACTTCATGAATGTTGTCATTCATTTATTGTATGGTATTTTGATAGTAATGTCAATTGTGCAGCTTTTTCTATTTTGACAGCTTGGAAAGCAAGAAGATGCTGAGGAATTTCTCAGTTGTATTTTAGATGGATTACATGAAGAAATGTCCACTCTCATCAAATTTGCCAATGGTACATCTACAGGTAACTATAATGCTGAAACTGAGGGAAGCATTCAAGTGACATAAAAATTTCCTGAAAATTTTGAATGCTTTCAAGGTCCTCTAACTATTAAGAGACATGGAACCATCTTTCTGAATTCTTTGGGTTGACAGTTTTGTCCCACATCATTTTTCTTTATTTAGCTTCTGCTGCTTCCAATGGCAGTGTAGCAGAAGATGTGGTTGTGGATGAGAGCTCTGAGGACGCAGGATCCGATTCCTGGGAGCAAGTGGGGCCCAAAAAGAAAAGTGTTTTAACACGACGAGTAAGTACATGTATTGCTATCATGATTTATATATATTTAGAAAGGAATTGTTTATTTCAATCAACATTTGCTTAACTTTTTGAAATTACAGATGTGATTATTAAAATAAGCATTAACTGGAAAGATTCCAAAATTAACACAAATATTTTATTACCTGAATAAGGGGAAGGATGTAGTGTCATGTATGAAGAGAAATTTTAAATCCTTGACTATCATTTCATTTTTTAGGCAACTTTTGAGAAAACCCCTTTAGCTGAGATTTTTGTGGGGTATACAAGATCAGCCCTTTATAAAGCTTCATCTAAAGACTCTGCCACCTTACAGCCATTCTTCACTCTTCAGTTAGACATTCAGGTAGTTTATTACAGCTACTTCTTTATTTAGACATTCAGGTAATTTATTACAGCCACTCTTCAGTTAGACATTCAGGTAATTTATTCAAGCCACTCTTCAGTTAGACATTCAGGTAGTTTAATACAGCCATTCTTCAGTTCGACATTCAGGTAATTTATTACAGCCACTCTTCAGTTAGACATTCAGGTAATTTATTATGGCCATTCTTCAGTTAAACATTCAGGAAGTTCATTACAGCCACTCTTCAGTTAGACATTCAGGTAATTTATTACAGCCATTCTTCAGCTGGACATTCAGGTAATTTATTACAGCCTCTCGTCAGTTGGACAATCAGATAATTTATTACAGCCACTCTTCAGTTAGACATTTAGATAATTTATTACAGGCATTAATTACTATTTTCATTAATAAATGAACATAAAAATTGAATGTACAGTTATTCATGCCCTTCTCCTTTCAATGTTTGAGTTTCATTGTCATATCAAACGGTAAATTAGAATCCCAATTTATATCTGAAATTGCTAATATTGTAAAGTTCTGCTATACTGGGTGATGTAAGTAAAGATGAAGTTGAATCCCAACATTATCATTTGTTTTACTAGAATGGTATTGGGTGTTTATTTATTAGGGATTTGGATTTATCAACCATGATAAGTATAGGTCACGTAATACATGTACATGCTAGCACCTACCTGCCTGACCATAATAGGTGATAATTGTTATCAAGGATTTAAGTAACATGCATTAAAGAGATAGTTAATCAATAAAATCTAGGTTTAAGAGAAAAAAGATGAAATCAGCAAAAAAGAATTATAATATGGCCTAAATGTCCATGACAATCAAATGCATGTATTTAGATGAATTATTTACATGTACATGTATATTATAACTTTCTTTTTATGACGTCGAGCTCTTGGAGCTCGAACGTCACCTAGCGATCGGCCAAGTGAAATCGCCAAGGGATGTACGCGACCGAATGTGTCAGTGGATGCATCCGCAATAGAAAATAGCAATAGCTATAAACCAATTTCTTTTAAAACGCTCACAATGAATAATTATAGCTTGAAAATGAAATTGCATCAATTGTATCTACAATTAATTCTTTTACAAAACAACGATATTATGTTTTATTTTCACACAATAAAAACGTGATGGTTGTTGCGGATGAATTTCTACAGAAAGGTGCGTCGAATGACATGAATAACATTTTGGAACGATAACCGTGGAACACAAACAACCCAACAGGCGGTAAAATAATTTACAAAATTACATAAGCACGAATACTATAAGACTGAAAAGATTGAATTTGTAAATCTTAGCTTTACTCTTACAATCTTCTGACCAAATTTATCCTAAAAACCGATGATGTTGACCAGTATTACTGTATTTCTCTATTTCCTCCATTTCCCAGTATACCGTATACCACGCCCGATCGTAACTCGATCGTAATTGTAACAGAACAGTCTTGGTTGTAGTTTAGATGCAATCACTAATACAACGCTTTGACATTGGCAATTAGAAAAAAATATTATATAAATTTATGAAATCCTTCATAGTTCTTCAACTGACTGAAAAGAATTTAGCATGAAACATGTTCGACGGTGTCTGGTCAATTCGAACCCTGCTCCATTCGGACCATGACATAAGGCCCCTGACTGTAATTGTGATATTTTGTTTAAAACTATTTTTTTTATTATTTCTCCTGAGTCACTCACTAGACTTATTGCTATCTTCAAATTCAAAATGATCTTTTGAAATTGTTTTTCTTCTTCGACGTCATTGAAGCCTTTCAGGCTTTTGATTTTAATCATTGAAATGGAATTACAGGAAACCTTGACATGCCTATAATACAGCTATAATTCCTTTCTAACCTTGATATATATATATACCTATATTTCTTTTCTATTTTTAGTCAGATAAAGTTTACTCTGTGAAAGAAGCCTTGGAAGGACTGGTATCAAGAGAGTCGGTATCAGGGTTCACTTGCTCCAAAACTAAAGCAGAGGTAAATTAAAATCAAAAAATCATCTAAAACTGTCATTCTCTTGTCCAGGATATTACAGGTCAGAGGACAAGTTGTTTTTCTTCTGACTCTAATATGTGTAAACTTGGCAATAAGTACCAAACTTAGACATTGGTTAAGATAAATGCCATATTACATGTAAGATTCATCATAGGTTGAAGTTAGCAGCTTTCCTGTAGGTTAAAAATTATTTGCAAATTTGACATGAGGGGTATCAGTGATTGCAAGGGACACTGTTATGTTCTTTAACGTTGAGGTTTCTACATCCCAACAACAAGTTGTAAAGCACAAGATTATAGCCAGTATTTAGGTCATTTCCAGCTTACCGCATGGTGCCCATGCTGATGCGTGCACATATGGTACATCCATGGATACTAAGGCTGATGCATGCATCATATGCTGCATTGGACCTACAAGTATATTTTTTTGCCTGAGCCCAGCATGATCTCATCATGCCATATGTGAAATGAAAACTTACATGCAACATATTTGTATGCCAATGTATGGATGCTTAGTCCAAGTTATGCATTAGAGGCTGTATCTGAACTACATTGTTATCAAAATGATATAAATTTATACAGTATTGTTAATCTGTTCTTGCCCACAGGTAGATGTTGTGCGACATTTGACCTTAGAAGAACTCCCCCCTGTGCTGATCCTTCATCTTAAATTCTTTGTTTATGATAAAGATGGAGGAAGCCAAAAACTATTAAAGAATTTGGAGTATGGCATTGACCTTGAAATTACCAAAGGTATAACATACATGTATACAGACTACCGGATATTAATGATTTTGATAGTATTGATGTTGAAATGACCTCTGTAATTTACATCAATTTAGATGAACTGAAAATATTAATCATGATAAATTGTCAAATTTTCAACAACAAAAAAACAAAGAGAAGAGTATGAATGTTATGGTCATTTCCTTTTTTATGTTTCAAGATTTTGTACATGTATAATTAATAGTGTGGTTTGATTTGTAGATTTATTGTCCCCTAATGTTCGGAACAAGCTCCAGATTCATCAGAGGTCATACAAACTCTTTGCTGGTAAGACATCATGGAAACTTGCAATGAACAATTTCCTTACTTGCTTATCAAAGATTTTTTTCATGCATTCATTTAAACTTTCATATGTGTTTAAAAACTATCAAATAAAAACAGGTCTATAAGTCTTGATGGAATCGATTTTTGATTGTAAAAATTGAGAACGAAAAATATTACAAAGTTTTTCGGGTATTGAGCTTGGCACAAAGAAGTATATAATGAAAGGGGTTCATTTTTCTGATTATGAAGGATTCATTGGTTTTGTAGAATAACATATTATTGCATAAATATGGGATGTCAAGCTGATATTTCCAGCTGATTAGAAACATATTACCAGAAATGACAACTTTCTTATTTTGTATTGTTATTTACACAGTGTATTTATTTACAGTGGTGTACCATCATGGGAAGAAGGCTACAGGAGGCCATTACACAACTGCTGTGTTTCATCCCGCCATCAATAACTGGATCATGATTGACGATAGTTTAGTCAAGCATGTGTCAGTTGGTTCAGTCTTAAAGACTGTCCCAGGTCGTGTACCGTATCTTCTGTATTACAGGCGCATAGACATGCACTAAAGAGAAAGGGTATGGAGTCACGTTCTGCTTGATACAAGGAGGGGAAAGAAATTGACTTGAAAATTTGTCTAAAATTTAAATAGACCATATATTTGTATACCGTGAGAAATGTGTTGATTAATTTGAAATTACACCTGTATTTCTTGTGGAGGTGAAAACAAATAAAAGTTGTGTAGAACTTGATGTCTATTTTTATACTTGTGAAAGTACCGAGGAATGATATTCATTTCTTCTTAGAATCACTAACTGTAGTCATTTAATCAAACTTTTTGTTAACCAAAGATAAGTCTACTCATGCTACAGTCACTTTCAACTGACAGATGTTTTTTATACCCCCGCAAACGAAGTTTAGGGGGGGTATATTGGAATCATCATGTCCGTCTGTCTGTCCGTCTGTCTGTCCGTCTGTCCGTCTGTCTGTAGACGAGATTTTGTCCTGACCATTTCTTGGAAACTGTTGGAAGGATTTGTCTGAAAATTTGTACACTTATTATTCGCCATATGAAGGTGTGCACCTGGTATTTTCATTATGATTGAATAATTTTTCTGCATTTTACAGGTGTTTTTTCATTTTTATTATGTGGTTTTGTCTGGATCTGTTCCCAGAAACTATTGCATAGATTTGTATGAAAATTTGTACACTTATTATTTACCATATGAAGATGTGCACCTGGTATTTTCAACATTATTTGATAATTTTTCTGCATTTTACAGGTGTTTTTTTTAAATTTTTATTGACTTAGTCATTTCGGGTTCATGTCTAAGGTTTGAGACATAGAATCTAGAACATCTGTACAAAAATGTGAACTACAGCTTAAAACTACTCATTAGAACTAAAAAAAACCCCACAAAGTATTAAAAACAGTTTTTACATTACACAGCAGATAGTGTAAATCCATTTGTCCCTTGGGAGTAATGAGTGGACATGCATCCAGTTAAAGATTAATTAATGAGTTCAGTGTGGGAAGCTGTTAGGGCATCTCTGATCAGGCAGGTCTTATCTATATCTCCGGGGAATTGGGCAGAAAGAAATAAAGATCTCTGTTGTCTAAGTCTCTTAATTGTTATTTATGTCTGTCAAAATACATAGTTACTAAAACCAGCCTTTTATTTTTAAAATGAGTTTGATATAAAGGTATTAAAATCAATTTGATTTTGTATAATTAATTATGATATTTTTTTTTCAACAATCAATTTGCAGAGTGTCATGTCTCACAAAGATGACAGATAGTTGCAAACTATTTTTTCAATGTAATAAAAAACACTGTAATTATTAGTGTTGATGTTTTATTAGGCTGCACCTTAGTTTCATTCATTAAAATAAAGTGCCCCACCACAGCATTATACGCCCATCAAATATTGTTAAATTATCATAAACAGTTTAGATTCAATTGGTCGAATGACATCTTAGTGAGACAAGGCAGTCTGCAATTTGTTGTAAAGATATAAAAATTCAAATAAAAAATGTACAATAAATAATTAGTTTAAATTATATTATACAATAACATATAAGTTTTAATTATTATAAACAATATCAAATTAGTTTTAATTACATCAAATTTATCTTGAAAGTAAGACTAGCCAACAAGAACAATTCCTTTTGCCCATTTCCCAAGAGATGTAGATAACACCTGCTTGATCAGAGATGATCTACCAGTTATCACCTCACACTAAACTCATTAATTTATCTCTAATTTGACATGCAATTTTCTGCTATCAAAATTTTCCTTGACCAGTGCCTGATCATTATACCCATGGGAGAGGTGGAATTTTTCTTGTTACAGATTGCTGTAAAGAACATAATGAAAAAAAATAAGACTAGTATTTTCTTGATTTAACACTTTTTTAATAAAGATACTGCAATACTCCGACATCTTTTGGGATTGTGTAATTTAAAAGTTAAAAGACATAGTTTTTTTGATTCTAAGTCTAATGGTTTTCTAGTTATGATTTTTCCATATTTAGCCATAGCGTCTTTATTAAAGGTCAGAACGACCTGGTTTTAATGTGCGACACACCTTCTACCCTAGATGTATCAGCTGAAAAAGTTTGATAATTCTAGGCCTAATAGTATTAAAGTTATGAGTCGGACATGAAAAAGCTAACAGACGGACGGAGGGACATGAACGCTATAACATAATACGTCCCGTCTTAAGATGGACGTATAAAAAATATAATGAGTAATTAAATTTTCACTGGAAATGTTTAAGGAAATTGTGAACACCTCTCACATCTAGAAAACATTAGTGATTTGGTACTTTCTCTGAAAAACCCAGCGGGGGGTATTTGTCCCTATTGGACAGTTCTAGTTGGGCATTTCTATTGATAATTGCATCAGCATCAATTTACTTATAAAATTTTAGTGTTGAAAATGAAAAGGAATAAAAAGTGTATGTAGTACATTGTATTCAGATCTCAAATATTTTGTCATAACTAAGTCGTATCAATATTATGTCAAATAATTTTGTTTTGTATTCTCCAAAACTTATTCATTGTTATCACACGTACTTTCGAAATCTGAATTTATTTTGACAAAAATTCTTAAGTATGGTAATAATTAAATCTTGGTTATCACTGAGAAAAAAAAAATATCATGTTTAAGAAGGCTGGGGGGTTGTGGCCATTTTCAGACTATATTGATCTCCTATAGAAGAAGAGCTCCATATCAAGATATACAAAAATGATCAAATTTTAAAACTAAAATTTATGAAATTTTTCTTTGCCAAATGAAAGTTGACAGCTTAAGATATCATACCTAAAAAATTAAGTTATATCTGATGGTTAATTTGTTGACCCCCCAGCCTCCTTAAATTGTAAAGATTCTGTGAAATGTGTATTTCATGGCAATTTCATCAGTGGTACATGTACTTGCATATGCTTGTGCAGATAAGGTATAAAGTTCATTGAAAAATATTATTACTAGATTTAAGTGTTTTAAATGCAAAATCTTTTATTTAATTCAAGTATCTTGTATAATTTTCTCCAGTAAGTGAAAGCCAAAGACACTTGTTTATGCAATAGTTTACCCCATAAAAAATGACGTTATTATACTCTGGGTTAAACTTATACAGAAATAAGTGTGTGCAATGAAAATACTTTTTACCTGCTGTAGATAAAAATTATGGTTTACATGGATGTGGGATATGTTTAAAATAGGAAGACTAAATTAACATACATAAATAAAAACATTTCATGTGTTATCATTAAATGTATTTTTTTCCTCTCCATCAAATATTGCATTGAAATCTTGTCAATATATAAATTATATATGTATCAAAAAATAAATGCAAGCTCTGAAATTTCATTTTGCCGAAAACCTAAACTTAAGAGAAAATTGGCAATTTCAGTGATGAAAAATAAAGGTAGTGACAAATTTTATTGACTCGTTATGTTTGATACAGTGTATTATGAATTTTTTTCTCAATAAAGAGAAATAAAACATGAAATGTGTGTGTGTGTGTTTATATATACCGGTATTATTGTATACATGGCCGTAGGAATCGGAGGTGGGGACCCCCCCCCCCCCCCCCCAATAATTTTGCCAATATATAGAAAACTATAGAAAACATAGCTACTATATGTTTGTGCCTCCTCAATAATAACATCTGGTGACCTTTTTTTTTTTTTGCTTGTCAAGGAATTTTGGTACTTGATGGTGCCCCCCCCCAACTGAAAGGGTTGTGCCCCCTCAAAGTAAAATTGCTTCCTATGGGCCATATATCAACCTTAAGCTCTAAAGACATTGTAGTATGGAATTGGATTATCTTTCTCTGTGTTTGTAGATGTTGCTGTGTAGAAATCATGGAGAAGTTGCTACCTATTGAAGAATAAATGTGTTTCAAGGGTCAAAACATAAACTATTGCAAAATTTGTAAGCAGTTCAATTCCAGTTCCGTCCCCACCGAGTTTATACAGGCTAAGGTCATTCCAAGTTTTTTCTATGTTTAGCGTCCGCGAGCGCCTTGGTTTTAGACACCCAATATCAGAAAAAAACAAACAAAATCAGGAGTCCTGAAACTGATCATTATGGTCGAAATCTTTGAATTCTGACAAGATCTCTAAATATTGGTGTATAATATGTAATATTAGGTGTATTTTAAGCATTTTTTAAAATACCTTGAGTTTGCTAAAGAATAGACGTACGTACCTTTCTTCCAGAAAAATAGATTCATGAAATCAAATCGTTAAAATGACATCATTTTTATAGCTTTTAAGCCTGTATTTTATTTTCGGGCTTGTGTGTTTTTTGCGAATAGGTAGGTAGGTTTTTGAAAGATGGGTGGACGCTAAACAGAGAAAAAACTTGGAATTGCCTAAACAATTTTCCAGCGGCAACTTGTATTACCCTGTAAAAGGGGGAGGGGGTGTTTACTCTGAATCCAAAGCTTTGTAAAATGCGAGGCAAAAGTACAGGTATGTTTTTGTTCTATTCTACAGGGAAGAGGGCCAGCTTCTAGTTTTATTGTATTTTGGAATTCCTACATTTTTGTTAGTTAGGTTGCAGATCCAGGAAATTTTTCATATCCCAAAGGTGGTGGGGTCCATGTTTCCTAGGGGAGGTCCAAAGTCATTTTTTATTTGCTTGTGTATATCATTTAAACAACTCTGCAAATTCGAGGGGTGGGTGGGTTCTGGACACCCACCCCCCTTCTAGATCTATGCACATTAGTTGTTTTATTAATTTTTTGTAATACTATCATGATAGTGCCAATAAATGTCATGAAGAAGGTGAAGTTAATGAACAGTGATCAATCTAAAAAAAAGTTGAAAATAATATAAATCTGTGAATAGGGCATAAAACATGGACCCCTGAAAATTCCACCTGTGCTTAGGAGGAGTAAGCATCCCTTGTCAACTGGTCACACCCACCATAAGCCCTAGATGCATTAATATTCCATAGTCAAATTTAGTTTAAACACAAACGCCCAACAATTGCTATGAAATATGTTAGTCAAAATACGACCCAATGACAGATATTGGTAGATTATATTGTGAATAAGGTCATTAAAACAACCCTAGAATTTACGAAAAGCTGACTTTAAACGAGGTTGTTGAAATTCCTGTGACCAACTTATCTGTCAGTAACTAAAAATTGATCGTTGTGTATCGACCAAGTTGGGAGGGACAAACATATACCATATGCAGATGATGGTGGAATATACTTAAATAAGGAAAGTTGACGATGGAGAAGCTAAAGTAATCTCGTTTGTCATAAATTGGCCCTTAGACTATAGTCAGCAGGTCAGTAAAATATACCAGTCCACATATTACATGATGCCATTATTAGTTATTGAAAACTAGTTTTCTTCCTGGAAAGCTCCAACTTCCTCAATCGAAAATACTGGTTAAGTGCAGTAAAGGAGATGCAGTAAATCGCAATTATTAGTGTATTTATTAAAAATATATCGTATTGAATATCCAAATTAAGTTAAAAACTCGCTGCGAAGTGGTAGTCACTATAGCCTACATCTCTAGTTTCACTTTGAAACTTTATGACATCATATCCGTATTTGCAATGGCGGCATAGAATCCCTCCCCTGCTTCCGTATTCATGACAGACGAAGACACATCCGTAATATTTCTCTACACACAGCTCATCCAAATAATACATTTAATGAAAGGTCGATGTTCTGTTTAAAATGACATCGAGCTCTAAAATTCCTCAAGAAATAAAAGGTAAGCCAATTTGCTCTCAAGTACAAAGCAGTCGATTTTAAATGTAAACATTGGCCTTCCATCTCAGGAGGGGAAACAGCTGACAAGTGAAGATTGTTTTGTTGTGACTAACTGTGGTTTTTGCAACCGGAAAAGTATCTTTCTGTAGCTTCCGAAACAGAAAGATCTATGGAATATCATTAACAAACTCGTACCAGTTTTAAAAAAAGCACACTTAATGTCTTTTGTTTATGAGTAATATATTTTAAGCCCATTGGCAAACAATGTTGTGTAAGTGGTCCATTGAGGGGTTTCACCAGGAAAATGCTTATATATTATTATATTATTACATGTTGGATGAAAGAAGGATGTTAATAGTTAAAGTCGGAGACATATTATAATGGGGGAATATATATGTGTTAAAACTTAATGATGGGTTGTTAGCAGAAAAAAGAACTGTTGTCTGAAATGGAGACTACAATGCCTGTTGCTCCACCCAGAAAAAGGAGATCGATGCAAGTAGAATCTGCAGGACAAGCACCACGTGTGTCTACAATAACTATTGAAAGTTTAGATAAAAAATTGGAACCAAAACCATTGAAATCTGTTTCTCCATCAATGTTGAGCTTGGATGCATTTTCAGGTATTCCATGTTCAGATATATAAAGGAATTGTTAGCCATATCTCTTGATTACCATTAGGTGAAAAAGATTATTGTGATTGATACTAAATAAATGTGGTTAAATTGAGAATTCTCAATTGTGTGTGAAAAAGAATGTAATTGTGATATTTTTTTTTTTTAGGTTTTATCTTTGTCTAAATGCATTAATTGAATAGAAAATGTGATGCAGCTAGGACCTAACTTGCACACCAAAAAAAAAAAAAAAAAAAATAAATAAATAAATAAGATAAAATAAAAAACAAAACCCACATACATATGGGAATAAATGTTGTGAATGCATCAATTTATTCAAATAATGTTCTTCCTTATCCAACTTATATGGAAGTATGGATCAAACAGGATTGCAATTTGTTTCCTTCTCGTGATGGTTATCTTATTTGCTGATTTATCAAAGAAAGTTTCATTGTCTTTGTCTGTGGCAGATAAATCATTTAAAGGGCACTGCAGAAAAGATAACCAAGACTGACCTTGTTCAGTGTTATAATTCAATTCAGTAAGTTTCATTGACCAATTAAGGGCCCTCAAGGGGCAAAAAGAAAGTACATTGTAAAAACTCATATATAAACATATCATGTAATACGATATACATATACATGAGAGAGAAAGAGTTGCATGATCATGATGATTGAAAGGAAAAACAGATATAAAAAGGGGGAATAAACCAGATAATTTATATTCATTTATAAGTTCTGAGCAAAAGTATTTGTTTATATATATATACATTATCTATATATGCATACATACTTATATCACACACATATGAAAGTACATACATACATATAAGTATTACTTTTATATAACTCATCATGATACAGTTCAAATGCCTGAAATTTAACTTATGGCAATGCCTTTTGTAGAAATCTACCAAGAGAGTTTAATATATCTAATTCTTTACAATTTTAAAATATCCAGAATAATTTTTGTTTATCATGTTGTTTTTCTGGCTTTTCAACTTTTGTATGTCTTACGATTGGCAAAGGCTGACCCATTTTTTTAAGACTGATGTTTTTCTGCTGTTAGACCTCCTAAGTAAAACAACCAAGGTTGAAAATGTTTAGTGTTAGATGTTTTTGGGGGGCTCTTCAACTACGACTCCATTGTTTGAAACTCACTCAACATTAGCCAGACGTGCAGGGCTGACTGCTTAGCCTAGTAAAAGTTGTCAGCCATGCAAAGGATCTACTAGCCCGAGAAAATGATTGTCTTTTAAAAATTTGTTTTTAACAATTATGTGACTGGAACCAGGTCACCATAACTTCGAACTAGAATCTATAGACTGATGAATTCTTCCTCTTAGCTTGGCATACTTTGCTACCAAAACTATTAGTTGATATGAAAGAGATTTATCAAATATATGAATTTTAATCGTCGAAAATTTTAACACTTCTGGCTGGGCAACAATACATGCAAATTTGTTTGCCCGCTACAAAATTTGTGGGTCTTGGGTGGTCGGGCACATGGTTATTTCAAACACTGACTACTATTAGATAAACCAAGGCTGACCTTGTTCAGTGTTATGTTTTTTTTTTTGTTTTTCTGGCTCTTCAACTGCTGTTAGACCTAAGAAAGAATAACCAAGGCTGACCTTGTTCAGTGTTTTTTTGTTCTTTTTTTTTATTTGGCTCTTCAACTGCTGTTAGACGTAAGACTATAAACCAAGACTAACAGTGTTATGTTTTTTTGTTTTTCTGGCTCTTCAACTGCTGTTAGATCTAAGTAAGACTAACCAAGGCTGACCTTGTTCAGTGTAAGAATTTTTTTCTGGCTGTAGTCATTCCTAGTTAATAGATTTATTACCATGCACTTTGGCAAGTGCACTGCATGCATATTGATAAAGATAAAATGATGAGACTGACATATTTGAAATTGGGCATGTTTGCAAAAAAAAACTAAAAAAGGACAGTTGCATGCACGGTTGTAACTTCCATTGTTTTTACCACAATATTCCTGCAAGTATTTCCACAATATTTAAAAAAAATGGTTATTTCAAGGTTTGGTATCTTTTTTTTGACAAAATAAGATGGAAGCATCATTGTATACATACTGTCACATAGTAGTGACATGATGCAAATACAGGTTTTAGCTTGTCTAATAATCCTTGTCGCAAGGGGGATTGGGGGATGGGGGTGGGGGTGTACCAGTCCAGTATTGATTAGAAGTTAGTGTCAGGAATGACTTGGTATACCTGAATTGTACTGTTTGACCTTTGGATTATTTAATTTAAACAACTTCCCTTTTTAGAACCACTTTGGCAATGTCGAAGAACAGATTCAAATTCAGATAATGTAAGACTAAAGGTCTTTGTTTGAATAACAAGTACTAATAATTAATAAAAACAGTGTGCTCAGAAACTTCTGTACATAAAACAAAAATCATATTCAGCATCCAAGTCATGAATGCTTATTTTGTATTCCAGGGGCATCGGCAAAGGGGCGGCGGTCGCCGCCCCAATAATTTTGCAAAAAAAAACAAAACAAAAAAATTCAGAAAAATGAATTTTAAATGAGAAATACAGAATAACAAAATTTGTAATTGCGATATCTGTGGTCAGTGGAGCGGCGATATCTGTGGTCAGTGGAGCGGCAAGAATAACGGCAATCGTGGTCAATGGAGCGGCAAAGTGTGAAAGCTATTGTTTGTTTACAAAGACGCAAATTGGGATGCACGTATATACCTGTACCTGGCATGTGTACACAATAAGCATGGTATCTATCGCTACTTGCAAGTTTACTACGAATTCTTTCAGGCCCACAGCTAGCAACGTTTTTGGAAAGTCTATATTTTGAGAGCGGGGTGGGGGTTCTCTAATTTTTTCTTTTCAAATGCTGGAATTTGTACGAGTTCAACCTAACAGCAACAAAAAGTGTGTATAAAAGGGGGGGGGGGGGCAAACAGCATCTAAATGAATGAATTTTTATATAATCAAGTAAATAGACTAATCTCAGAAAAGAAGTGGAGAAAGTGGGCGAAAAACTGGAGGCGACCCACCCCTTCCTGACACCTTCCCTCGCGTATAACAGGCCTGTTCATTGTCTAACCAAGCGGTCGATCAGTGTTAGCAAATCTTTGATGAATCAAAGTTGTAAGCTATTTAATTAAAGCAAAATACTGGGTAAAATTAGTACTACTATTTAAACAACTTCAGTTGATTTTTTTTATAATGTCATACGTATATCTGCTTTTCAAAAATGGAGGTATTACTATGAGGATTAATCCCCCTGTTCATTTTAAATTTAATAATTATGCATTCTCTCAGCAAGTAACAATAAATATTATTCAATAATAGAAAATTACACATATTTTAATCTTTACCTCGTCATAAACCCTTCAAAGTTCTTTCTATTCCGTTTTGAAAAAAAAAAAAAAAAAAAAAAATTAAGCATATCCGATCCTCAGCTAGGAATGATAACTCTTAAATCAATTATTTAATTAAAAAAGTCTCAAAATGAAGCTTGAAATTGATGAAATATTTTCTTGCAACAATTTTCATTTTATGCATTTCAACATGATTTAAGGTTCTTTGAAGTCATAGAAATGATATTATAAAAAGTTGACATTTGTACCCCAAAGTATAAAAATAAATTCTTTTTGAGAGAAATCAAATTTCCTTCAATGTAGCATTAGATCCCGGTGATTATTAACATGATATGAAATTAGAGTGATCTGGGATGTCTTGCTATGCTAACAAAAACTTTTTACACTATGTATTTTATAACAATTGAAGTAAATAGAAGAATTAAAATACTGTATAAGTGTGCAAATCGTGCAATTTTCTCCAAATGCCTAGATACCTATAATTTTGAGTCCAAAAATGTATTTGTTGGTCAGTTTTCAAGTAGAAAATCCATAGCTGGTGCTTTTATTCACATTTACTGAAAACATATTTGAGATCTGATAATTTTCCCTATATAATATATGATTAACTTTAGTGATGAACTTTGAAGAAATACCATGGGTAAATACACGTTATTCTGTGACATCCAAGACATTTTTGTGAGAATTTTCAATTACTGAAAAGCTGATTTTCGGAACCTGAGAATCGGACTACCTTAAACAATCTCCTAGCTATTTAAAAATGACCCAGTTATGTTTTATGTATAGTTTATGTAACTTAAAACACAAAAAGCATTGTTTTTGTTTGGGTTGCAATTATTGTTGCATATATTTAAATGTTCTTTTTTAACCAGGATAAACCTCAAAGCTATTGACTTAAAGGAGAAAATATCAAGATTTTGGCAGAAATTTTAATTATTTTGTTTATGTCACAAAAAGTTACATGTAGTTAGGACCCCCCCCCCCCCTTTTCAACCAGTTCGCCTCCCCAATGTGAAATACTTGTCGACGCCCCTGTATTCCTATTGCAGCCAAGCTTTGCAAGTTTGGTCATTGCTAAACTTAAGATCAATTGGGAATGGAGTAATTATAGAAATTTTAACCTGATCACTCATCTGGAAAATATAGGTCTCATGCAGCATCTGAAGCATCAGCTTGACAGCTGTGATATGCATCCCAAGATGTAAATGTGCACATTTGGTCGGTATACTGGTATACAAGGATTTAGAATTTATAGTAATTTCAAAATTGTCCATGTCCAAGCTGCTGCAGCATCCAAAGCATTAAGTATCTATCATTGGTTAAAATTATCAGTGCAAGGGTGGTCATTGTAAAACTTTTATCAACTTAAGCCAAGTTAAGGATTAAACTGTTGTAATATTTTTAATTTTCTTATTCATGCTGTAAAAAAGAGGACATGCCAAGCAGCCAAACCATGTAAAAAAAAGTTTGCATCATAAGTAATATTGGCATGTTCCCATACAACTTTGTCCAGTAATGAAACTGAAAGTGCTTTTGAGTGGAAGTAAATGCACTCCTAAAACTTTGTAGGAAATTAAGTTTAATAACTGAAAAAAAGATCACATGCAGTAGAATCTGGAACATGACTGGGAGTATGCATCGCAAAATGCAACACTTGTACAAGACTTGTTAATGTAGAATTTCTTATAGCCCCTTGCTCTAAAAAAAATTGGGATTGATGACACTGCTGGATTTTTGGGTGCATTGGAAGGAACCTGATCCAAAAGCGTATACACATATACCTGACCATTCTGTATACCGTAATAAGGTTTTATGGAACATCCAAAGCAAGAAAAGTTTATTCCCAATTGATTATATAAGCCTACTGTTGACCCAAATTGCATAGATTACAATAGATCTTGATGCTGCATGTGTCTAACAATTTTACTGATAAAGGATCAGGTTAATGTTTTTTGAATACTCTCTTCTTAAGTACTGGTGCATGTATTTATTATTATTTGCCCGTCTTAAGACAGGGAGTATTATGGTATGGCATTCATGTCTGTATATATTTAGGTAGATCTGTTGGGTAACTTGTTGGCCAGACAGTCTCCGAAAGCTGATTTGAATTACACAAAAAAGAAATTGTAGTGTTTTAGATTAGAATACATGCACATATTATATACTGACTGTAAAATTTAGAATTATTTGTCGGTTGGCCCAACTTATGCATGCACAGTGAAGTTAACTAGCCAGAGGAACTATGAAACATTTCATAAGGAAATTGAAATGTTGATAAAATTATTCAATTATTATTTTGTAGGAAATATTGATTGTCAAACATGAAATAATCAGCAATCATGGATTAAAATCAAATTTACTACTGATGTTTTGTTTTTTCAATTTTACCTGGAAAAAAAAAATTCTTGATTTCCTTGAAAAACTGTTCTTCCAGTGTTTCTAAAGATTCCAAAATACTTGTGAAAAAGAATTTATAAATAAATTAATTTAAAAAAATTACCGGTACCTTATATATATTTATAGCTTATTGATAATTTTTTTATTTTTAAGTTTTTATTGATCTTGTTATAAGAACATACTTTTTGGCCCCAAAAGTCATCTCTTTAAGCTCTTCCTAATCCTCTGAAAATTTTTGAAATCGTATAGGCTTTTTCGAAAGGGGCTGCAAGGAGGGAGGAGATGTCAACATTTTACATTGGAACCTATTAAAGGAAAAATCTAAGTTTGGCAATTATCATGGAGGCCTTTTCTTCACCACTAAAAATGTCTTTCATGGAGATTTCCCCATTCTACACACAAGATATAGGCATTTTCAAATTTTTAGACTGATTTGAACAAGAATTGGAAATACTTGTTTAAAAATATACATGGGCAGGTGTATATGTATCTTATTACGACTCTAATCTTCCTGTTTTGGTTTTAATCTGAATGCATGCACCCCTACACAGCATATTTCCTACAATAAGAGTAATTTGATCTGTAAATTTTTTTATTGTAAGACTATTTTATAATCTAAAATGGACAGATATAGTCATTTACCTGATGTGCTGTTGTATGATAGTAAAGGTTTTAAAATTGACATTGTCTCGAAGTTACAGCATATTATTATCTGGATTATGATTTTTTCTGTGTGTTTTTCAGACAGTATCCGAGAAGTTCTGGGCAAGAATGTCACCCTGTATCAGAAGTTTATGGTGAAACATGAAGTTAGGCCTGATAAATTTGAGAAAAAGATCATTGTAAGTACAAATGTATATAGATTTTAAGAATTCATTATTGAAAAAAGTCTACTCTGGCTTTGGAGTGTCTTGCCCAATTTGGTGAACCTAGGATTAAATCTCATCACTTCAGATTATGGATTCATTTCTAGAACAATAAAGCAATTTGTCTTCTTTATTTCCACTCATTTACATTATCTTCAGTTGTGTTGGATCTTTCAAAGGTTGGAAAATCTTAATCTTACAAGGAAAAGAAAGAGAAAAAAATTACTCTAGGCATTGTTTCAAATGATTTTAGTACAAAGTCTTTTTGTAATAAATGTAGATTAATTGTCATCTTACAAAGTTCAAGAAGCACAACTTTGAATCCACTTATTTTCTTTTGAATTGTTGTTGCTTTAATTTGATATATTTTTCTCAGAATATATCAAGAGTAAATAAAAGCCAGATAAATATTTTGTGGTGCATTAATTGATGTTGGTTTGATGTCTGCTGATCCTGACTAAGTACACTCTTCTATTGGTAAATTACTAGCTCATTAAATACAGTCAAGTGCTGCGCCTGTTAGACACTAAAAATTCGCCATGTGCCTTGTACTGTAATTGGGAACAAACCAACATTCTGTGTGACATTTTCAGCTTGGTTGCTATCAGTTCTGATCTACCTTCATGCATAATCATAAATTCAAATTTTTAGATTTACAAAACTTTATGAAAAATCCCACTTTCGGTGTCGCATGCAGAGCAGAGCAACTCTTAGGGATCACTTTATCTGTTGTCTGTCTTTGAACTTGACCTAATACAAAACAGCATTACAATCAACTTGACCTTGACCTTTGTCCTACTTTGCAAAAGTACAGGGACAGTTAATTTGACTTATGTCTTTTAAATTTTTGAGAGGCAGGGTTAATAAATAGCACATATCACATATTTATGAACTTTGAGACTGTACTTTAAAACTATATTACATATAATAATTACCTCATAACCTGAAGTTTAAATACTGTGAAAATACATTGGGATCTGTATATTCAAAGATTGATCATTGTAGACTGACAATTGCAGTAGAGACAGACTGAAATCTCCTTCTACTCACAAATCTGGAGGATTGTTGGATTTAACACATATGCATAAAATAATAATTATTTCTAATTATATCAATTTCAGTATTCATGTTAACTTTGAGAGTTGAGGAATCATATTTCTGTTTGATTGCCAGATTTAATATGATAAATGTTATTCTTTCACTGTCTTACAGTCCATGAATGTTTATTTTTCTTTGAAAGGCAAATGCATGAAGTATAATGCTAGCAGCAAATAAATATCTGACCACTCGTAGATTTTTCTACATCTTTAATAATTTAATAAAGCAGGTGACACATGCATTGCTTGGAACACCCTAGTTTACTGCATCATTCAGATTTTCACTCACATTACATCCTTCAAAATATATACACAGAGACAGAGTAAAAAAGAAGTAGTTTTAAGTCATGTTGCATCCAAATTACTGTTGTGACAAATTGTAATTCAGAACTATCCGAGCTGCCCCCCCCTTCCCCCCCCCCCCCCCTGTGTTCACTGACTTCTTATTTACCTGTATCAATTATGTACACAATAACCTCTGTAAACTGAGTATAAATCGTGATTATTGTGCATATATTCAGCTCATATATTGATGTTAAAGTCTTTGAAGTAGAGTCTGTTTTATAATGGATACACGGTAAACAGCCTTTCTGCCACATTTAACAGATCTCTCTACTGGTCAAAGATAAGATACCATAAGCCAGAGTGATGGTAAAGAAACTGATATTTGTATTTTCAAATTTTATTTTTTTATTTTCTTAAGTTTTTGTCCAATTTTAGTAAAAAAAAAAATTAGTACACATGTATACATCTGTGTTTTTGGACAGTGTTGCCATGATTACAAAAAAGACATTTCTTTGATTTTTTTTTTTTTTCAAACACTATTCCTCCAATTTTGGTAAGATTTCAAATTTAACTTAGTTAAACACTAGTAGACTACAGAAGGGTACACAACTCTATATATCAGTTTTTGATTTTGATGAACAGTGTTGGATTGATTACTGATATTAGTTTGATGAGTAATTTTTAGCTCTTCTGAGCTTAAATCTCAAGTGAGCTTTTCTGATCACCCTTTGACTGGCGTTTGTCCATCTGTCTGTGTGTCCCTCCATCCGTGTGTAAACTTTTCAGTTTTTGATTAGTATAGAACCATGGGCCAATTTTCTGCTTTCTGCTTATTCAAAGTTGGCACAAAGCATCCTTAGGTAAATAGAATTCTAAATTGTTTACCAGTAAATAAAGGGCCAAGCCCCTTCCAGGGGGGGGGGGATAATCAAGAAAGGGCAAAATTAAGATAGTCATTAAAAAATCTTAAGAAGAACCACCAGAATAGAAAAGGTGGAAACTTATTTGAAAGCTCCCAGACATAATGAAGATTCTAGATTGTTCAATTCATGACCCCGGGGTTAAGGTGGGGCCACAATAGGGGATTATAGTTTTACATTGAAATATATAGCAGAAATTTTTAAAAATCTTCTTCTCAAGAAGCACTGGACTAGAAGAGATGGAAAATTATGTGAAAGCTTCCAGATATAATGTAGATTCAAGAAGATCAGATTATTGACCCCTGGTGTGGGGGTTGGGGGTGGTTAAGGAGGTGCCACAATTAGGGATCAAAGTTTTACATTGAAATATGTAAGAAAAATCTTTAAAAATCTTCTCAAGAACCACTGAACCAGGAAAAAAAAAGAAACTTATGTGAAAGCTTTCTGAGGTAGTGTAGATTCTAAACAGCTTGTGTGGATTTATAATTTTTTTTCTTTTCAAATTGTGAACCCCAGGTTAGAGTTAGCTTAAATCAGGTTCAAAGTTTACACAAAGCATGTCTGCAGGAAAAGAATGTTCTTCTCAATAACTGCATGGCCCATGTTAGTCATATTGATATTAAAGCATCCCCATGGTGTGTGGACTAAAAAAACTCTTAGAGTTAGGATAGGGCATAATATGGAGTTTTTATTTTTCATGGGAATATAAAAATCTTTTAAAATCTTCTGAAGAACAGCAGGGCTAAAGTAATTCAGGTGAGCATTGTGGTCAATGGGCCTCTTCTTGTCAAAATCATACTCCTCATACCCTCTTTGTCCAATTTCAAATTAAATGTAAAGTGGTACACAAGTAGAAGGTACAAATTGCTCTGTGTTTGGGTTTTTAATTTCCAAGGTTACTTTAAATAGAATAAAGTGAGAAATTCATTCAAAATGCTACATCTCCAACAATCTTAGTTTGATGTTTATAAAACTTGGTACAAGTTCAGAAAAAATTAAGGTCAAGCCTATTAGTATGAAATTATTATTTTAAGTGATTTAAAGTCTGTAATATACTAGTGTTTTGTAGAAATTAGTGTTCAGCGAGAGCATATTAAGATATGAATTTACTTCTCTGTTTAATTTAGGTGTAATAAAGGTTCAATCCTTCCATGACTTCTGTTAAGTACTTGGTTTTACTACTACTAATACCTGATATGTCATATACATTTCACAGTGTTTCAGGTACACTCATTATATTATGAATTGATAGTGTACAAAGTTCTTACTATTTGTGATTTATTTCACAATCCCCCTTAAAAATGTGCATTAGGAATTTATTTCCTTATTTATTTCATATAAAATGCTTTATTTTACCATAAGCAGTATTCATTTTAAAGCTGTATCTTTTAAGGAAGAAAATGTTAATGTATTTTAATAGGGAATTTTACTTCCTACTTGACTTACATGTACAGTTTGTATAGTTGTAGCTTTGTTAGTATAATGGGTTGGGAATAGTTCAGATTTACAAGTGGCCATGAAAAATGCAGTGGTGACTTATGATTGGATTATGTTATAAATCTATTAAATTATATTTGTATTTAGAACAACATTTATGATAGTATAACAAATTCAAAAAAATTATAATATATTGATTTTGTATGTAATAGCCTATAGGTGGCATGTTTATCCCTACAGTTACTATGATAGGGAGGAATTTGGGTGTCATAGTTTTTTTTTTATTCTTATTCACTGACAAAGGAGCTAGCCTTCAGTTTACTGTCTCTTAATTTGCAACAAAATTTCAAGAAGGTATAACTTCTGACCCATATGTGCATGTGTGTCTTTGTATGTTCCTAACAGGACTGTGGACAGTTGAACAAGGCTACAAGGTTACATATTTGAAGGTCAGTGGTCAAGTTCATGTAGGTACCTTCATATCATTTAATGCTATAGACTCATTTTGAAGTGTACAATTTGGCTATTTAGTCTCAGTCTTGCTATAGAGAGGGTATTTGCCTGGAGGAACATACCTCTTATTTGAAGGTCAAAAGGTCTAAGGACAATGCAAATTCACTGAAAGTTTGTAAAAGTGTTGTGTCCATAATAAGCAGAGTACAAATTGATGTTTTACTCTCAGTGTTGCTACAGGAGTGGTAGATGACAGAAAAAGCATGCAAATGCATTTGAGGGTCAAAAAGGCAAAGGTCAAGGAATGTGATAAAAGATTAAAAAAAAATTGTTTACAAAGATTATTGAGTCTTAGACGCAGAGTGGTTTCCATTGCCTCCTTCCTCTGATCTTTCTCTAAATCTTACAGAGACATAATTGCCAGAGCTTTTTAAATACACAGTGGTAGCCAAATGATAGTTCAGAGGTCATACAAGAAGTACATGTATGTAATTTGGTTGTGAAAGTATAATCTCAGGTTTTACTGGTATGGTTGTTTTTGAAAAAACATATATATACAGTCAAACCTCATTTTCTCAAACTCAGTGGGGATGAAAAAACCTTTGAGATATATGAGGATTTGAGATATCAGTGGTTGGGACTTCTTACTCACTTTGACATACCGCATGGTATTTTAAATATATATCAGTGTTTGAGATACCAAAGTTCAACTGTATTGTAAATATATACAGTATAGAATGAATATTTTTCTCTGTATGCTAGGTATAGTCAACATTCAACAGTAGTTTTCATTACAATGAACCTTAAGGCTCTGTAATATTACAGCATGGGAATTAATGAGTTAGTCCTCTTATGTACACTATGTCCTGTATGTAGGATATATTTAGAAATATGTAATAGTTAGGGATGTCAATTTGTAATCGGTTAACCGGTTACTCGGTGGGAACTATGGTAATCGGTTAGAAAATCTATAACTGGTTAGACGGAAAAAATTCATATGTGTGTAAATTTGAACACAATATCCTGAAAATTCAGTTAAAAAATATAAATGAAAATATATGAAATGTTAGCATTTTCATCTATCTTTTTCTTAGGCTGATCCAGAGAGAATTAAGGCTCTTCTAATTGACATCGTGGGAGTAGTTAATCAGCTTTCTAGATATTAATTGCTGTTTGAACACCATGTTGCTACCCAGCGGTGTTTCTTTAATGATGAATTTTTATCGAATTCTGTGAACTGATTATGATGTGTACCTTACCCCCTTCTATCCTTTGCAGTTACCTATCAAATTATATTATTAAATAATCATTGTAAATTAAGCGATAATTCAGACTTACTTGTGTGAAATCTCTTCTGGTTTTTTTAATGTATCTGATTCTTCAGGCTTGTTTCATGGGTTTTTAAATTTTTTTTTTCCTTTTGCTTTAAAATTGAAATAAAATATATCTATGGTGTTCTGATAAACATAATATTACTACATGTAACATCTTTATAGTCTGTCTATTAGTAGAGCTTACAATAATAAAATATATCAAGAATTTTTGATACTATTTACCGATTAATCGGTCGGAACATCCTGCGGTTAACCGATTGGCAATTCTGTATTCGATTGCCACCCCTAATAATTATATAGTTAAGTAATTTATATTACCATTATTGCACTGTTTAAATTAATGAAATGTATTTTTATTGTACCATATTTGCATTAGAACTTGAAATAGAAAATGAATTTGTTCTCTGTTTAGAAGTAAAATGAAGGGATCATCCTAACTGTATGTCACATTCTGTGTGTAGTGAAAGTATGAAAGAACCAATAAACAAGTCATAGCTTTGACCAAATGTCATTTGTCAATGATTCACAATCTTAAAATGACATCATTGGAACTTTGAATGCATGCTCAGGAAATTTTAGAACAGGTGCCTCTGTACCAATTTTCACTTTCAGATGCTAATGCATTTACTGATTATCATTATTTTATTGTTGTAAAAGTGTTCTTATATCTGTTGCAGGGTCTGACGGGATGCAGATTGTTTCTATTTATTGTGAAGACACCTACCAAGGTATGACTGTCATGTCCGTCTTTCAGGCATTAAACAAATAATTTGGTTTCATTTTTGTCAGGGATAAATACCACAGTGTGTTAATTCACAGGGAGTCTGTATACAAGATTCACATATTTAAGGCAGATAGTAACAGTGTACATGTACAGAGATCACGTTGTCAAACCTACCAAATTCCCTTGTTACTAGTCAGTAAAAACTACTAGGAAATACTCTGGGATAGTGTTTTATTTATTTTTTGGGACAATTTTCATTTTATTCCATGATTTAGGGTAGAGGTTGTAATTAGGATTTCCTTAAAGGTCATTTATTTCATCAGGAAGTGGGATCCCTTGAAGATAAACTTAAGATTCATTACACAAATTGAGATAAAGAATTGTTTTATGTTTTAATCTTTGGTTTCTTAAGGGGAGGGATGTTCCCCATCAGGTAAAATAATCTTCAGAATTTCCTCCTTCACTGGAAGCTGATTCGTAGAGAGAGGTAAAAATGTATCACGCTATCAGACTTTCTAGATTGTGTATGTCTTTGCATAAATTTTATCCCAAATTGACAAATTAAACAAATACTTGGTATCAATTGTTGTGGACCAGGAAATTTTGACCTTGTGTTATTTTTGTCATTAGTGCATTAACAAATTGTTTTGTCTTGTGCTGAATTTTGAGACATTCTTGTTACTCAAGAGCTGTGTTCTTTGTCAGATTAGCTCTATAGAGGAGAGATGAGGCAAAATTGTCCAAATGAAGCAAAATATTCTATTTACAGTATAGGGACCATTATAGATTACATTGTACATGTTTAAGATTAATCTACATAAAGACCGAGCAAAACTCGTGCCCCACTCCCCCAGCAAAAAAAGGCCTTTTACAGTATAAAGATTCTTACAAATGGTTTAAAATAGATAAATAGATTCATCTGCCTGACTTTCAAATTCTAGTATGTTCAATTGTATGTAGTGTATAGTGTATGTAGATAACATCAAGCAAGTATCAAAAGGATAAAAGAGAAGAGTGGAGGATTTAACAATAGGTTTTCTGAGTATTCAGAATGTGTAAACAGTATGTGTATTATGTATTCAAGAATGTGTTAACAATATGTGTCCTATGAAGGCAGTTGTCTCTTAAATACAGGTGCTCATGCCTGTCACTGACAGATTATAACATTTTAGAGGTTCTATTTTTTTTATTTTAGTATTTCTGAGAAAAAAATAATTTTTTTCATTTTCTAGGTGGATCAAGATTTCAACTTTTTAGACATTCAAGGATTGGAAAGCAAAAAGAAGAATCAGGTAAATAAGAAACATTTGATGAATGATTGTAGTTGAGAATATTCTCATGAAAAATTTAAGTTAGTATAATAATTTTGTAGTTCGTGAAGACAATCACATAAATATGAATGGTAATTTAAAATTTATACTATAGTATGAAACAGATATCTTTTATGAGAAAGTAATATTCCATTACATTCAGATCTAGTATACTATGCAGTATAAATTGAAGTCAAAATGCTAAATTGAATGTCATTTAATTCTGAATTATTTAAAATTATTTAGTAATCTCATTTCATTTTGATTTAGCTGCAGGAGATACAATGTAGTAGTGTTGCAGCATGATAAAATGATAGAGTTGTTAAAAATGACAGCTCATTAAATGCAGTCAATTCACCAGATCAGAAAATAATGTAGTTAATGAGTGTTACACATAACTACTGTTAAGATTTAGGTCAGCTGTATGCTCATAGTTCTCATGCTCCTAAAGTCACAGGAATAATTTGTGTTTGAATTATGACAAGTGCAGCACTGTGCCTTCATGCATTTTATTATTAGCAAATTTTAAAGCAAATTACAGTTGCCTACTGTCAGACTCATGGTTCAAGGTTTGGGTATAGTATCAGATAAAAGTATTTTAGGGAGGGAGACCAGTTACAGGTTTGGGTATAGTATCAGATCAAAGTATTTTAGGGAGGGAGATCAGTTGCAGAGGATCAGTGGAGATGTACATCTTCTTGAATTAATGGAAGAAAGAAAATCACTCTCTGGGTTTACAGTTAATGTGACTTTTTAATGAATTTTGAGTACCTTTTTTCCCCTAAAAAATAAATGAGAATCAATAGAGCTAGATAGTCCAGATAGGTAAAAGTAAAAAAAAAACAAAAAAAAAAAAAAAAGATGTCTTTGTGAGAAAATCGAAAGATTTCAGCAGCAAAAGTGACCTTAAAAAGGAAAGCCATTTTATGGATGATCATGACCTTCAATTATGAATAATTTTATAGGCTCAGTGGAATTATTTAGGGGTTAACCTTCATCAATGATTCTGTGGAGGTCATTCAAACATAACTGTGTTCTATTTGACAGCTGACAATCAGTGTAACAGATGGCAAGCCTATCTCTCTGGTTACGCTGGACGCAGATTCTGATGACTTTGATCTCATGATTACACACATTGGCAGGTCTTTGAAAAACATATTCCCAGTTTTTCCAATCGAGTAAGTAAAGGTTCTACCCTAACTGGTGGAGCACTGGAAAACTGATTAATACAATAGAATAATGATGTGTACATGAATACAGTCTTAATGTCAATAGGAACCCTTATTTCAGAGGTTTCCTAATTCATAGCTGTAAGATATTGGTAATCAATGACCACATCATATATATTGAAATTAGGCAGCTTACTATTAGTTGACACACTGAATGAGATAGAAATGAGGCATGGATAACGATATATTTCTTGGACCTTCAGTTTCCATTTGTTTCATATTTAATTAACATAATTCCCTTTCTATGTCTTTAGGAGATTCATCAAGAAAATTGATGTTCAGCCATCAGATCGCCTACGACCAATGCAGGACTTAATGAAGGAAATAGAAAAGAAAGAGCAGGGGCCATGTGGGGGGTACTCCATTATGTATGCGTGTATGTGTGACTACCATAACACAGCATACAGAGAGGAGGTGGCATGGGTAGGTAGAGCAGGTGCCCCCTTTACTGTACTGCAAATCAACAAGCACCAACCACTCTAAGTCAACATCCAATTAATAAAAACATGTAACTTAATTCATGAAGCTATTTACATGTATTACCCTACTTGAAAAAAGAGGGGGGTGTATAGTGAGGGGGGGGGGGGGCATCCATTACACTTGGGAGTAGTCATCCCTTACACACAACTCCTCTAACACCAAGGAATGCAATTTAATGAAACGTTCACAAAATCTCTCTATTAAATATTGGCATTGTGCATCTCCAATTTTACATTTCATCACACACTAGAGAAGATAAGATTTATTGATACCAGTTTGGGGCCCCTCAGGGCATACAAGTAAAGAATAATACACATAAGAAGAAATTCAAAATTGATAGCAGCAACATCACGATATTAAAAGAAAAGAAACTAACTAAAGAAGATGATGGTGATGATTATAGCAGATGGGGATTACCTATAATAAATGTTTAAAAAACCCATATGATTAGCATACCTACAAAGAATTTGTAACATGTATATTTGCACTAGAGTATTAATATTACAGTAGTAATTCACATTCAATCCTTTGAGAAGGCTGGACTTTTTTAAATTTGATGCTGTCCCTTAAGGTTTAATGACAGGATTGTGGTTTCATCTGGTGTTAGCCTTTTTCTTCAGCCTGTACAATTTGTTTTATGTTTTATTTCTCAACCTATGACAATTTGCAGACATTTACTTATCAAACGTTAAGGAAGTGGATTAAAAAAGGACTGAAATGTCACAATTATTTTATAAGTTAGTCGTACATTTGTCTGAGGAAAGCTTCACGTAATTGTTATATAACTTGATATGTGACCTTGAGACAAGTATGGTTATATTCTGTTGAGTGGTGTATACAAGATAAACCTCTTTAAGTTAATTATATGTCACTAAGTACTGTAGGTCTTGTGTATTTTTGAAATGTAAAAGGAAGTACTTTAATGAAAGAAACTTGAAAGCAAAAGATTTTTTGAAGTGTTGGAAAAGAGGTTGAATTTAATTTGTAAATGATTTTGTTAAACTTTCACAAAAACTTGTTATCCAAAAACCAATTTAAAACATTTCAAATATGAGTTTAAAAAAAAAACTCGCAAAATAATAAGTGATGCTTTACTGAAAATGATATGAACTTCTCTTTTATATATTAATTTTATAATTAAGAGGAAGTTGCTTTAAATTTTCCCCTATTTTGAAGTGATGGGCAGTAACATGAATCTTGAATGTCACAAATTTGTGTCTCTTTTGTCTGGAGAATTTTATAAATGATAATATTGAAGGTTACTTCCTGGGAGCCTGATGGTTGTAGAAGCATAAAAATTAATGCTATCTTCAAAAACCTTCACTTTTAGTCATTTAGAGGTCAAACTGTTGGCATGATCATAATAAGCAATGAGTAAATTCTTGACCCCTTGATTAAAGATTCATGCTCCAGGGTTGGACTGAGATGATGACATATAATTATTGAAAATCCATATTAGTGTATTATAAAACTTTCTTTACTCAGCAGGCAAACTAGCAGGCAAACTGTCTGCATTATTATAATAAGCAGCTATAGCCCTCAACAAAAAATTGTAAAATTCATTTCCCCAGGAATATTTTAGGGATCAGACCCTAAGGTGGGATGATGTTGGTCATATATTGGAATTTATTATAATATTATGTCATTAACTCTCTTTATTAGGAATCTGTACTAAGCATTTAAAAAGAGACAAGAACAAGAAGAAAATGATTATAACATATAGATTTGACCGGTCTAGAATAAGAAGGCAAATCTGTATTTCAGAAAATCATTTTATGATCAGAAGTTTTTGTTTTTCAGGATGTAGATACAATATATTTATCACAGGATTCAAGGGAGCTAAATCTGCAAGACTTTGACCATTTAAGTCTAAAGTAAGTCACAGATCTAAAGTACATGTAAGTCACTCATGGATCTAAAGTAAGTCATAGACAGATCTAAAGTGAGTCATAGATCTAGAGTAAGTCAAACACAGATCTAAAGTTATACACAGATATTAAGTAAATCATACACAGATCTAAAGTAAGTCATACACAGATCAAAAGTAAGTCATACACAGATCTAAAGTAAGTCACAGATCTAAAGTTAGTCATACACATATCTGAAGTTATACACAGATCTAAAGTAAGTCATACACAGATCTAAAGTAAGATCTAAATTAAGTCATACACAGGTCTAAAGTAAGTCAAACACAGATCTAAAGTAAGTCATACACAGATCTAAAGTAAGTTGTACACAGATCTAAAGTAAGTCATACAAGATCTAAAGTAAGTCATACACAGATCTAAAGTAAGTTTTACACAGATCTAAAGTAAGTCAAACACAGATCTAAAGTAAGTCATAGACAGATCTCAAGTAAGTTGTACACAGATCTAAAGTAAGTCATACACAGATCTAAAGTAAGTCATACACAGATCTAAAGTAAGTCATACAAGATCTAAAGTAAGTCATACACAGGTCTAAAGTAAGTTGTACACAGATCTAAAGTAAGTCATACAAGATCTAAAGTAAGTTGTACACAGATCTAATTTTGTACACAGATCTAAAGTAAATCATATGTAGATCTAAAGTAAGTCATATGCAGATCTAAAATAAGTCATACACAGATATAAAGTAAGTCATACAAAGATCTAAAGTAAGTTGTACACAGATCTAAAGAAAGTCATACAAGATCTAAAGCAAGTTATACACAGATCTAATTTTGTACACAGATCTAAAGTAAGTCATACACAGATCTAAAGTAAGTCATACAAGATCTAAAGTAAGTCGTACACAGATCTAACGTAAGTCATACGCAGATCTAAAGTAAGTGGTATACAGATCTAATTTTGTACACATATCTTAAGTAAATCCTTCACGTCATGTACAGATAGATGTACGTTTGAAATGAATCCTGAATACTGTAGATTCCTAAATATATGTGAGGAATTAATTATCGCATAATTATGCGAGAAGCACCACTCGCGAAATAAAATTACTCGCTTTTATTTCTATGGTGCTGAAATCAATGTAAAATCACTTTATCAACCATTCACTTGTGAATTATTGTTCTCGCGATTTGACGTTAAAGAGTCAATTCGGGATAAAAAGTAGTCGCGAAAAATAAGGAATCTACAGTATTTATGGAAAACCATACGCTGACTGATAGCCATCTGTATTTTATGAATAAAAAATGTCAAAGAGAGAGTAAAATGCTATTTTAATTTTAGATCTGTTGATTTATCATTGATTTTCTTTAAAAATGAATTTCCTGTGAGACTCAGCATCTTAATGTCTGCATTTATTTTTTAGGGATCTAGTTCCCATAATTGGTGCTTTAGAAAACAACACGTGGTTCACAAAATTAACGGCCAGTAAAATCAAACTTGTAAGTCTTCTCTATAAGGATTGTCTTGAAAACATAGCCATTTCCTTATTTCATCCATCCAATGAAAAGCTATATAGAGAATTCATCATTAGCAGTTTGATGGTACCCTCATAAATCAGCTTTAACATAGAGGTGTCATTACTGATAATTTGAAATCAGTTATTGGTAAAGTAGGGTATACTGTAAAAGTAATTATTTTTGTGATAATCATACATGTAATTTAGTGCCTTTTGTACTGCTTCTTGTCCACTAATTTATGTACAAGTTAATATATGATTAAAACTAACACATCGTTGTTAAAACTAGTGCACTAATTTATGATTGCACTAATCAGTTAAATTTTGAGTGCCCTAATTTATGTACATTTACAATATTTAATGTGGAGATATTGAATACCCTGTCTAATGTTTATTGTGTAGATATTGAATACCCTGTCTGGTGTATATTGTCTAGATATTGAACACCCTGTCTGGTGTATATTGTCTAGATATTGAATACCCTGTCTGGTGTATAATGTGTAGATATTGAATACCATGTCTGGTGTATATTGTCTAGATATTGAATACCCTGTCTGGTGTATATCTTGTAGATATTGAATACCCTGTCAGGTGTATATTGTGTAGATATTGAATACACTTTTTGGTGTCTGTTGCATAGATATTGAATACCCTGTCTGGTGAATATTGTATAGGTATTGAATACCCTGTCTGGTGTATATTGTGTAGATATTGAATACAGTTTCTGGTGTCTATTGCATAGATATTGAATACCCTGTCTGGTGGATATTGTATAGATATTGAATACCTATCTGGTGTATATTGTGTAAATATGGAATACCCTGTCTGGTTTATATTGTGTAGATATTGAATACCCTGTCTGGTTTATATTGTGTAGATATTGAATACCCTGTCTGGTGTATATTGTGTAGATATTGATTTCCCTGCCTGTCTGGTTTATATTGTGTTGATATTGAATACCCTGTCTGGTTTATATTGTGTAAATATTGAATACCCAGTCTGGTGTATATTGTGTAGATATTGATTACCCTGCCTGTCTGGTGTATATTGTGTAGATATTGAATGCCCTGTCTGGTGTATATTGTGTAGATATTGAATACCCAGTCTGGTGTATATTGTGTAGATATTGAAAACCCTGTCTGGTGTATATTGCAGACTTCAGATGCCCAGAGTGAGATTCTGAAAGTGATGAAGCGAAACAACACAATAGAAGAACTGGACCTCAGTAGCACAGGAATCACGGTGTAGGTAACTGTTAATGGAGGATATTTATTTCAGGAGTGGAACAGGATTTATTTAGCTTATATTTTTACAAGTGCAAAACATGAGAGAAAATATTTTTTTAAAAAATTGTCTCTTGGGTGAATAAAATTCCACATCCAACTATAAAGCACTGAATTTTCTGTTTATTAAATGTTCTGTAGTTTTCCTTTTGCACATGTCTTTTTGTTACTTAGTGTTGTAGACTGTGAGTCTGTGACATCATAGCTGAGCAGATTTGAGAAGTCACAGCTAAACATTGTGAGATTGAAAATTTTCGAGACAGTTAAGCAATTAATGCCCCCTCTTCCTGTGCTTATCTCTCTCTGAGATACCCACTAAAAGTGACTGGTAAAAATATTTTAGTTTAGGCATTAATCCTTTAAGGAAGGAATTCTAGAAAATTATACTGAACAGAATGTTGCTTGAGACCAGGGAATCGATCCCAAGCAAGTGCCATTGTGATAGATAAATGTAACAGGTACTGCCAATGTGTAAAGAGGTTTTGCTAGTTGCTTACAGCATACTTAACAAAAAGAGTATGTAGCAGTTGAAACATCACCAAAGATTGCCTTCATACATGTTTGTATGACCAAATGGTGTGTCAAGATTCTGAACTGTTTTATCTGGATAAGGTCAAGGTCACATGGAGTAGCAAACTTTGTATAAAATTCTTTTCTAGCATCATAATCAATAAGTTTATTGTATAAGGTCATGCTTGTAGTTTTAAATTAGATATTGCTTTTATGAGAAGTTCCTTTATTTGATTAAGTCCAGGGTCACTTGAATTGCCAAACATAATGTTTAACATTTTATTCTCTATTTTTCCAAAAGTTTGTCTTATAGACTCCATGCAAAGTATTGTAGAGAATAGGCTAATAAGTGAAAAGAATATTCAAATATTTAAATTTCAGATAAAAACCATTTGATATAAATTAGTCTCCTGTTTTGTATGCTGATCTATGCAGATATTTTACAGAGATTTTGTACAGAAGTTAGCAACAGCCATTTTATCTAACACTTCATCCCAGCTACAGAGAATTGATCTGTCCAAGAACTCTCTAGAAGATAAAGGTTAGTCGTGCTGTTCTTACTTTGTGTCTTCTAGTGATCAGTATTTTTTTTAGGTCAGCTAATCACAACTTGTCTATTGTATGAAAATAGTGACTATTTTAATGTGAATTTTTAAGGTTTATGTGAATATTTTAAGTCAGTTATATGTTGAAAGTCATACTTAGAAGTCAAGTATGAATTTGTCACTCTTAGAATTTGCTACAACGTGCTACATTGTTTTTCCAAAGGTTGAAAATACAATGAATAAATTTTGTGGCACTGCCACACATGCTATTCCATCTAGTACTGTTATCTGAGTTTCTTTAGATAATTAAGGAAAGATTCTGAATCCTTCCATACTTTGCCCTTCTTTGTCTTTTTGTTCTAGTGAAGCAGGGAACATTTTTTTTTTCCAGCTTTGGTACATTTTATTGGATCACTAAAAAATCTGTCTCGGGGACTAGTGCACCTCGACATCTCAAACACAAAGGTCCTAGGGAAGGGGCTTAATAAAGTCTGCGAGAGTCTATCACAGAGTCCAACCATTATCCAATCACTTCACTCCCTCAACATTTCGGAAAACCCCAGCAAGGGAGAAGACTTACAAGTAGGTCATTCATAGGATTAAGTTAAAGTTGACGTGAAAATTATGCAAGTTGATGAGGTGCAGATCTCTTTAAGATGACAATAGCTTTTAATAATTTGAAGATATTATACCAGTAATTGTTAAATTATAGCTTATGGATTATTGTTTACTGTAAATGTACAGTTAAACTTCGTTATCTCAAAGTTGACAGGACCGTTGATGAACTTCGAGATATCCGGGGGTTCGACATATCGAGGGTTATAATTTAAATGAACTTCAAATAAACTTAGTGCAGTGAACATGTACTTAATAGTAAAAACATGTAAAAATCCTTCTTGTTTGAAATTCTGTATAAGATTTCTTTAATATACGTGTACATGTATTTAGCAATCAAAAAATTTTACATCCTCTTTATAATTCACAAAATAAAAACTTTGTATAATATGCACAGAAGTATAATCCGACGTGGAAAGTCAACCGCTAGCATCGTTTCCCATGTATACATAACCGGATATCGTCTATGCATTGTAAATTTAAAAACCGGTCGCTGTCAGAATAACGAAAATGAAATATACATCTTCTTTGATTGGAAAAACATGTTCATACATGTAAAATCAGTTAAAAGAAATTATTTTATCATAATAAAATCGAATGCAAAAGAAGAATCACGCATTTTTGTCTAACAACAGAACAACACTGAATCACAGGGCACTACAGCACAAGTTTTCACTGCGACACATGCTCACATGATAGTGTGTACGGACGATTGTATTTTTCTGCACGCTCATGTAGGGAAAATAAATTATAACTGCATTAATTTACAGAATTTTGTTTTACTTCGATGGTTATAATTTTCACTTTCATATGCATAAACTATGTATGTGCACATATTTCACATAGTATTAAATAGCGATTATCAAGATAAACGTACTCAAGCCACAAAACAATGAACGTGTCATCCACGCGTATGCATTAGACTAATACACACAAACTTTTGCTTGCATAATTACGATCGAGGTAGGCCATACATACACTTCGTATAATTATTGCGCTATTATCTGTTGATCACAGGAACACAGGTAACCCGAGCGTGACAGACAGGTGGGTGTTATCAATAGAGCATTCAGTTTACCTAACGGACTTCCTCATCGGAGCAGAAAATTATCCTGACTTCGAGATAACGCATGTGATTTTAATGAATGAGTACACAATTTTACTTCGAGATAACCGGGGTATTCAACATTACCGTGTTCGACATAGAGGGGTTTATTTTAATCATTTATAAAACAAATTTCGTCGGGACCGTGGCCTTACTTCGACATATCCAGGGTATTCAAGATATCCGTGTTAGAGATTTCGAAGTTTAACTGTACTTATTTTAGTGGTAATCATATTTTAGTGCCTTTCACGCTTTATGTTGTCCATTAATACATATGCACGCTAATGCACGATTCAATCTAATAAATATTATTATGCAAGAATTATGACTGCTCAAACAAGATTGAGGTAAAGTTAGAGTGGGCTAATTTAAGTATGTTTACAGTATGAGTTTGAGTTTGTAATAAGCTGGAATTTTTCAGTGTCTATACAATTTAAGTATGTTTACAGTATGTGTTTGAGTTTGTAATAAGCTGGAATTTTTCAGTGTCTATACAATTTAAGTATGTTTACAGTATGTGTTTGAGTTTGTAATAAGCTGGAATTTTTCAGTGTCTATACAATTTAAGTATGTTTACAGTATGTGTTTGAGTTTGTAATAAGCTGGAATTTTTCAGTGTCTATACAATTTAAGTATGTTTACAGTATGTGTTTGAGTTTGTTATAAGCTGGAATTTTTCAGTGTCTATACAATTTAAGTATGTTTACAGTATGTGTTTGAGTTTGTAATAAGCTGGAATTTTTCAGTGTCTATACAATTTCCTGGCCCAAGGAAACAACATCACATTTCTAGATCTCTCAGGAACAGACTGTGCTTTAGAACTGGTAAGGCCACATGTTTTCTTATCTTTTGAACTTGAATCAGAATTATTTAATTCTTCTTTAAAAAAGATTGCTTTTCCAGTTGATATAACAGTCTTATGATATTTTGGTATAGTAGTCAAGTTTTTAAAAAAAATTAGCCTAGTATTTGCATTTCTTCTTTAGCTGTGTGCTGCCTTATTAAGAGGAAGTTGTGCTTCTTTAACTCATTTAAAAGTTGCCAGGAATGTGTTTACTCACAAGAAAACCAAAGATGTGATTGTACAGGGGACGTGGAAGACATTTTTCTCCAGTGTTTATGGCCTGGAGTGCCTTGACTTGTCAGGATGTAGATTACCTCCAGAGGCTCTTAAGTATGACATTGTGGAATTTTACTGTGCAAAAATTTGGAATATATTTTAAAACTTAGTGACAATTGAAAATTTTGTTTCACAAATGTAATAATGATCAAATTTTACATTTGAATGAATAATTTCTCCTAATTTAACGTGATAAATCATTAAATTTGGTTAGAAAAACATTTATTTCCTTGAAGTTTTGTGAGTAATGGAGGAAGTTAAGGAAATTTTACCTTTCACTCTGACATTGAAACATGTTTATGCATTAGAGTAGCAGTTATGGAAGCCTTATTAAAACTATCCCCCCTGAGGCATTTTATTTTGTATACATTTGAGCAATGATGAAGAGTACATGTAAGTACTGAAATTCAATGTCCCAGTTAAAAATGTTTCTTTATCAATTCCTTCAGAGAGATGCTTCTAGGAATAGCATGTAATATGCACATCAAAGACCTTCACCTTGACCTCAGCAACAATGACCTTCAGTCACAAGGTGGACAGGTTTTAGGGAGTTGTATTGGAAATATCAGCAGTATCACCAGTCTTGATATTAGTAATAATAGTAAGTGTCTATATTAGTAATAATAGTAAGTGTCTGTATTAGTAATAATAGTCAGTGTCTATATTAGCAATAATAGTAAGTGTCTATATAAGTAATAATTGTAAATGTCTATATTAGTAATAATAGAAAGTGTCTATATTAGTAATGATAGTAAGTGTCTATATTAGTAATAATATAAAAGTGTCTATGTTAGTAATGATAGAAAGTGTCTATATTAGTAATAATAGTAAGTGTCTATATTAGTAATAATAGTAAGTGTCTATATTAGTAATAATAGTAAGTGTCTATATTAGTAATAATAGTAAGTGTCTATATCAGTAATAATAGTAAGTGTCTATATTAGTAATAATAGTAAGTGTCTATATAAGTAATAATTGTAAATGTCTATATTAGTAATAATAAAAAGTGTCTATATTAGTGATAATAGAAAGTGTTTATATTAGTAATAATAGTAAGTGTCTATATGAGTAATAATAGTAAGTGTCTATATTAGTAATAATAGTAAGTGTCTATATTAGTAATAATAGTAAGTGTCTATATTAGTAATAATTGTGAGTGTCTATATTAGTAAGAATATTAAGTGTCAATATTGGTAATAATTGTAAGTGTCTATATTAGTAATAATAAAAAGTGTCTATATTAGTAATAATAGTAAGTGTCTATATTCATAATAATAGAAAGTGTCTATATTAGTAGGTGTCTATATTAGTAATAATAGAAAGTATCTATATTAGTAATAATAGTAAGTGTCCATATTAGTGATAATAGTAAGTGTCTGTATTAGTAATAATAGTATGTGTCTATATTAGTAATAATAAAAAAAAGTGTCTATATTAGTAATAATAGTAAGTCTATATTAGTAATAATAGTAAGTGTCTATATTAGTAATAATAGTAAGTGTTGATGTTAGTAATAATAGTAAGTGTTTAATAATAGTGTTGATATTAGCAATAATAGTAAGTGTCTATATTAGCAGTATCTCTCTGTATTTTCAAACACTTTTATGACTGAATGCTCATATATATTTATTCTGTCTCAGACTCTTTTTATATCAAATTTCAGATTTCAACCAATCGATAGTGAGTTTACTTGATTGGATAAAGAGCAATCGAAGTATAAAGTATCTGTCGATTGGACAAAACTTTGACAACATCAAACCAAAGTAAGTACCAAATAAAAGGATATGGTCAATAACATTTTCTTAGAGTGAAAAATATATTCTGAATATAAAGAAACTATGTGTTGCATGCTAATCATCTGATAGTAATTAGAGAAAACTGTGTTTTGAGAATTTTTTTTTTTTATTAAAAATTAATATTTGATCATTGACATGTTTCAGACATATGACAGCAGTTATGGAGGGAGTTGTCAACCTCATTCAAGATGAATCCTGTGTAAGTTTCTCATTTTTATGTTATATGGAACAAATAGGATCATCTGAATGAAGATGAGAAAACTTCTCAAACTTCTCACAGCAATAGAATTTATCTGCTGTCTGCTCTTCTGTCTGTTTTTCATATTTTCTTCAGGTTTCTTCATTCTGCAGGTCAGTCATTCACAAAAAATGGTCGTACAACATATTCCAGTTCTCTATCTTCAGCATTACAAGTTTAAGTGCTAACTTTATATGATTAAGTACAAATTTGAACCAAATATAATCAACCATCATACTGTAGGTTGTCATTTATATGCAGATTTCTATATGTGATGAAGATTCAATTGTATTAAGTTCTGTTGTTCACAAACAGAATTGGGAAAGTTTTAGGGACTTGAAACTTGTTATTTGAACAGGAATAGTATTCCAAGATTTTCTGAGTTTAGTGTAGGAAGATTTTAATTAGTAATAATTATTAGCTGACTTCATACATGTATATTATTTTCTTTGCTGTATTGTATAGAATCTCTGTATCTGGCCAATTTCAGATTTCTGATCTTTTCTTTATTATGATGTATAGAATTTTTTTTGCTGGCCGATTCCAGAGGTCTGATCTTTTCTTTATTGTAGTGTATAGAATCTCTGTCGCTGGCCGATTCCAGACTTCGGAACAATCTCTCTGATATCATAAATGCCCTGGGCAGCAATGTAAGCCTAACAGAAATTGACATCAGGTAAAGAAAATACTTTAACCATTTTTCTTGAGAACTTTATTTTCCTATAATTACACAAGAACCATCTGCTTGTAAAAAATTCATATCTTCATATATTTGTTTTATTAAAGATTATATATAAATATTTACAAAATTTGTGAAAACTTTGTCTCGCTTATAAATGCCAATTAACTATCTTGCAAAAATAAGGTGTCACAAAAATTTGGTAATCTACAGTAGCAGTTCTCTTGCAGGAATGAGAATATAGAAAAATAATGCATCAAAAATTTCATATCTTCCTCACTGTAAAGCAAGTTCAAGAAATATCTAACACTACGTCATTTATGTTCGATTTCATTTGAAAGTACATGTATTTGCAGAAATTTATTTCATAAGTAAGACAGTTACAGATGTTTTGACCAAACATATCTTTTAAAGAAAATGCAATCAGATGAAAAAAAATGTATGTAGACTTTTTCTAACTGTGATATGTATGAATTTCAGTGGGAATCAGATTGGAGACTTTGGAGCCCGTATGCTCAGTAAAGCCCTTCAGATTAACTCCAAGTTAAAATGCATTTTGTGGGACAAAAATTTAGTCACGGCACAGGGCTTTGAGGATATAGCTGTAGCTCTACAAAAGTGAGTCCTCCTAATTCTATTGTTCACAGCATGAAGTTATTATTCAGTAATTTAATTCTGGTTATAACGTGTTATTTGATTGGACTTAAAAAAAAAAAGTATATATTTTTGACTGTTGTTGATGTCACAATATGACTTGAGACAGAAACATAAAAATCATTCTGCTAGGTGTTTTATTGGTTTTATGAGGACAAAACATCTTTATATTTTTTCACTTAATGGTAGAAAACTAAATTATTATAAGAAATGAATTTAAACATATCCAATTATGCTATATGAGTATGACCTTCGTTGCAACAGTATTTACTTTTTTATAAACCATATTACTGTTTATAAATCATAAACTGTCCCAGCCCAGGGTATACTTGTATAACTCAAGTACCTTTTAAATTCATTCCTTAATTGTTTGAAATACTTTTTTTTATGAGATGATATTTGTTGAATATTTCTATGATATAGTAGTTTAAATGCATACAAATTACCAGACCTTGGATATTCCCGTAAGACTTCTTAGATACAAATGGTTCTATAAGAAAATTGTATCACATGTTCATTTTTAAGAAATTAATTGCAGGAGAGTTATTAACAGGCAAGTTTGGCATGTCCCTTTGATATAGTCCTCTTAATTTTTTTTAAATACATGTATGTATAATTTGTATAAGAACATGTAAATAGACTTACACAATATTTTTACATTATTTTCCGCCTTTTGAAGATCTTTATACAAGTCTTTTTCAACTCTTACTCTCTTCAGTTATGTATTTCATCTGTATTTTATCATAGTACATGTCATGTACATGTATGGTACATGTATTTAAGTTGTCAATTTAAAGAAAAATTTACCTATGTGTCTACATGTACATGCAGAACAAACACTATCCAGTATTTTGCACAATGAAAGCTAATTTTATAATAGAAGATAGTTTTTTAAAAGAAGATTTGACCAATTTTTATCATAATATATTTTTTGATAGGAATTATGCCTTAAGAAAAATGCCCATGCCAATAAATGATGCATCTGTAGCCCTCCAGAAACAAGGGGAGAGAACTGAGGCTGCCCTTCAGAAAGTAAGATTGACCAAAGTATTCTAACTGATAGATGCAGTGTATGTTACATAGTGTATATGTGCATGTGTTTCCCAACAAACAGATGTAGAGAAAACTTGTGTTGTAGCTTCTGATATTTATGGATGTGAGTTGTTACTTACACAAAATTGTAAAAATTGTTTATTTCTAAAACTGATCTTGCATGTATTACCTCACAATACATGTGCAGTGAAAATGATTGTAAGGCTAAGTTTTCTTGTATGTGTTGTCTCTGAGTTTTTATCTCCTGTTACAGATAGAGAGTTTACTACAGAGGAATCACAGTCCACAGAAATTCTCCTCAGACCAGGCTTACAGACTACAGCAGGGCTTCCTCATCAGTTCTACACAGCAGGTAAAACTCACTGTACCAATCACATCAAGATAGATAAGAGGGGGGTTGTATCAGTTCTACACAGGCTTACAGACTACAGCAGGGCTTCCTCTTCAGTTCTACACAGCAGGTAAAACTCACTGTACCAATCACACCAAGACAGATAAGAGGGGGTTTGTATCAGTTCTACACAGGCTTACAGACTACAGCAGGGCTTCCTCATCAGTTCTACACAGCAGGTAAAACTCACTGTACCAATCACATCAAGATAGATAAGAGGGGGGTTGTATCAGTTCTACACAGGCTTACAGACTACAGCAGGGCTTCCTCATCAGTTCTACACAGCAGGTAAAACTCACTGTACCAATCACACCAAGACAGATAAGAGGGGGGTTGTATCAGTTCTACACAGGCTTACAGACTACAGCAGGGCTTCCTCATCAGTTCTACACAGCAGGTAAAACTCACTGTACCAATCACAACAAGACAGATAAGAGGGGGTTTGTATCAGTGCTACACAGCAGGTAAATTACTTATACTTATCACACCTACACAGGTGATCTGTATAGTACAACAGGAGGTTTGTATCAGTTCTACACACAGCAGATAAATTACTTATACTTATCACACCTACACAGGTGATCTGTATAGTACAACAGGGGTTTGTATCAGTACTACACAGCAGATAAAATACTTATCACACCTACACATGTGATCTATATAGTACAACATAGGGTTTGTATCAGTTCTACACTGCAGGTAAATTACTTATACTTATCAGTGTTACACAACAGATAAATTACTTATACTTATCACACCTACACAGGTGATCTGTATAGTACAACAGGGGTTTGTATCAGTACTACACAGCAGATAAAATTCTTATCACACCTACACAGGTGATCTATATAGTACAACAGAGGGTTTGTATCAGTGCTACACAGCAGATAAATTACTTATACTTATCACACCTACACAGGTGATCTGTATAGTACAACAGAGGGTTTGTATCAGTGTTACACAGCAGATAAATTACAGTTCAGTGATTCATTTTGGTGTGCGTCCTGCGTAAATTACGCACAAATTTTGCCCAGGACGCATTATTTCAATAAATGTGCATCCCAATGGACGCAATAAATTTATAGAAGGGCATGTACTATTTAAAATTATTTCGGTATAATCTGATTCAAAACTTGACCGATTGCATCATATCCACGTGCTAAGCGATATGCATGAACGATTTTAACAGGTATAAGGTTGCCAACAACAGGTCAGATTTCATAACTGCAGTTAAAAGCAATTATCAGAATATATTTGAGAGTTAGCATTGTTCGATTATCACTGATAATGTCTATACCGTGGAACGTTTCTGAAGCGAATACTATACCTTTGTATTTAAGCTGTAACCTGTATCATTGTTGTTAGTTTTTTTTTTTGATTTTTCCTTACAAGCTAAGAAGTATAAAATTTAATCATTTCTATTTCTGACTATTTGTCATTTCTTCTTAAACTTTTTTTTTTTTACTTCATTCTGCTTCTGTGCATTTTATGACCGATACAATGTGTGAGATCGTATACATGTACGATCTAAAAATAGAACCAAAGTGCACAGTGGACAATATATTATTTTTATGACACAAAATCACGTACAATCTTGGACAATTGATAGTAAAAGTATAAATCACTCACGGCTACAATAAAACATTTGCACTTTCGTGCAGTACCCTTTTTTTATTTCACCAGAATTTCCTCTGTAACATCTAATATACAGTACCCTTGGATTTGGACGCATTGATTTTGGCACGGGACTCATTGTTGTCATTAAGAGGGGTCCTTTGGACCCATGATAACCATTTTCAAAATGAATCACTGATTACTTATACTTATCACACCTACACAGGTGATCTGTATAGTACAACAGAGGGTTTGTATCAGTGCTACACAGCAGATAAATTACTTATACTTATCACACCTACACAGGTGATCTGTATAGTACAACAGGGGTTTGTATCAGTACTACACAGCAGATAAAATACTTATCACACCTACACAGGTGATCTATATAGTACAACAGAGGGTTTGTATCAGTTCTACACAGCAGATAAATTACTTATACTTATCACACCTACACAGGTGATCTGTATAGTACAACAGAGGGTTTGTATCAGTGCTACACAGCAGATAAATTACTTATACTTATCACACCTACACAGGTGATCTGTATAGTACAATAGGGGTTTGTATCAGTGCTACACAGCAGATAAATTACTTATACTTATCACACCTACACAGGTGATCTGTATAATACAACAGGGGTTTGTATCAGTGTTACACAGCAGATAAAATACCTGTCACACCCAGACAGGCATGTGTACAATGGGGGTTTGCATAGGTGTATACAACAAGTAAATTGCACTTATCAAAGCTTGACAGATGCTCTGTATAGTGCAGCAGGGGTGTTCCAAGAGGGGTTTGCGTCAGGCCCACACACCACATTACATATATCTTAACACCTAGACAGATGATCTGTACAATTCATTTGAAGTTTACTTTGATTTACACAATAGATTAAATAACAGTACTTATCATACCTAGATACGTAAGCTGTGGAGCAGAGATTGACATGGAGCTCAGTTGTCTAGTGATCAAATATATCTTGCAAATCAAAGATGGCTGCTTTTACTTGATCAAAGCAAAAACAATTCTTTTTGCTGGGCACAATTAAATCAGATATTCATCTTGTCATTTTTCTGAAAACTGCTCTCCTTAAAAATGATTAAAATAACTATATGTAAATATTGATGTAGGATTCTCCTGGATTGCATCATTTTATTTACACGTATTTGTTAGTTTTTGCATGTGAGGACCACATCATCTAAAATGACTCCAAATGTAAGTCCTTAATTGTTGCAAATGCAGCTCCCAAAGCAGGTTAATTGGGCTTTATGTTAGCAGACATGTCTCTTTTTCCTTTGTGTAATGGTGATTTGTTTATTCTCTGGGAACCTCTGCTTTTGATACCCCATGCAATCAAAGTTTATTCCTCTGTGTAAATTGTCTTCAGCTATAGGTTTTATGGAGAACCATTTGATGCCAAAACATGTATTTGTCAAAAGATAGCATACAGTTGATGATATGGTCTTGACATTGGGGATGTTTGTTCACTTGTGGAAAAAATGCTGAGTTGTGTTTTGTAATAGAAATCATTGCAAGCTTGAATTTAACTCAGATTTGTACATGCATGTGATAGATAATTTGTTATGAACCTGTCCCAAGGTTTTATTTACAAGGTGGTCAATTTGGGATAGAAACAAGAAGTGAAGCAGACGTCATGAGTTTGTAGCCTCATTGTATCTCAGCGAAGAGGACAAATTTGTCTCAGATTTGTTGGTTAATTATCACATTAATTTTTAACTCTACTCGTCAGAGATTACACACTGGTCAGGTGTTCATCATCTGTTAGTCTGTCAGCTATTTGTCTGTTCATTTGTAAACAATTTTTTTTTAGATATACCTTTTTTCCTATTTTTTTTTTTTTGGTCTGATTTCAATAAATGTTGGTAAACTTGCAAACTACATCAAGATACATAATTTTTAACATTAGTTTTTGAATTCATTGTGTTTCCATAGTAACCAAAAAAAAAAGAGTAATGGGATAAATTCTTACAAAACTGTACTCCTTAGACACTTTTTGTCTGGTTTAAGCAAATAACTTGGTAAAAGTTTAAAAAATTTACAGGTTTATGTGCAGCTTTTTGACATGAATTCATTGAAACCAGTAAAGTTGATACTTCTAGTTATAATAAATATTGTGAATAGTGTTTATTATAAACAATGGTTATAATATGTATTATAAACAATGATTACTTTATATATTGTAAACAATAGTTATAATGTGTATCATGAGCAATTATTATAATATATCATCATGAACAATTGATCTACATAAATAAACATTGACTAAAACAAAGTGATAACTCTCTTTCAGATGGTTGACAGACTTGTAGTTCAGGTTCAGGATGCTGTTAATGCCCTCAGTCTGGGCTCCACTGATGGCTTCCAGACAGATATTGACCAGGCCACCAGTGTCATTAAAGATGCAGATAATTCCAAACAGGTCAGTTACAGAACAGAAAAAAAATATCAACATCATGTATTTCATCAATATAAAAAGAAAGGATAGGTGTTAGTGAGGTAGCACGAATAAACACATGTATAGATCATACAATGAAATGCATGAACATAACCAGTCAACTATTCTGTAACTTGATTAATTCATTGTATACTGGCTCGCAAGCTGTACACAAGTACACTAAAGGACTCGAAGCTCCATGATTTTTTCTTCGTAATTACATGTAAGGAGAAACTTTTCTCAATTTTTTTTAGCTGCTACCTCATTTACAAAGAATAGCCATGAAATCAATAGATACAGGAAACCCAGTGGAGACTGAGTTAAAAGATCTGACTGATAACCTGAAAGACGTCCTACAGGCCCAGATCAAGGTATAATAAAATCTTGTCTATAAAATCATCTATCATAACAATCAGTAATATGATGAATTATTTTTCATTTGATATTATGTGAACAATTCTGGTAGTGATTTCATATATTTTTCTACCCACAGAAAACAGTTACAGACATGATTGAGTGCACAGGAAATCAATGCTCAGGAGTTACCTCTGATAAGGTCAGTGAGTTGTGAGGGAAGCAGTGGTATAATATGATTAGTCGATTTGAAAATATTGCTGTTTTGATTGGTTGATTATTTTAAATGTTTTCAGGATTTTATGTTTGAGTTAGTGTCTGGATGTTCTGAGAGAAGTACTTTACCTAAAGGTTTCACTAAACACCTGATGGATGGGGTAGAAACTGATATCTACAACAAAGTTAGGTAAAGTATTACACCCTCTATACAGTTTTCCTGTAATTATATTTATGTGATCTGTATTCATTGTGCAATGAATGTATTACATTTTTCTTTAGCGAGATTAACTTGGCAGTGGCAGCACACATATCTGACACAGTCATTGATGGTGTAATAGAGACATTGACAGACAGTCACAAGACACTGGTAAAAAACTCTCATCAGCTACCTTGTTACGATTTAAAGTGAGATTATGTAATGTACTTTTATTCAAAAACAGCTAGGATATTATGAAAAGGGGTAGTTATGTGTATCTCAGATAAGGTACCAATTAATTTTGATAAACACATGCTTGCCATCAAAGAGTGCAAAAAAAAAAGTAATGGGGCTGTTACTGTTACGTTTTACCATCACAGATGTCTCACCTGAAACAGAAGCGATCTGAGGATCGTCCTGTCTCCACAGAGTCTAAAGAGAAGGGGGTGGAGAAAGTGGAGGAAGCAGAGAAAGTCCCCCTCAGGATTTCCATCAAAGCTGATTCCCCTGGGGTAGGTAATAGGGTTTTATAAGTCTGGCTAGTACAAAAGCTATTTCTGCGGGGGATATTGATGGATACTATTATTCACAAAGCCTGAAGTCTGCATTATTTCATTTAGAAAATTCTGTATTAGAGTATGCTTGTTGTAGAACCCGATTCCCTTTACTGCTAGTCTTTAACGAGTGATTCTGTTAGTAGGAAATTGTTTTAAGAAAATACCCATTTATTGTATTTGTAAGATCAGCTCTTATGTCCAATAATATGTTAATGTGTTGAATAATTGTTCAAAGGCATCATCTAAAAGCAGTCATGTAAGTTACTTAGCCTTTTTTTCTCTTAAAACTTAAAAAAAACTTCTTTTTTTTTTTTTACTTTTTTAAATTTTTTTTTTTGTGAAATGTGCATGATGTGGGTTTCCTCTTAGTTTTATACTTCAATTTTTTTTTACAATTTTCTTTTGATTATCTTTAAAGTTCTTTTTTTCCCCTTAAAAATGGTAAAGATTGTGCCAGTTGATTTTCATTTTCAATTTTATGGTATTTGTTATCTTTTCTTTTGAACTTAAAATAAAGGATAATCTAGAAGTACCTGAAAACAGTGTAAGTTATAAATACATGTAATCTAAATGATAATTTCACTATTGTCTTCTACCTCATGTTAATTTACCCACATACACAATATCAGTTCTTTTATCCTTCTTTATCTATATTTAAAAAACTATAATTCACTTCAGATTGTGGGAGTTTATTGGCTGTTAGTCCACATAGTTTAGTTTGGAGGTACCTAGTTTGGGGGATTTTTTGGATTCATGACGATGATCAATCGATTGGCTTGCGTGATAATTTTATGCATAAACGCCTTCGGCGTTTATGCAAATTATCACGCAAGCCACTCGATTGATCACATCATGAATCCAAAAAATTAGACAGTTATTCCTTAAGTAAACACCACTAAGCCTATCACTTGGAGTGCATAGATTTCTTGAGCAGTGGCTCTTCCATCAATGAAATGTACAGTGATGTACATATCAATCCTACAATAATTAATCTACTTAATCCTACTTTAGATGATTATTTGTACAATAAAATGTCTTTCTTTGTTAGTAGGGGAATTAATGTAGCAGCTATTGCAGAAAAAAATTACATAACCTGCTTTTGCGGGTTATGCATTTTTTCAGCAACAGCTGCAACATTAATTCCCATACTAACAACGAAAGAAAGAATTTTATTGTTTAACACACCAGTACTGTCTCGCTGATGTTCAAGCCATTTAGAATTAGTTGACCACTTAGATCTGATGGAAATTTAAAGAGCTAAATTTTTCTTCTGGTGATAAGAAGCATATGCATGGAAAAGAAAATGAGTTTGTTCCGCTTATTTTTCTGTTTCCCCTAACATTTTGATTTTGATCATATCTCATGTGACCTTGTTTCTCCTTTTTGCATGTAACTTTAGTATATTGCGTACACGGTACCATTTCTACAGACACACCCCTACGTACGTATTTAAGTCAGATTTACACGCATATATAATACACAGAATTTTCCCCTGTTGCTGACTGCTTTGTGTATACCAATATTATATATCATTATTACCAGTCAGAGCTTAAGCATAAATCATGGTTAGCTCCAGCACAAAAAAAGACTCGGAAATTAGCGTGCAAATTAAGATGTTTAGGAATCGGTACAGATGTTACACGGACATGATACACTAATGCATTCAAAACTAGCCTGGTGAGAAATCAGTCAATCTACACAAATTTAACACTGAAATTAATCTGTTTTAATTTAGGTGTCTAGAGAGGTAATTTAAAGAGATAATTTAGGGGGAGAGGGCTTATAATGCATTATTTTTTTTTAAATTATACATGTAACATATAATGCTTCTTCACAAAAGTTAAATCTCACTTAAAGTCATGCTTTTACACGAAAACAGGGGATAATATAAATTTACCATTATGCACTTGCATTTAAAGCTCTTCAAGCACTTGCTACATTCAGAATGTATTTTGTTCTTTAAAACTTTGTTTTGCATGACCTTTTAATAGCATTTCTTCCATATGTGTATGTTATATACAGAGAGACACTGTATGATAAACAGGTTTTGGTCTGCCATGTATCAAATTATATCACTTTTAAATTTAACAAATATGTCCTAAAATTGAAATGTAAAAAAAAAAGTAGCCTTTGAGGATGGAAAATTTTTTCGGATACGGAAGTGTAAAAAATAATCTTAGAACACAATGTCATAAGTTTGTTAGTTAAAAAAAAATGATCTGTTTTCTTTAATGTTTAACTTATTTTGCATTCGAACTGTGCTCATTACTTGTATATATAATATGAATGAAATAATTCTTTGGGCTGTAAAAACTGTTAAAAATTCATTGAAAGATAAAAACTTTCCCATGAAAAAGTTGAATTAGATATGCACAGCTGAGGATTTAATTGGTTTAATACATTTCATTGATAAATACAGATTTAAGATTTTTTGCAGCTTCAAAATACTGTTGGCATTATTAAATTCTAAATAGATTATTTGCCCCCGTTATTTAACATGCTAAAACTTGACTAACGCTTTGTACTATATTGTCCATAGAGTACACCAAACTTAACCAACAAGAGAAAAAGTGTTCATGCCCGGAAAATGCGACCACCTACAGTTATTGGTAAGTTTTAACCATTTAAGTGTACACCATTACTGTCTCAGAGATGAACTGTGGTGAAAGACTCTAGAATACTGCACTTAACTGCATCTCCTGCATATTATGTACACGTAGGTCTAGAAAATGTATACATAGATAGAAATTTGTACTATTAAAGTTATGTATATGGACCAACAGTTGTACTGAAAAGAGCCATTGCTAGATTAGATCTGAAGCATCACGTGATATATAGTTAGAACAGAATATTGATTACAGGTTGGAATTTGATGACAAGATGGTCAGCAAAGCCGTAAAACTCTTTCTGTTTTGAGATTATTTTTTTTAATCAGGAATTCATTTTATCTGAAAGGTTTATAATGGTGAAGTCAAAAAAGACAAATTTTAAAGGGTCTTTACAGGTCTTTATAATTATTAAAATTTAATAAAATATGAATAATTGGTAAAAATAGCTGGTAAATTTCTCTGTGTTGCCTTGCTTTGCTAAGCTGGATATATTTGTGTGAGTAAATTGTAATTGCACTAAATGTGTGACACAGACAAAGGGGAGATTATGCAATTCATTACTTTGTTACATGTGTATTAGGAAATAGCTGAAAAAAAGTTTTCTTATTTTTGTTTTTTCAAATAATTCACTAAAAAATCTGCGATTTCTTTGAATTGTGAACAGTTGAAAATAAGAAAAAGAAGAGTAAGTTTTTTTCCCTTAAAGAACTAAACAGTTTATTAAGTTTATTAACTGAGACAGGAATATGATGAATGCAGCTCATTCATTTTTTTATTCAGTGAAATCTGTATCTTTGGTTGCTGATCTCTCTTTGCTTTATGATCTTGCTTGCAGTTTTGCACTTTAATTGAAGGTCACATGATGAGCATATTTCATTTGTCTTTTAGTCATGTGACAAGAAATCCATTAATTGCTAACCGTTTTCTTTGTCTGTCTTCCTCTGTTTACTGTGCACAAAATAGATCCAGGGCAGGTTGCTCAAGCTTTACAAATTCACCAAGCCAAGGAGAATGACCTTGAAGAGTCAAAGGTCAGTGATGTTGCAGAGGTCAAGGGCACAGAAACCATTAAAGAAGGTACCTGGGTGTTGTAATTCACAGACATAATTATATATATATCCCTCCTGCTTTTTAGCTTTTGTTTACCAGTTTCACCTTCACAACACAAAGATCACTGTACCTAAGAATTTTTTTATGCATTGATAAAAGTGCAATATGATAATATGTATAAGTGTATTGTATGATAGAATACACACAGTTATCCAGAACAGAAACTCACACTGCTTTAAAGAAGGTGACAAACATTTGGTACCCAGTAATAAGTACACCAGAAACACAGTTAAATTTGAATGGAAAATCACTTTTTTGAATGCTAAAAGACTAGTTAGACTATTATCATGTATTGAAAAGTCATTTAATATGTAAGGTAAGACCCTTTTAAGTCTATGAATGTAAGGTATATTGTACTACAAGTATTACATTAGTTTATGGAATGTTTCACAGAGAGAATCTTGAAAAAGACTAAAAAACTCTATTTCATGGTACTAATGTGAATTCTTTTGTAGTTTAGAATGCTAGTATGTGCATTTGAATATTGAATGCTTAGAATTCTGTTAGTTAAAAAAGTAATGTATTCTGTGATGGAATCTTTACCAGGTCAAGTTCCAATAAATGCATAAATCTTTATCAATCAAAATTTAATGTTACATTGTACTGCATGTAAATTCATTAATAAAAGAATTTATTCCACTAAAGATTAATTATTAACTTTGTGATTTTGATTTTTATCTTTTCTATTCTTGGAGATATTGTACAAAAATCTATGATTAATGAACACTGTCAATGTATGATGCTTACTTCTTGTGACACTAACACTTTGAACTGTTGTTTTCTTTCAGTTGGTTCACAAGAGGATTTAACTGCTGTAGTAACTAAGCATTCTGGTGGTAAGTAGGTCAAAATGGTACAGGCACATAATGGGGGAGGGAGGCAGACAACATGGAATAGGTTTCAACTTTTAACAAAAGAAGTTTTAACAATATTTGACCACTTAAACAAAAAGGGGGGAGGGGGGGGCCCAAGGCCCCCTCCTGACACAACACAACATGGCCATGGTAAACTGGTTGTGTGATATTGCATAATTAAATTACCTTGATGTGTAATATTGAGAAATAATTTTTCCTCCAAAGCCACATTATTTTGGAACTGAAAAATCTCTAGTCATTATTATCCTTCGAAGATGAACCCACCCACAAAATTGTTAAAAAAATATTTTGAAAATTTCATAATTTTTTTATTCAGAAAAATTAGAACTAGATTCAGTGGGTGATTTACCAGATGCTTCTTCAAAACTCACCCATCTTGGCAAAACACGGCCCAAAGGCCCAAATCGGCGACGCCCATCTGCCCGCCCACAGGAAAATGGGAGGGAGGCCAGTGCTGGACTAAAGGCTGATGAGGGTCTAGACTCATTCTTCACAAGTAGTAGCACTGGAGAGATCACCACAGATTTAGGGACTCCCAAGTCTAGCAAGTCTGATAGGAAAGAGAGTGTGGACAAAGGGTCAAACAAAAAGAGTGAACCTCCAGCAAAGTAAGGAATTAATGTTGGGATACACATAAACCATGGCTTGCTGCATTGGATAATGTATCATTTATCTGAATAACTGTTTTTTTTTTTATTTTTCTCTGTCTCTGCATAATTTCGACTTTTTTTGGTCACCTGAGTAACCTATTGCTATCTGTTTTCATCCATCGTTGTGAGTTGTGCCTTAACATTTGAACACTTTCAGCTTCTTCTTTGGAACCGCTGAACCAATTCCAGCCAATTTTGGAATATAGCATCTATAGGTGAAGGGAACAAAAATTGTGAATTTGGAGGCACTTCCCCCCAGGGGCATGGAGTATGGGCCAAAACCACTTAAATTAATGCAATCTTTACAAACTGTCTTCTTTACTCCTTGACATCAAGTAGTTCAGTTGTTTGCATGATTGTAATAAGCATTGAGTCTTCTACCAAAATTGTGAAATTCATGACTCCAGGGTCGGGGTTCTGGTGCTAGGTTGGGGCTATATAGAACATGTATTAAAAGTGTGTTATTTCTTTGAAAATCTTCTTCTCTTCTCCTGGGTATTTAACAAACTAACTAAGTACATAGTTATGATGAGCAAGGGTGCTTCTTCCAGAATTGTGAATTTGATGGCCCATGGGTCAGGGGCTCTGGTTTTAGGGAAGGGATCTATTGATTATATAGCGAAAATGCATTAATTCTTTGGAAATCTTCTCTACTCTTGGGTATTATTTAAACAAACTAAGTGCATGGTTATGATAAGCAAGGATGTTTTTTTCCAAAATTGTGAAATTCATGACCCCAGGGTTGGGGGTTCTTGTGAAAGGGGGGGGGGGCTCTATTGATTATGTAGTGAAATAGCATAGTTTCTTTGAAAATATTCTTTTCTGCTCCTGCTTATAATTAATGAAACTAAGTGTATAGTTATGATGAGCAAGAGTGCTTCCAGAAATGTGAGTTTCATGGCCCCTGGGTCAGATGTTCTGGTGTAAGGGTTGGGTTCTATTGATAATATAGTGAAAATGGATTAATTCTATTAAATAATCCTGTCTGCTCCTTAGTGTTGAGCAGATACACAAAGTGCATAGTTATGATGAGCAAGGGTGCTCCTTACAAAATTTTTAAAACTCGTGGTCCCAGGATCAGGGGTTCTGGTGTTTCTCAGTTGGGGGTAGGGCTCTATTGATAATATAGTGAATTTTTTTTAATTCTTTGGAAATCTTCTAGTGCATAGTTATGATGATGAGGGTACCTCTTCCAAATTTGTGAATTTCATGACCTTGAGTTTTGGGTTGTGGTGTTAGGGTATGGTTGTGTTGAATCTGTAGTGAAAATGCTTTTTTTCCTTGAAAATCTTCTCTGCTCCTGGACATATCAGTGGCAAACAGTGTAAAAGTTTTAATAAGCAAGGGCATTTTTACCAGAGTTTTGATCATCTGGACCATTTGGTCAAGTGTTCTGGTCCTGGCCAGGGTTTTATTAATTTGTATTCTACTGGGAGAAATTATTCCCCTTTGCCATACATTTTTGATAATTAATCAATGTAAATAATGTATTTGAAATGTTGATATAATAAGTGAATTATTTAAGAATTATATTATATAATACAGAAAGTACATTCATAGTTTTAATGATTGTAAGTAATTAATAAATAAAACTGAGACAAAAATAACTTATCTTGTTAAATGTTCTTCAAAGACCAAGAGAGGCCAATTTGAGAGTTTATGATAAAGGGTTGTAAATAGTACAGAAGTACTAATAGTTTGTTAATATACTGTATGGTGATTGTGATATATGGGGGATAGATTAGAACATAATTTATGAGTTGTTACTGAATACTAGACTTATTACATCATTGATCCTGATCATCCAATTTCTCTTGCTTTTGGGCAACAAAGCTTCATCTATCAGTATATTTTATAGTCTATGGATCCTCTAAATTATTGTATTATACTAAGGTTACCATTAAGGACCTTGGCCCTCTTGTTATATAATTAAGCTTACTTTTATTTATACATGTAATTGCAATATTACGTTAAGTTATGATATTTTTTTTAAAGGCCTACAACAGAAAAACCAAAGAAAAAAGGTTTCTTTGGTAGGAACACAGGAAAAGATACAAAGGACCAGTCAGAGGAAAAGCAGGAGAAGGCTAAAGGGTGGATATACTGATTTATTGTAGTCAAACTCTTAATATACTGGATATTCATTGTATCATATGGGTGGATATACTGATTTATCATAACACACTCTTAATTTACTGGATATACACTATATCATAAGGGTGGATATACTGTAGTCACACTCTTAATTTACTGGATATTTATTGTATTATATGGGTGGATATACTGATTTATTGTAGTCACACTCTTAATTTTCTGGATATAGACTGTATCATAAGGGTGGATATACCAATTTACTGTATTCACACTCTTATATTACTGGATATACACTGTATCATAGGGGTGGATATACTCATTTATTGTAGTTACATTCTTAATTTACTGGATATACACTGTATCATAAGGGTGGATATACTAGACTGTAGTCACATTCTTAATTTGCTGGATAAACACTGTATCATAAGGGTGGATATACTGTAGACATACTCCTAATTTACTGGATATACACTGTATCATTAAGGGTGGATATACTAGACTGTAGTCACATTCTTAATTTGCTGGATTAACACTGTATCATAAGGGTGGATATACTGTAGTCATACTCCAAATTTACTGGATATACACTGTATCATAAGGGTGGATATTCTGATTTATTGTAGCCACACTCTTATATTACTGGATATACACTGTATCATAAGGGTGGATATACTAGACTCTAGTCACATTCTTAATTTACTGGATATACACTGTATCATAAGGGTGGATATTCTGATTTATTGTAGCCACACTCTTATATTACTGGATATACACTGTGTATCATAAGGGTGGATATACTGAATTACTGTAGTCGTATTCTTAATTTACTGGATATACACTGTATCATAATGGTGGATATACTAGAAAAACTCTTATTTTATTGGATATACACTGAATCAAAAGGCTGGATATACTAGACTGTAGTCACATTCTTAATTTGCTGGATATACTCCGTTACTGTATCAAAAGGCTGGGTATACTAGACTGTAGTCACATTCTTGTTTTGCTGTATATACACTATATTATCATTCATTGTTTTTATGGATACCCCTCACCTATATTGAAATAAATGGGAACTCTTGTATTTCATCTAAATTAATAATTTAGCCTTATAGGTGCTGTTCATGTATCACACTATGTAAATATATTGATGTATTTTACAGGGGTGGAATTGGTAAATTTTTTGCTAAAAAAGCCTCTGAAGTCAAAAGATCAACCTCAGACAAGAAGGATAAGACACCTGAGAAACCAGAACCTGCAGCTAAAGGAGAGGAAGTTGGTACTGACATCCAGGAAGAAGAACCAGAAGCGGATACTAAATCAGTCACAGAAAGTAAGGCATTTATGGAGTTTTCATATATGTAGTGAAAGCAAATTATATGGATCAGAATATAATTTTGACATTTTTTATGTCACGTGAGGATCTCAGGTGACCTATTGCTATCTGTTTTCTTCCATCATTTTGCATCAGTCATAAACTTTAAAACATTTTATTATTATGATTGCAATACACTGTAGACCCCCTCCCCCTCTCATGTTGCCCCAGTGGGACCATATATAGACTAATATCAGCTTTTAAAGGTGGTGCCTAAGAAAAATTTGTCTGGCAACTAAAAAATTACATTGGCGGCTAAATATCTTTGCTAGCACCTAAATTTAGGGGTCACATACAGTTTGCCAATGGGTCGAGAGTTCTGCTTCTGGGCAGGCTTCTATTGATTATATAGAGAAATTTATACTCTACTTTGAGAGAAGTTATTCCCCTCTGTTATTCACCTATGACAATCACTATAAATAATGTAATATTGCTAGGTCAATCCAGTGAAAGAATCATACAATAGTTTTAAATGTGTAATACAAAAAGTACTTTTTTTAGTTTTAATGGTCAAGTAGACTTGTAAAAAAATAGATAAATAAAAATGAGACAAAAATACCTTAGTAGTACATTTGTACATTAAAAATGCTATTCAAAGTCAAGAGAGACCAGTGCTACAGGGTTTGTGCTTGGTTTACTTTGTGTATACAGTCACTATTGTGTTGTTTACTTAGGTTAGTGACTAACGAGAGTGTAATTTGCACTGTCACATACAGGCAAGCAAATTTCTACTTTATCAGCTCTTATTGAGTACCAGACAAACCGTTTTGTTGATTCCTGATCTTCATATTTCTCTCGTTTTTGGGTAACAATATCTTTATCTATCAGTTTATTTTGTTTGATTAATATACTTATTAAAATGCCATTCTATGGATCCTTTTACAGGATTATGTTATACTCAGGTGACGGTAAAGGCCCTTGGGACTCTTGATTCAATTTTAGATATATTTTTGAAAAGGACTGTTTTCTGCAATGACCAAAATCTGGCCCAAAAATCAAACTTTGATGGAGAAATAAACCATTTTGTTCTAAATCCGGAGTATATGCAGACTTGAGAGCATTACTTATTTTCACCAGCCTTGACGTCATATGTTAAATATGATGTCAAGAAGATGACGTAAATTAAAATTTTTAGCTCACCTGAGCTGAAAGCTCAAGTGAGCTTTTCTGATCACATTTTTTCTGTAGTCCATGTGACCATCTGTCTGTCTGTAAACTTCTTGAAGTTGAAAAAAAAAACATTTTCATGTAACTTTACAACAGTTTCCCTGTATTATCTCTAGTAACAAAATTACTAGGGTCATTTTTACATTAATATGAATTTGTTCAGATTCTACTCCTGATGCAACCCCTGAGAAAGAAGAGGAAAATAAAGATGAGAAGGAAGTAGAGGACACAGCACCTGAGGAGAAGAAGGAGGAGCCTCCCAAAAGACGACCTCCAGTGGGAGGAGTCGGAATCATGGGTGGACCAATGGGCATGAACTTCTTATCAGAGATGAAAGCCAACAAACGATTCTCCACTCTGGTAAGTGGATGTAACAATGGAGAGGAAAATTAAGTATGGTTCAGAAAATCCTCTATTTTTATATTGAATCAAATAAATGTTAGTGTATTCAACTGAATCAGCTATAAAAATATTTATTTGTACAAGTTTGGAATTGTGTCTTTAAGAAAAATCTCTTGTTAGCAAAAGAGTGTATTTGTATTTTAAAGAATACTATTGTAATGGATTTACAGAATATAGACAAGGAGGAGAGGAAGCCAACAGTTGCTTTACTTCCTCCAGGGAAGAAATCCCCATCGAGCAATCTCCCTCAACCCCAGAAAGAGACACCCAAGGAAACTCCACTGAAATCGGTGGAGGAGACAAAAGCAGAGGAGGCACCAAAAGTGGAAAATCCACCCAAAGAAGAGCCGAAAGAGGAGCCAAAAGAGGAGTTAAAAGAGGAATCCAAGAAAGAGGAGAAGCCCTCCACTGAGGAAAAAACAGATACTGAGAATAAAGCTGTAGAGAAAGATGACACAGAAGACAAACCAACCCAGAACTCGGCTGAGGAAACTAAACCTAATACAGCTGAAGAAAGTAAACTCAGCCAAACTGAGGACAATCTAGCAAAGCCAGCCCAGGATAATAAACCTAATCCAGCAGCAATGTTGGGGAATGTGCTTAGTCAGTCGAAGTCTAAGCCATCACCTACTCCTCGGGCAGCTCCAAGGAAGATTGCTGAGGACTCTGCTGACTCCTCTTCCTCACCACGGTCCTCAAGAACATCCAGGGGTATGTACCTTATTGATAGCAATCCACTTATTATGTTAAAGTTTATATCTATATTTTTATTTCATGAAGTTAAATTTTTCTACTGCTTTTCACATTATTTGTTGAGCAGTCTTTCATTTGAATCAAATTTACCATACTGTTAAAGTGATGATTTTTAGAAATATGTTTACATGTTTTCCTAGTATATTCTGAGCTGATGAAGAATTTTTTAAGAAAAGGCTCCCTTGATAATATTCTTACTTATCACTTGTGGTTCTTGTATAAATATTTCCAGAACTTTTCACATCTTCAAAGCATGCCTCTCAGTAATTGATTAGCAATTGTTCTAATGATCAGAAATCAGCATGTGCAATCAATTGCTGTCTCTGTACTTCATAATAAAATCTCCAGATGCAAAATGAAAATTAATGGATCTGAAAAATTTCAGAAAAATACATAAAGGAAGGTTATGTGAAATATCTGGACAGTGGTTTTACTCTCTGCTGATTCATGTAACATGGATGTTTTTTTTCTTTCACTGCTGTTATTACAGAGTTCCCTGTATCTAAACCCTTGCCGCTGAGGCCAAAACCACCACCCAAAGCTCCCAAGCCATCAGGCGTGGGTCGAAAATCGGAGGAATGTTAGTGCCACTAACAGTTGTTTACTTTACTAAAATATAACAGAAAGTTACTGGAGGGATTGATTAATGCCAAATATTCTAACATTCAAAGTTTCAAATTTAATCATAAATCTTCATGCTTCTCACTGCTTAATATTTCTTTCTAATTTTATAACTTGGCACCATGTATCAAAATTGTGAACGACATTCATTTATCAATTGTCATCTAGCAACGTGTTGAACATGTAAATACCGAGATATTGCAGTTCAATCACTTATTCTGTTTTCTTGATATTTATGTGTACTTATCTTTTCTGTCTTTTTCTTCACTGTAATTTTCTTTGATATAGTCAAACAAAAAGAGAGCCCTAAGGAAGGGATTTTGAAAAAAGAAGCACCTGCTGAGGTGGACAAAAAATCAGCAATAAATTCCAGTCAAGACGATGACAGTGGAGTAGTAGTGGATTCCGCAACACTCCGGTTGTCTGTTGGAGAGAAAATTAAAAGACTGAGCCAGAGATTACCGGAACCAGAGCCTTCGTCAACTTCGAGCAAAACAAGTTCACTTCCCAAAAATGTTTCATGTAATTTTCTTTTCTATCTCAAATACATTAGACAGAGTTTACTGCATCTCATTGTAGAATTTTAAAGATTTTTAAAAAAAATATATTTATTCTCAATAACATACCGGTACAACAAAATATTGAGGCAAAACTTCCACAGAAGCCCTCTGTTAATACCTCACCTGGGGAGCCAGGAGCTCCCTGGATTGGTATTTTTTCAATATTTAATTTACAAAATTATATACACTAGATGAAGAAAAATACATGTATATATATCATCGTTAACATTTCATTTCTATACATATACATAATTATACATCATTGTAAAATATTTCTTTTGTAAATAAAATAAATATTATAGATGAAATATCTAGGTATATCTATATGAAATACTTATCTTATTTATATACTTATCAAAGTGCATACAATCAAAACACAAAGAAAATCACATTTGGTCAGCTAACTTTTTTAAAAGATGTTAATTGGATTTAGCACTTATTGCGTCCTTTGCTATTAAATATTATTATGCTTCCTGTCAGTTTGTCTCTATATAATCAATACCCAACTATTTTCGCATAGTGTTCCAAGGATTTATATAGCGTAAGCATACTATGCCAAAATAGTGCACGGCTGGCTTTTCAAGAGAAAATGTAATAAGCACCCACGCTGGGGATCGAACTCACGATCTGGAGAACGTCAGTCCAACGCGTTACCGATTACGCCACAAACACCGCTACTTTACAGAATGTATTTTCAAGTATATAAACGTAGTTTTTATACATTTGTCACAAAACAAGAAATAAATGAATATAATTTCTTAAAGACTAATATTATTGATAAGGATCTTAAAGAAAAATTCTCTAACAAATAATGGAATTTATCAGTAACCAAAATTGCAACGTAACATGAACTGGTTCTTCGGAGTCAATAAAACGCTTTTTGATATAACGCTTGATTAAAGAATGTTCAAGAAAATTTTCATTTAGATTTAACGTCTGCAAACAGGTTTGGGATTGAGAATTTAATTAAATTGTCGTATACAAACAACAGTCAGCATAATAATTATAATAGTGTTATTATTTGGATGTACTATGCCGAAATAGTAGTCAGGGTTTGACACATAGTGCACTCGCCTCCGGCTCGTGCACCATGTGTCAAACCCTGACTACTATTTCGGCATAGTACATCCAAATAATAACACTATTATATAAATACTGATATAATGATGATTTTAAAAAAAGATAACATTGCATTTGCATTTATGTTTTTATTTTGCAATGTACATTTCATTTTATACTTATATATTTTGTATCCTTAGCTACAATTGATATTACATTATTAAAAATATTTGTTGTGTCGTTAAACTCATTAAAAAAATCCTAGAACAATATTTTTTCAGGATATATTCAATTTCAATATTTTAGATTTCTTTTGGAATCTGAAATTTAAAGAATTATTTGTATCAAATGTAACTTGCTATATCCTTCCACTGCACTGAATATTATTTTGCATGAATTCATAATAATATGTACTAAGCATAAAGATTATAGATTATATTGTTTTCCATACAGCACTGTCTAAATCAATGTAAAAATTTAATACATTGCAGAGGGTAGGTATATTTGATGAATTAATCTATCTTTGCAAACGACTATTGGTTGTTTGTAAAAAGTTTATGTCCCTTCTTTGATTTACAGTGAAAAGTTCTCTGAAATCAGAAGTCAAAGAGAATGGGGAGTCTGGAAAAACAGATACTGATAAAGAACAGGAAAAATCCGAGGATTCCAAACGTTCTTCTGACTCGGATAAATCTGAGACATCGGGCGAAAGTGCAATAGAAAACACAGAACAAACTGATGAAGAAATCATGGTTTAATCATATGGTCATCTTAGTCTTAAAATATCATTAGAGGGCAGGCATCACTTATTCATTTATTTTTTGTGAAAGGAAGAAAAGATTGTATACTGTCAGTGTCTTATTTTAAATTCTTGGTTTTAATATGATTTTGATTTATAATACCAAGCCAAAAAGTCATATATTTTTTTTATAAAGAAATGTTATAAATTGTTTGATATATGTGAAACATTTTCAAGATATTATGGTATTTACTATTATTTAAAATCTACTTGTCAGATTATTTTACTAATGATTGCTGTGGGAGCTGGAATTTTGTCCAATTGTTGATTTATGTTGCTGGTATGATGTTTTTTAGGTAGTGCTTGTGTACTAGAATTTTGATGTATAATCTAAATTTGTAAAAATTGAAAAAAAGATACTAACTCAGTCATTGAATAAATAAGAAGACTGTATACCCATGAAATTGAATTATATCAATTATATATGTAATTGTGCTTAAGTGAACAGATATATTCAATCTGTATTTCTTTAGTGCTTAGAGATACACATTTACATGTGGATGTGCTTTTGTACAGATATTTAAATTTCTTTTTTTTTGTTTATGGGTAAAATTTGTTGACTTATTCTTGTCTACATAACTCATTTGAACATGTCATCTACATGTACAGTAAAACTTACATCTAAAATCTGGATCTTTTGTATTCTGAAATCTTGCTTATAACGATGGAAATTTTTAGTCCCTTTCAGACAATATAATATCTTAAAATGTCTTATTCCAAATGCTGTGTAATCTGGATGGGGTGTTTAGGTTAGGAAGTTTTACTGTAGTACATGTATATTGAGAGTCTTACTGTCTAAAGTGAAGTTTTCATGGCAAGGTGGCACCTTTCCAGAACTTTCTGTAATTATGTGTACATGTGATTGATTCAGAATTCATAGAAATTATTACATTTGTACTTTTGTTTTCTCTTACAATGTCTGTGATAGATCTTTGTAGAAAAAATCACCAGCTTTGATGAATATGATCCACATTTTCTTTTAACTTCACCATCAATTACTGTATATTAATTGTCTTACACGTTGTGTTCTTTTTCATCTTACATTTGTTTTGTGTATAATGTGTATTTCGTATAAAGCAATAATTAATCATGACAATGAAGTGTACAGGTAGATGTGTAATCTGTTGATGATAGATTTGTTCTTGATCAGAAGCATAATCTTTTATCCAGTAGAGTTTGTAGTCAGCTGGCTGAGCCAGTAACACGGGCACAGCTGAGGCCCCCTATTTATCTACAGGTACACTGGGTTAATGTATTATGGTGCTGTTTTCATTTATACATTTAATAGGTCTTATGTCCTAAATTAATCATATACAGAGCTATGCTTGGTGAGCAAGACCTTGCATTTGTATTGTCATAATATTGTTTGTGTATATAGTTATATTAAAAAGACATAAATAATGCTAGGCAGAATTCCAATACAATACCTCTGTAATATTTCATATCTATATTAATGAAACGAGTACTTCTCAAATATCTACACATACAAGAATCATTAAAATTACAGTAATTATTGAAATGAAGGAAACTAAAATCATCCACAATATATTCCATCATTATATGTATTTATTTAACAAAAATAGTGATTGTACATCAAACAAACAAATGGTTAAAACATCCAAGTACCAACCTTCAGGTTGTGAGATAATTAGTTTTATAAAGTAATATAGATGTTATCTGAGAGTAAGCCATTAAATTTTTTCTTGTGTCTAAAAAATATCAAAATTTTGAATGCTGCTGTCAATAATTTACAAAGGAGGGTTAAGCAATCCACTGTACCTGTATTATAGTTAAGTTTCTGTGCTTAATTAAGAACTGTAAATTGTGAAATTTTCATCTGAAATGTCTTCCAATTCATTATGCAACTATACTGTGTCAGCAGCATTAAATAAGCTCAAAATTCAAGATTAGATATGTCAGCTGGTTTTTTTCAGAATTGATAAAAATTAGTTAAACTCGTTTATTATTTGGACAAGATTTTGATAGATATACCCCTTTGACATTCCTAATCTACTGTTAATATTTATGAACTGCCTTGACTGTTATGTTATTTTCTGTGGTACTAATACAAGTTATGTCCCCTTGACTTTGTTATACGAATATATTAAAGATTTTTTTAGTGAATAGATATTCATTCGGTTTTTGTTATGTATGGCTAGATCAAAAGAAAATTGATTGGTATATCGCACAACTTTTTCTAAAGGAAATATTACTGGTGCAATTTGACATCACATGTAAACTTCTCCCCACCCCCCCAGCCTTAAGGGGTCAATTCTAGTTCAGCATACTGCTGGGCACTTAAGCTGCCAGGTAATCAGCATGATAAGAATAGGGAAACAAAAAAATGTTCAGTATTGGGGAGGGGGGATAAGAATACTAGAATTATTATAAAAATTCTGGGGAAAAACTGCATAATTTAGAGATCAAATGAGATGTGCTCATGTTGATCTCATTTGTTGCAAGAAATTAACTACAAGAGGCCCTTGAGCTTTGATGGTCATCTGATAGATTTTGATTTCTCAAGCTATGACCATCACCACCTGAACCTGGAACTTGGACCTCCCCAGTTTCTTTGGTGGTAAGCAGAAGAAAGTTGTTGATTCCCCCTTGGTGGGACACCAGTCCAACACAGGTTAACCCCCAGCATAAAGCAGAATCCCTTTCAGCTGGGTGGACTAAGATAATGCGGATGATGTGTCTTGTCCAAATATACACATCCTACATCAGATAACTTAGCCATACCCCTAATAAACAAAGTGGGCATGATGCACAAAGGAGGATAGCAATAGGTCATCTGACTCTGTGACCTTAAAATACACTAAAGAATGGAAACTTTGCTAGATAGATGATCCAATTACAATTTGAAAATATACATACCTTAATTACTTTTTTCCCATGATTATTATACTTGTGCAGTGTGAGCACAAAAATGGATGATCATAGTAGTTTCTTCCATCTTTGATCCATTTGCCTCATCCATTGAATGCTGTTTTTAACAAATTTTATAAACCAGTAACAGTATAGTTTCAAAAATACACTTGATACAAAAAAAAAACAACAACAAAAAACCCATCTAATTTTTGTAATCAACACATTGGTGAATTGGTATCAAGTGAATGACTGCTAGGTCTTATGCCATATCAGCTTCCAGGTTCAATATATAAAATAAAACTGGATAAAGTTTGAAATCCAATTATTTTAACCTGCAATAAATCCATCTAAACTTTCATTCTCCTTTTTAAAACTGTAGATGAATTCTTAAATTAGTAAACCATAAATTGTGAAGACAAGAGACCCATGGGCTTTGATGCTCTCCGGAGTATCTGAGTTTCTCTTGATAAGACCCAACTCTGTCCCACCTAGAATTGGAACTCTAGACTAGTGCAACCTGAATTTCACAATTGAATGAGGAATTTCACTATTATATTTGTGAAGCTTGTTCCTAGATGATTAGGAATAGAAAAGCATTTTAGCTCACCTGAGCCAAAGGCTCAAGTGAGCTTTTCTGATCAAAATTTGTCTGTTATTGTTGTAGTCATTGTCATAATCATTGCTTTTAAAAACTTCTTGCAATTTCATCATCTCCAGAACCATGAGCCAATTAATTTTAACCAAACTTGGCAAAGAGTATAATTTGATGAAGGGGATTAAAGTTTGTTAAAGTGAAGGGTCATATCTCCTTCAAAAAGGTGATAATCAAGGATTGGCTTTCAAAAATCTCCTCAAGAACCACTAGGCAGAAAAAATGAAACTTGAATAAAAGCTTCCTGACAAATTTAGGTTTGTTCAAATCATGGGCCCCTGGGATACAGTGGGGCCTCAAAAGGTTTTATTAAATCTTCTTAGGAACATCAGGGCCTTGATAAGTCATGGAAATATCCTCAGATACTAGTAGTTTAGCTTCAAGTTTGTTCAAATCATGGCCCCAGATGGGTAAGGTCATGATTGGGAATTAAAGAATAACATGGGAATATATATATAAAATCTTCAAAATTTCTCAAGAACAGCAGGACCATGATTATTAATCATATTAATATGGAAGCATGACTTCAGGTAGTACAGGTTCAATTGTGTTCAAATCATGGCCCTGTTGTAGGGGAGCACAGGGGACTAAAAGTTTACATGGGAATATACAGAAAAAAAAATCTTTAAAAGTTTTCTCAAGATCATCAAGGCCTTGATTAGTCACATTAATATGGAAGCATCCCTAGGTAGTATAGATTCAAGTTTGTTCAAATCATGGGGTAGGGTGGGGGCCAGTAGGGGATCAATGTTTTCCATGGGAATTAATATATACAGAAAAAAATCTTTCTTTTCCTTAAGAACAGCAGGGCTGTGATTTATTATATTATTATGGAAGCAATTCAGGTATTGTAGATTCAAGTTGTTCAAATCATGGCCCCAAGGGGTAGGGTGGAGTCACAATATGGGATAAGTTTTACTTTAGAATATAGAGAGAAAAAGTCTTCAATTTTTTCCCTTAAGAACAACAGGGCCATGATTAATCATATTAATAATGGAAGCACCTTCAGGTAGTATAGGTTTTATTTTTTTTTTTCAAATCATGGCCTGTGGTAGGGAGGCACAGGGGACCAAATGTTTACATGGGAACACCGAAAAAAATCTTTAAAAATCCTCTCAAGATCATCAAGGCCTTGATTAATCACATTAATATAGAATCATCCATAGGTAGTATACGGTAGTTGTAGATTCAAGTTTGTTCAAATCATGGCCCCATGGGATAGGTAGAGGATACAATAGGGGATCAATGTTTTACGTGGGAATGTACAGAAAAAAAATGTTTCTAAGAACAGAAGGGCCATGATTAATCATGATATTGATAAGGAAGCAACAAGGTATTGTAGCTGCGTCCATATTAGCTCGGCCAAGATGACTCCGGTGAGTGTTGTTGCCCATAAACTTCTTATTTTAATATTCTGGGACCTGACTTTGAGACCTAGGAGACATGAATTCAAAATATTGAAGAAGGTTAGCTGTACATCAAAATCATGCAAAACTGTAGAGTATTACATTTGGCTGTGTATTCTTTCTGCCTTCGATGGAAAGCAGCTTCTGCTAATTCAAGTACAATGCTAAATGTCTTGCACATAAATAAGAACGTTAAGAAATGTGCTAAATCAAATCTATTTTAACTTGTCCAAAAATCAATTTCCTCAAATATTGTACACGCTAAATACATTTACAGGAACAGATAATTGTAAAACTTTAATTTTCCATTTTACCCACGTCAATTTGTCTCTGATGTCATATGCTCATTTAAATGCTTAGCTTGTGGAAAGAAAAATAAAGCTATGGCTAGTATTGGAATTATGTATTTCTTTGAGAAAATAAATGTACAACATTTACAATTTCCAAGAATCATTTTTAGTTCCAATGAGGCAGATAGAGAAATCTTATGATTAATTTATTACCAACATGTATGCATAATTATAAGAACAATATTGTCATAATTTACAAAATTTATTAAGTAATTGTTCATTAAATCAAATATGAAAATTGAGAAAAAATCTCGACCCCCCCCCCCCCCCCCCTCAATCTTAATTTAGTAAATCTTCACAATATGGATGCATGTACAATGATGCACACTGAAGTGATAAAATTTTCCATTTGAATGTAACATTTTAAGCTGATAAAATGACATGCTCAATTCTTCAGAAAAGAAAAAAGCCATCACATGCTTCATTTGAAAACCGGTGGAAAAGATATTTGATAAATACAATAGCCAATCAGATTGGCAAATCACATTAACACCTAGTAAACAGATATTCAATTGATACATGTTTGTAATAACTTGAACAACAAGAGGCCCATGGGCCATATTGCTCACCTGAGCACATTGTCTAGGAAAAGGAACAAATCAGTTCAGTATTGAAAAGTTTAAATGGGGGGGGGGGGGGAGGAGGGGGAGGCTTGAATTTAAACTACCTGAGGATGCTTCCATATCAATATAACAAATGGCCATGCTGTTCTTGAGCAGAAGATTTTTAAAGATTTTTTCCTATATATTCCCTTGTTCAAAATTTGATCCCCCATTGTGGCCCCTCCCTACCTGGGGGGAGGGGGGCATCATTTGAACAAACTTAAATCTACTCTACCTGAGGATGCTTCCAATATGACTAAACATGGCTTTTCTGTTCTTGAAAAGATTTTTCATATGTATTCTTATGTAAAACTTAAATCCCACATTGTGGCCCCACCCTAACCCTGGGGGTCATGATTTGAACAAAGTTGAATCTACACTATCTGAGAATGATTCCATATCAATATGACTTAACAAGGCTTTGCTGTTCTTGAGAAGAAGATTTTTCAAGTTTTTTCCTATATATTCCTATGTAAAACTTTGATCCCCCATTGTGACCTCACCCTACCCCCGGGGGTAATAATTTTAACAAACTTGAATCTACACTACCTGAGGATGCTTCCATATCAATATGACCAATCATGGCTTTGCTGTTCTTGAGAAGAAGATTTTTTATAGATTTTTTCCTATATATTCCTATGTTAAACTTTGATCCCCCATTGTGGCCCCACCCTACCCCCGGGGGTCATGATTTTAACAAACTTGAATTTACACTACCTGAGGATGATTCCACATGAGTTTCATCTTTCCTGACCCAGTGGTTCTTGAGAAGATTTTTAAAAGATGCTATTAATTTTGCACTAATTTGTAATTATCTCCCCTTGGAAGAGGACATGGCCCTTCATATGAACAAACTTGAATCCCCTTTCCCCAAGGATACTTTGAGGCAAGTTTGGTTGAAATTGGCCCTGTGATTCTTGAGAAGTCGAAAATGTGAAAAAATTATAGACAGACAGCTAGACAGACAGACGGATGCCGGACAAAATGTGATCAGAAAAGCTCACTTTAGCCTTCGGCTCAGGTGAGCGAAAAATGATAAATTCATAATTATGTATATATTCTTTGCAATATGTGAGTTCTACTGAATTAGGGAGTCTCTCACTCTCTCTCCTAACTTCATAAAATCCCCATTTCAACAAAACCCATGCTGCTAGTCCCTGAGAGTGAAGTGTCTTAAAACATTGCGACAATTATTGCTTTCTCGTTTCTAAAGAAATGGGCGTGTCATTTTGTAACAATTGATGTTTGATAAGAAAGACCCAAACATTCCATTCAAACAAACATTTTTTACTACTTCAATGCGCATATCTGTATTACATGTAACCTTTATAGAAACATAAACAGTTTACACTACTGGTAAATTCTTACATCTCCAATCACACAAATCTCATTTACTTCAGACAACAATCAATAAAGCAAAAAAACCTTTCAAAAATACACTTTTTTTCCTAACAAAAACCCCTGATATAACAACATACTCAGTATATAATTTTTTATAAGTATGAATACCTACTGAAAAGATGGACATGTACTTCATGATCATTCACACAATTATATAAGCACAAAATGCACAGAAAAATTTTTTAAAAACAAGCATTCTAAGAGTATTGCATGAGCAATACATGTACAAGTCCCCATCGGCAAGTGCAATTTGGTTCCCCATAAAAATTGAAAAGGCCGTAATTCTATCAAAAATCACTGAAGCAGAACAAAATGCAAACTTGATCTACAACTCATCAATGTACTCACATACCAAAAAAGCAGCTCAATATCTGAAAATGTTCAGGAAAAAAGTGTGGAAAACCAAGCAGGACAGACTGACAGAGGGACAGACAGACGAGAAGGAAACCTATAGTCCCCTCCGGTTTCACCAGTAGGGGACCCTATTAAGGAAATAAGAAGAGGATGGAAGGCCTAAAGATGCAGATGAAGAAAAAAAAGTCAACCTTGACCTTTCAGCTTTTGGCCTTATAGTCATTAAGGGTCTTTTTAAGTTAAAAAAAACTCTGACCTTAAGTTTCATAGCAAAAGCTTATAGAGAATTCGTTATCATCTGAAAGCTATGTATGCAATTTATGAATTTCTGACTCTGGTCTTTGACCTCAAAATCAATATAGGTCTTTATAAAGTCATATTGACTATAAGTATTAGATTTCATTGTAAAACCTCAAAGAGAATCAAAATTATCACAGGAAATCATTTTTTGCAAGTTATGAATTTCTGATCTTGACCCTTTGACCTAAAAATCAATCAAGGTCTTCATAAAGTCACTGGGATTAACAATATATAATTTCATTGAAAAAGAGAACTAAGTTGTTATTTGCAATATATGAATTTGACTTTGACCTTAAAATCAATAGGGTCTTCTTTAAGCCATTGAGATATTGTCCAGAAAGAAACAAAAGTGTTACACATAAACAGTATGTATGAATTTCTGACCTTGAAATTTTAATCTCAAAATCAATAGGGGTCTTTGGCCACAGGAAACTGTGATATACAATTTCATTGCAAAAGTACAAATGCTTTCTAAGATATCATCCAGAAATGAAAGTGTTACACACTGACAGAATGACAGACAGACCCAAATTAAAATCCCCCTTTTCAGTACAAGCGGGGAGAAAAAATGGCAAGGGGGTAGGGTTGGGACTTAATTTCAGCTATTTATAATGAAATGTCTAATATAAGAATGCAAGCATGTTAAAAAAATATACATCAAAGGTTTTCTTTTCCTCCCACATTAACAGGTATGAAAAAGTTTTACTGCTTGAGAATAAAAAAAGTGAATGTGAACCATAATATCCCTCACAGTAAAAAGTCTAATGTGACCTCCAACTTGAATGTTTGACCTTTAATAAGAATAAATTAAGCTATAAAATTGACATTAAATTTGCCATAATATGAGGGATGAAAAATCTCTTTTGCTTGATCCAATATCAGGCTTTATCAGCTATGTCCAAGGCTAAACTTGTAATTACATGTTCATTTACTTAACATTTGACCTTGCAGCATGAATTGCACAAAACCTTACTGTATATACTGGCCTACAAGTTGGTTTGCTTACGAGTCATTTTTTTCCCCCAGATTATCTTCCATTGGCCCGCTTACTTATGAGTTGGTATGGTTTTTGCCAGAATCTGTTCCAAATTTTAGATAAATATTCAATTGTATTTACCTGTGTTTCCAAGTATGTATTGTGATAAGTCATTGATACATGTATTTAGTCTTCTATTAACAATTCAATCAAATATATATTATTAAAATCTGAAAGCACTTGTGTTTATGCTCATGATAAACTTAGATCTTTCCTGCAATAGATTCAGTTCTAGCCTTTATAAATGAATATCATTTCAATTGTTTCAAATTTCCTTTTCCAGAAAATACTGATTTTTCAAAGACTTATAGGCGAGTATATATGGTAGTGACTTTTGAAGCCAAGATTGTTAAATAAACTGCTTGTTCACATAGTACACATACTCGGAAGATAATAATGGTTTAATTTATGATGATATGTAACAAGAAAGGCAAAATTTGCACACCAGACCAGGATGCAAAACCAGCCCCCCTGAATCTATAGTCAGGTGCTCTACCAACTGAGCTATCTGGCCACTGGATTCCGACCTGTCTGACTGCCACATTCCTCCCTTCTTAAAGGTCTTAGCCTCCTAGAGACACCAACCCAGGTCTTTACCTGTCACTTCCAGGGCATGGTCATGACAACACATGTAAAACGAATGGAGAAAAATACTATGGACCAGACCAGGATCCTGTTATGTAATTTGATACCATTGACCAATGACCTTGACTTCCAGGTGTAAAAAGAACTTGGATTGTATGTTTGAGGGTGAAGACAATTTAAGGAGGGAGGAAAGTAATGGCTGTGGAAATTGGTCTGGGTAGCTCAGCACACCTGACTAGTGATGCAGAGGTCCCGGGTTCAATTCCTGATTCAGCCATACAATTTCTTCCATCCTGTTGCAGTTAATTCATAAACCAAAAAAAGGTAAGTTTTGTTGAGAAATAATAGGGTGAAATTAAACTAAATGAAATACCTGCGCTAAGTATAAAAACATAAAAATAATCTAAATCATTGTGTAGCATAAATTTAAACAATGCTGAATTTATATGCTGCTTCATACTGACAATAGTTTTCCTTGTGGATTGTCCCAGCATCTCTGTATATTGCACAATATAATGACACAGAAATATCAAAAGAAAAAAAAACCTAGAATAATGAAGCAATTCTTAAAATTGGTATCTACCTAATAATCTTGCAGACCTGTACTCTAATTACAGTGCCTGGATAGGATTCTGTGAAATGTAACTGAACTCTTGTCATTATCGGAACATTATCTGTGTCCAATTTGAAGAAATGCCATATTAGTGTAAAAAAACAAGGGTAACATATCATTCACTGCCATAAACATCAATTTATCTTCCATTATACTCAAGTTATCACAAAAAACTTTCCATTAGCTCTATAATGTATATTTATTTCAGCTTTATCTGGTTCTGAAATGTCAATTAACACCAACTTGGCAAAAGATACCAAAGTTATGTCCCTTTTCTTGTACAGAAAAAAGCAACTCCCAGTTATTTCGAAATAAAACAATTGACAAATGGTATTAGTTCACAGGCCAATGCAGGTTTTTATAATTGAAGGAGGTTACATAAATGAATGCTGTTTTAACCAAGAAAAAATAAACATCCATAGCAACCTTGGTTCAATCACTGTGAAACACTCTTGAATTCAAGGTGTTTGACACCCACAATATTTCTCATTCTGGAATGTCATGAATTTCCCTTCTTAACATCAATCTGCTTTTTCATGAAACGGTTTTGCTGACTGCAAATTTTCTGTATCTGAAATAAAAGATCAAATTGTGTGGTAATTTTTTAATCTATCTAAACTAAACACATTTCTTGAAGCTAATATGTTTTACATGCAATATGCTTTTTGGTTAACCGTAAGAATTTATCCTTTTAGCAGATTTCTTTGACTCGTTGAATTAATGTACTGTAATCAATCTGATAATAAAATTCTTGGAACATTTAAAACTAGAAATATGTTCATAGGATATGAATGCCCTGCCCAGGGTTCATAAGTAATACAACATGGATATTTGATATGTATGAAATTTGATGAAAATATCTTGAATAGTTTCTTTAAAACTTAGTTTTATAAACAATAAATAGTAAAGTCAGGTCAATAAGTTAAAAAAATGGACATCTTGGATAAATTCTCACCAATTCATGTATAAGGGCATAAGTAAAGGAGAAAGGCCGAAAACTGTCCATTCTGTGAGAGAAAGAACGAATCGAGGGCCATAGGCCCGAGATTTGTTCTTTCTTTCACAGAATGGACAGTTTGAGGCCTTTCTCCTACTTAAAACATGATTTCCTTTGTTCTGAAAATTAAATAAAAAATGTACAAAATGACAGGTAGCACACATACAATGACAAATTCATCGTTTACAGAATGGACAGTCACAGGTAAGCTAGGGATGCAGAGCAATTTGTTGAATAGCCATTATTTTTCCAGATGCAAATAACAAAAGGTCTTTGTCTAAAGAATGGACAGTTACAGGTAGATTTTGTGGGATACTAGTATTTATACAAGTATCCAATGCTTCAAATCAGTTTACAGTTTGTGTTGTAAAGGAATACATGTTTTCCTGTGATGGAGAGAGTATATGACGGAATCAAAATCTAATGCAAAAAATTAGTGATATTTGGAGTCTGGAAACAGAAAAGTAAGAGTAAAAGAAATATTAGCCAAATTTGGACCCAAAAATGAACTTCAACGACAGATACAGATGATCAAATTCAAATCAAACCTGGAAATGTTTTATTTGAATTCTATTTTTGAGGATATATTAACTGCAGCAGTGTAATGGTGAGATGCAAATTGTGTTCTAAGTGTTGGATTAGCCATGAGCCAATCTTCGACCTGAAATGTTTTTTAAATCAAATCTGGAAATGTTTCATTTTTATTTATTTTCTACCGAAATATTAGCTGCAGCAGTGTAGTGTTCATGGAGCAAACTGTTTTCTGGGTGGAGGATTTAGTATTAGACATACTTCTATCTGAAAATGAATTCTCCTCGAGGGAATGATTTTTCCGAAAGGAGATGGGTGAACATGACGAGCGATAAGCCTATAGTGTGACAAACATGAAGATGAAAAATTAAATTTCAATTATATCAAAATTTTCCTTGATTTTTCGTCTAACATTAAAATATGCTTTATGTAAAATCTCCATAATTTGCAAAAATCCTTCAAAGATTGAAATTATTTGCCTGTGAAATATTAGACAGACACTAAAGCGGGCAAAAAGAGTCATTTTCTCATACTATAATACTATTTTTCGATATGAGTGGGTCTTCGCTCCACCTTTTTGAAAATTAATCTTCAAAGTTTGCATAAAAATATAATTTTTTTGGTTACCAAAAATATGGAGCAATGACCCACTATACCTTAAAAATATACTTTTATGACATAACATTTGCATCTTTTCAAGAAATACTTGAAGTCCATTAAGTCAAGGGTCATATCACAAACATGATTTAAATGCCACTATTCATCAGGACTTGTGTAGTCTAGAGGTTAGCGTGCTAGTCTTGAAAGAAAATAATACTCAGGATTGCTAGGGTTCAAACCCCACGAATACCACATTAATTTTTTTAATAAAAGAATAAATTTTGCCGAGAAAATTTTCCTCAGAAAAGTTTTGTTTATCATATTTTCATAAATTTCAATAATGAGAACTTTACTCTAAATGCTGAATTCACAAAATGAACATGATTTTATATATCTGAAGCTATAGGCTTTCTGCACGCTATGTTTGCCCATCTCCTTTAAATCAAATGTGAAATTGTGTCATTTGAATTCAAGTTTTGTGAAAATTAAGGTTTGGGTATTGAAATAATGTGCATCATTCATGGATTTAAAGGGGTAAAATCGAGTGGATGCTGTTCAGACATTGTGTTCTGGATTAACTTTGATCTCCGCGTTCTTTTTGTTATTTAAATTGTAAATTAAAAAAGTATTTAATGTATTTGTTTTTGTTTCCCTCTTGAACACATTCCAAAGTTTACCTTTAACTCTCCATTCTGTTTGTTTTAACTGTCCATTCTGTTTGAAAAAAACTGTCCATTCTTAAAAGAATGGACAGTTTTCCAAAAAGAATGGACAGTTTTCCAAAAACAATGGACACATACAGGTAACTTAATGGATTGTTTGAGGAGTTAGCTCAACATTAAGGTATAGAATTGACAACACAAACAAAAGGTTTACGTCACAATCATGTTTTAAGCTTACATGAAAAATATCTTGAACAGTTTCTTTGAAACTGAGCTTAACACAAATTTGAAAAAGTGAGGTCAATGTCAAAGGAAAGGTCAAGGTAAAAAATGTTGATTAAGTTGAATAGCTCTCTTTAATATGCATCAGCATATAAAGTTTGATTCAAATATCTTTATAGTTTCTTTGAAATTTTGCTTAACACAAATTTGAAGTTAAGGTAAAATGAAAGGTCAAGGTAAAAAATGGGCTACCATTGAATTAATCTCATCAATATGTATAAACATATAAAGATTGACAAAAATATCTTGAATAGTTTCTTTGAATATAGCTAAAAACAAATTTGAAGTAATGTCAAAGGAAAGGTCGAGGTCAAAAATGTTGATGCAGTTGTATAGCTCTCACCATATTGTGTCAGCATATTAGGTTTCATTAAAATTTCTTGAATAGTTTCCTTGAAACTGAGCTTAAGACTATTTTAAGATAAATGAGGTAAAGTCAAAAAATAAAAGGTCAAGGTAAAAAAAAAAATTGATGCAGGTGAACAGCTCTCCTCAATATGCATAAGCATACGAGGTATGATAAAAATATCTTGGTTTCTTTGATATTGAGATAATCAGTAACATAATTAAAATGAGGTCAAGGTCAAAGGAAAGGTCTACCAGGTAGGTCAAAAAATGTTGATGCAGTTGAATAGTTCTTGTCAAAAAGTATCAGCATATCAAGTTTGCTAAAATTACCTTAAATAGTTTCTTTGAAACTTAGCTAAACACAAATTTAAGAAAAGTGAAGTCAAAGTCAAAAGAAAGGTTGAAGTCAAAAATGTTGATAAGTTGAATAGTTCTCATCAGTATCAGCAAGTAAGGTTTAATAAGAATATCTTGAATGGTTTCTTTGAGACTGAGCTAAACACTAAATTAAGAAAAGTGAGGTCAAGGTCAAAGGGAAGGTCAAGGTCGAAAATGTTGAGGCAGTTGAATAGTTCTCATCAGTATGTATCAACATGAAGTCTGATAAGTTTCTTTGAAACTGAGCTAAAAGCAAAGTGGGACAGAAGGATGAAAGATGGACATGACAAACACTATATGCTCTGGCCATATTCATGACAAGGCATAAAAATGATCACTTAGTTTGGAAATATCTTAAAAATACTTTACCTTGACCTATTTCTTTAGGAGGAGGATCTTCTCCCTCCTCTTCATAATCACTGTCTTCCTCCGGAAGCTCCTCTGAAACTTCCATACAGCAGATACTGTAACAAACAATACTGACCACAGCTGTGGGGAGTCCAAACATTAACAGGAACAGCCATCTAGAGGCCTGCCATATACTCTAAAATAGAAATAATGATTACTGAAGGGAGGTCATAATATTAACAGAACAGCCATTGAGAGGCCTGTCATTAATTCTAAAATAGAAATACAATGTAATGATTACTGAAAAGAAGACCCCTTTTTCATTGACTCTTAAATATCCCTCTGTACCATCGCTGTAAGAAGTTTCCTACCACCTCTAATGTTACTTTATGACTACTTTAATACATAATTTAGAGAAAAATACTGAATTTTATAGTAAGATAATGTCTGATTGTCCCACTTACAATTACTGTGGTAAATATGTCATAAAATATCCTCTTCAGCCTTTGTAAAAATCCTGTTCCTCCCTGGGGCTAAAAAAACAAATCAAAGAGTCCTAAGAATATAACATTTATTTTAAATATTAAATAAATAAATAAATATATATATATATATATATATATATATATATATATATATATATATATATATATATATATATATATATATATAATATCTATTGTAAAACATTGAAATTTTTTACTCAGTATGTCGAAAGAATCTTACAGGGACAAAGACACAGATTTGAAGTTTATACCCTTATATTTTCAATATTCCAAACAACCATATTGAATTGTACATACATATACCTATACTAAATTCCAAAACTTCATAAAAATCTTTACAAACAAAGATACAAAGTGCGATCTAGCAAATGTTCTACCAAGCCTCTTTCTTTGTTCCTTAGGAAAATATTAACAGTAGCAGGGTTCTCCATCATTTCAAATTTGACTGTGGCACAAGACATATGATTTTTCAACATTTTATACAACCATTCCCCACAATAAATTAAATTCAAATGTGATGCCTTCAACTTTTCTATCATCAGCTTCCCTTAATTATGTAGCAATATACTATTACATGACGCATAAGACTAAGTGGTCATAGGTGTTCAGCCAGTAACCAAAGGTCACTGGTTCAAGCCCTACACTGATATTTGATGTTGCATGTTCTGTCTGCAACTGACATCTGCATTATCTCAGTCCATCCAGCTGCAGTGGGTATGGGCTTATACTGGGGAGTTAATCTGCAATGGACTGGTGTCCCATCCTGGGGGAGTCAATGACTCTCATCTGCTTAGCATCACTGAAACTGGGTATGAGCATTGGCCGTATGAGTCTCATGGCTCGGAGAAGGATGTAACTTAATTCTATTACCATTATCACCTGCATATAGTGTTTATTTTTCCCAATTGATTCAATATGCAAGCGCATATTCTACATATGAACAATATCTAAAACAGTCCAGGCTACTGAAAATAAGTTGATGATACAAGGGTATCAACAGAGTTTTTGATAATTTACTGGTCAAGTTGACCAGTGATTTAGTGAAATTCACTGGTCCACACAAATATCCACTAGTCCATCAGCATACATGTATATTTGAGATACTAAAATTAAAAAAAAAAATTCAAAAACTGAAAAATTTTCATTCCAGTTATACATATAATTCCGACTACATGTCTCATCTTTAATTTCTCTCACTATTTCTGATTTTAGGTTGTTCTTTTTTTTTTTACAGAATCATTTCCAGATATAAAACGTTTCTGAACATGCTTTAATTATATTTCCATGTGAAATGTTATAGCAATTAACATGTGTCATGATATTATACAGAAAATTTGAAAAAATATTAACTTCAAATCTGTGTCCAGACCCCTTTAATGACACTACCAAGTGTGTGCAACAATATTTAAAGGTCTGATACGGATCCTGCAGGGCTGATATGGAAACATTGTGCTTGACTAGATTGTATTTTCTAGTACTTAACACCACCCACCAACCCCAAATCATTAGAGCTACAATCTATCACCTGAATCTTCTCCTCCTTGCCTGAACCCCACCCACATCTTCCCCATCCCAAGCAGATTTCTCTCCACAACCCATAGACTAAAAGGTATTACCTGAAGTTCACCTCCCTGACCCCCCCCCAACAACCACCACTATTTACACCCCCCTCCCCCCAGTAGAGTTACAATGTGTTACCTTCTCCTTCTCCTCCCCCCCCCCCCCCCCCCCACCATCACCACTATTTACACCTCTCCCCCAGTAGAATTACAATGTGTTACCTGAATCTTCTCCTCCTTGACTCTGTAGAGGAAGTCTGACATTTTATCAATGGTGATGTCTTTGGTATCAAAGTCTGGGAAGTAAAAGTAGTGAGTTTTTGTGTTCAGTACCAGTATGACAGGGGTCGCCAGGAAAGCCATTGTAATGCTATTCACTGTCTCCACATCAGTCATCCACAGGAACTGGAAATCCCTACAAAAGAGTTCCAATACGGGGGATCACTCAAATCAATGAAAGACTAATAGTTCAAAGAAATAGCACATAATCAGAAGACTGATTAAGTAAATAAAATGAAATGATGCAAGTTTATAAATACAAAGGAACCAGAATATGTTAGACAATTTTTGTTACTATACCCTTCACTGTTTTTGACATCTCACACACAGACCCAACTCTCGCTTCTTGAAAATTTTGATTCCTATTTAATACTGTAAGTTGTTTTAATTCCTCTGTACAAAAATTTCATGGTTTGTTATAAGGGTGCTAGTCATGATGGTTTTAATTTCATGCTATTGGCATGTGCTTTGTGATGAAATTTTATTGTGAGATCTATAAGCTAGGGATGTCAACAAGTACTTGAGTATCATGTCATACTGACTATTGACTAAATATTTTTTACTTGGTTACTTGTTAGAAATTTGCTACTTTAACATAATCTTAAATTCAAGGTAATAAAATTGCAATCACTGTATTTATTTCTAAATGCATCAGTGTTTTCATGAGTAAACTCATAAGGGTAAAGCTTAGAACTGTTCTTAGTTCATTGTTTTCTGTAAGGAAATATTTGTGCACTGATTTTTGATTGTCAAACATACCTTCAAAATCTGCAGTCTGGACTATTTTAAAAGGTTCCACAATGGAAGGATTGAAAAATGAAAGTAACATGATGCTGAACTGGTGTTTTGTGTCTTAATTAACATCAAATCTATTATTATATCATTTTAAAGGATTAAAGGCAGATATCTGTCAAATTTGTCAAAATCTTAAACTGAAACTTTTTTTGTAAGTTCCCTGCAAAAAAAGCCTATGTGCAGAGCCTGAAAATATAACTGATGCTACGTACACTACCACAAAAATGAACATAATAGATTTTCTACCCTTAAGTGCTGAAAATGGAGAAGACTTTAAAGAATTATTTGGATTCTAGCTTCAAAGAAAGAATTCTGACTTGCAATAAATTAAGATTGCACGTAATCATGTGCATACATATACAAGTAAAGGAAACTGTTGTTTTTTCATGTTTCATATCAATTCACTTCCTGAAATATTGGTTGTTTATACAATATTTCATAAATAATATATATATATATATATCGCAAGCTTTCTATGATTTGATTGGTAAAACATTGAACTTTTTACCAGTTATGAGTTTTTAACTTAGCTGGAACTCGACATGTGTAAATGTTGCCTAACTGGAGAGTAAAAGCGGAAGCATTTGAAAAGCTTTCTTAGATAACATTTGAAATCAAATACACAATATTAAGTCCAAATATTTATTTCTATTAGCTTGCCTGGAATAAATATTGTAATAGTTTGAAAATGACAAAACCTGATACTGACACACACACACACACAGAGAAAATATTTTAATAAATACTTGACCATCGCATCCAACTACTGGTATTTGACTAAGCTGTCCAAGTAAAGCTGACATCCCTACTAATAACCCTATTCACTAATGGCACTATGGGTATATTTTCATAGATTCAAAAAAATGATTTATCGTAAACATAATGAATTTGAAATTAAAAGCACTTGTAATTTCCCAATCAATAATATATACTAGGGTTCAAAATCTTCAAGCAAGTTTGGTGTCTGATCTCACACATGATATTGTTATGCTATGTTTGCACTGAATTTACTCCAATATAACAAAAATTTGAACTAAAACCATGACTAAAGAAAGTTGTTTGATTTAGACATATATATCAGAAAATAAGAGATCCAACAGACCTAGGCGAGGATTTTTTTCTAACCAATCTAAACACAAGCCAGCATCTTGTCACATGTTGGCTTCTTATGATTTTTCTTTCACAAAATAAATAGTTATTTCATACCTCTTTTCCCTTAAATGACCCTAAAGTACACCTTTTATCCTGAAGTAAAGAAACCTTTTATCCAGACAAAAAAAGTTAAATTCTGAAAGATTTCAGCACTTTTACTATTAGGATCTCATCTTAGCCCCAATTTGGGCTAGAACCTTGGACTGGGATAACATATATACCATGTAGTATCTTTTCCTCAATTTTATTCTAGAGCCTTACTTAAAGGGACATACAGAGGTGTAGATTTTTATCCTCTGCAGGTAACATCTTATCTGCAAGATGTTCAGAAGTAATGAAGAAGAATAGAATGGATTTATACATCCCTCTCTTTGTTAGAGCTCTTCAAAAGTTATCTCTCTTTGAATACGAGTTTATTACAAGCTGAGCAATCTACCCCATTCCATCAACCCTAAAACTCCAAGTCTAAATCTTATACACTTCTGGCAAGTGAATTAGTGAATAAACATACCAATTAAGTCATCTAGGGCCTTAAGTCTGCTGAGCTAATTTTGTATCTTTTTAACCTTGACCTTTGGCTTACTGAGTTGAACATCCATGTGTTTTGTTCTTTGCAATGAATATGTTATATGTTTGTTGAAAAGTATCTGTTTTCATGTCACTTATTACATTAAAAGAACTGACCTTTCACCAACTAAATGACCCTAGACATAAATTATACCCCTATTTACTGGCATAAGGACAATAGCAAGTTTATTGTCCCCCAAGACAGCAACTATTTCCCAAGGCACAGCCAAGGGAAATAGTTGCTGTCAAGATGGACAGTAAACTTGGCATTGTCTGAATAGTAAGTAAATAGGTGTTTTATTATACTGCAGCAGATTTTACTTGTGTCATGTCATGATCCATATAAAAAACCAGAAGTGTTCCGAGATGAAACACAAGGGAAATGGAATGCTGCAGGTGAATGGTTCCATGACTATTTCACAATATGCAAATAGCACAAAAACTATTCCAGGCTGTTTAGAAAAAGAGCAGGTTTATTTGTCATATTTTTATAAGGAAAAAATTCACAGAGGTATAATAAAATGGCTTATCCATCTTCTACCTTTAAATATGAAATCTGTATGCTAAAAATACTAAAACATAGGTAATCGGAGATTAGAGAGCTCACCTCAATGAATATTGTCTTTAAGTAAGACAAAGTCCCACATTTAACTAATTATCTGGTAGTGTGCATCCCTAGATGCAACATTTATGCAATTTTTGTCTTATAGGGCTTGCAGAAGTTGCAGTTACTTGGGAATGGTCTTATCTAAAAACTTTAAACTAGTCACTCATCCAGAAAATTCAAGTCAAATCCAGTATCTGAAGCAAGTTTGAGAGTGTTCATCCCTTGATGCATCTTCCATGCAAATTTGGTTCAAATAGGCCTTATAGTTTCTTGGTAATGGACCTGCTCCAAAAACTTTAACTTGGTCACTCATCTGGAAAATGTAGGTCAGATACAGCTTCCAAAGCAAGTCCAGTAGAGTAATTCTTAGATGTATCATCAATGCATGTTTGGTCAATTACTTGGAAATGAGACCCTCTCCAAAAACTTTAACCTGCTCCAAAAAACTTTAACCTATATTGCATTAACCTGGTCATTCTTTAGCTGAAATTGCAGCATCTGAAACCTTGACTGGTACAATGAAACACACTAGAAGCATCCTCCATGCATCTCTGATTAATACTAGTATAGGGCATAGAAGTACTTGAAAAGAAATCTGCTCCAAAAACTTTAACCTGAGATGCCGGCGCTGAGGGTATTACATAAGCTTCCCCCAACTTCGTTGAGGAAAGCTAAAAATTTATGCATATGTCATTCAAAAATGCTGATGGACACATTGATTGCTAGCATTTCTTTCTTTAAAAAGAAATCAAAATTTTACCAACAGTCAAATGGATAGACAAATGACCCAAAAAATAATAACAACAGGGGGTGTAATTTGCAATCATGCTTTCTAAAAAATAATTCAAGTGCTGTGTAGGAGAGTATAAAAATATGCCATGTCTCTCACAACATGTTTTCCTAATTTAATTTTAAGCCCCCTTTTAAATTATGAAGAACAGAGACTTTGAAAATTGCTTTGTGTAAATTTTTTCATGATTTCCTTATTTTCAACCAATGCAGCTGCAAAGTAAGGGGAAGGCAAATTAAACAACAAAGATTGATGAGGGATACATAACCTTGGTCTAGGTTACGTAAAGTTTATCTTCTCTGTGACAATATCTTGACAGAATATCACTACAGTGAATGCTGTAACCGATTTATTTTGACAAAACAATTTACTCCAGTTTCACTTACTCCCTGATGTGACCAATTTTTATTTGAAGGACTAGAATTCTCACCTGTGGAACATTTCTCTGTATTTAACTGCCATCGTCTGGCCAACATCTTTGACCCTATAAAACATTAAAAAAAGTCATTTTATTTCAAAACCAAAATTTTTTAGTGTCTGGTACTTATATTTAAACCTTCTTAGTAAATGTGGTCTGTCAGCAACATTTCTGCAAACCTTTATGAAAAACTTCCTTTATTACATTCTTTAAGAAAGTCTGTTCTCTAAACATGCACTTTATGGAGCCAATATGTGAGTATCTATTTTGTCACAAAATAAGACCATGTCTATCGACATTTCAGTTTGACAGATAACCTAAGAACTACCAACAAATTTCCTGTGTGCATTTGATCCAAACTTTCTGAATAAATCTCATAAGAATAAAAATTTGGCATATTTGACACAATAGTGTGATAAATGACAAGTAGGATTAGTATATTGCAAAAAAAAAAAACCCATCCCATGTAATCCCAAGAGGAAATTTCACATAGAGATTATTATACTGTTATCATGGATTAAATGCCATCCATTCATAACAGAATTATAAATGAACACAGAGCAGTTTTTACAAGAGATAATTGTTAATACGTCAAAAATTTTCTGTGCGTTCAATTTGTCTACAAATGGACAAAAAAAGTTATCTCCATTTCATAAACAAATAATGTTTAACACTCCTTGCATGAAATAATGTAATTCTGAAGGTCAGGAAATCATTGCTTTACCAGGAGACTAAATCATACAGCTCTTTAAAGTATCAGCATCCCTATTTTAGACTATTCAGACAAATTAACAGAGAGAGATGACTCCTAGATGATATATTCTGTTATTGCTTGGCTTTCCAGCCAGACAAGTACGATGTACAAGGTTGCTCAGTGTCTGAAAATAAGTACCTGGGTAACAGATTTTGAGCATGCATAAATCTACTATACTTGCCAAACAATGACAAAAACAATTGATAATGTTTACCAAACATTCAAAAGCTCTCAGAAGGATGCGCAGTTGTACTAGTTATCCCCCTTGACAGACCTCAGACATCGTCAGTAAACAGCAAATCAGACATATTTCTATAGCTTTATCCTTAAGAAAGATGGTGGGACACATGTAAATGTATGTTCCCCATACTAATCTGATCAAAGGGATTTGTTTTCCTTTGAGCTATCAATAGTTACACCTGCAATAATATCTGAGTGCACCTGCCCTAGTCTTTGACATCCTTGATTGCATCTTTGCCATACCAAAACTTTGGAAAAAGAGACTTGGCAAGGGAAGTTTATACATACCTCATATATCAATGCAGATAAATTGTTATGAAAATTGCTGAGACAGAGTAGGCTAATGGAATCAACTGTCATTTTGTGCATTTTTGTTATGTGTAGGACAACACGTTTTCAAAAAAAGAAATTGTAAATCTCGAAGGCAAAATAAAATATCTCCAAAATATATTCAGAGTATGAAACTTGACAGTTCGCCAATGCAGTTTTATTAAAATAGAAGAGGCTCACAGGCTTTCACAGTCACCTCTTATGAGTTTCACAACATTTAACCAACTTTGCTCCACCTGCATTTAGAACTCTTGACTCATATAAAGAATTCTACTATTCTGGTACAAAACACCTTCTTTCTTATCAGTTTTTTCACAAAATGTTCATGAAAGTTTTTAAGATATGAATTTTCATTATATGACCATTATACCTCTATCTTTGGGCCTGAACATCAGCTATTCCAGGGACCTGAATTTCACAGGAGTTGAATGGCTCTCATCATTATGTATCTGCATATGAAATTTCACAAATATATATTGAAAAGTTTCTTTGAAAAAAAGAGCTAAATGCAAAGAGCAAGGTTCACTTAAGGCCCTTTTTGTGTAGTTTTAGTTGACAAAGCATAAAATATCACTTGGACTCTTGGTGACTGCAGATCTCCTGAAAATGACATATGCATTATTAGTATCTTGTATATTTCTTCATATTATGGCCAGAAGATGATGCTGTTTTTCAATATTTTGTATACAGCTCAAATTTGATCCAAAAGTACAATTATACAATGATAGAACTGCTTCTGCAGATTATAAAATAAATTTTATATTTTGAATCAAGGGGTGTGCTCATATTTTAATACTTTACTGAAGGTCCTCAAATACACGTTTTTCAGGAAATTTCAAGAACATTGCAATTTTACACAGTCCATTTTCTAGTAACTGGACACTTAGAGGAAACTTTATTAAGAATAGAAAGGTCAAGGTTATTGAGAGAGTCAAGGTCCAAAAATAATGATGCACTTGTATAGCTTTTACCAATACATATCTGAATATGAAGTTTCATAAATATATCTTGTCAATGAATAGTTTCTTTGAAACAGAGCTAAATGCAAATTTAAACTAGATGCTGTCATGAGACAGTAATACCCGCACTAAGGTGTTTGCCTCTAAATGCACACTCCTTCATATTGGGCATACCAAAGAAAAAGTCCAAATAATTCTATAATTTACACAGTACATGTATTCGTCAAATCGAGCATAAAGGGCTCAGGAGACCATGTGACTTATGAGCCTCTTATAGGTATTTCCTTTACTTAATTCATTACCAGTCTGAAATAACAGAATTTAATTAATGATGTAAAATAGGTTTTGATAAAAGGGGGAATATAAATTTTTGGCCATAATTGAACTTCTAAAATTTATTTTCTCAACAACAAATAATATTACTTTAGTACAAAGCGTTTTTAATGAATTTATCAAAATGTGCAAACTTTTTTTTAGTATTTGATTATTAAAGCAAAAAACTTCTTGAAAAGTCATACCCAATCAATTTTGTCAGCCCCCCCCCCCCCCCCCCCCCCAATACACACACACAATTTGCCTGTTTTTGGAAATAGGCCTAGATGGCAAAGTTATGTTAAAAAATCGTTTGTTATGATAATTTAAAATTTGTTGTTGTACTGTACATGTATGTGAACACCTTTTTGAAAATCTCTACATCACATTGGGCTTTCTTCACCTTACTAGTAGTAGTACTAGTTTTACCATTATCATTTTTAGATTGCACATGGTGCACATCATTACATGTATATCAGTATATCAGTAGGAATTAATTCATTTTGTGTTTTAATTGGATTATATTTCATGAATTTGACAGGACCTATGACAGTCGGTAAGTACAAGTTTAAGTATAGATTGGGGTAAAATAAACTGAAATGCAAATGGTTAGGTTAAAGTTTAGAAAGGATCAAAGATCATCGGATGCCACATTAGAAGAATTTCACATTCTGAAGAGTTATCTCCCGTTGTCGACATTACATTCAGTTACAGCCCCGAATTTCCTGAGAAGCAAAAAAAAAAAAAAAACAAAAACAAAACAAAACAAACAAACAAAAAAAATAGATGCTGTCATAAGACAGTAATACCCGCACTAATGCGTTTGCCTCTAAATGCAGGCACGTAGTATTGGGGGGGGGGGGGGGGGTAGGCAAAGGGGGCCTGCCCCCCCCCCACTTTTTTCGAAACATAACTTTTTACTATTGAAAATGTTCATGAAAGGGTGGTTGCCCCCCCCCCCCCCACTTTTTGTTGTCAACTATTTTATATTTTTTTATAGTCAAATAAAGGTAATGAAGTAGTGTACATGTAAAATTGGGGTACTGAAAGAAGTTGGAATCCACCCCCACCCCAGGAAATAGGATTTTTGAGTTTTGAAAAAAAAAATTTTTTTTTTGGTTTGTCAAGTTTTTTTCAGGTAAGTTGAAATTTTTTTTCTCCTCTGGCTGCCCCCCCCCCACTTTCAAAAACATTGCTACGTCCCTGAAATGTGCTCTGACTGCTTTCCTTCAAATTCTGGTAACCAGGGAAGAAGCACACATTTAAATCAAGCATAAAATGCTCAGGTGAACATGCAGCCCACATGGGCCTCTTATGTAAATCAGGTGAGGATCCAGGAATTTTTTCCAGGGGGATCCAACCCAGAAATTTCTTGACAAGCAAAAAAAAAAAAACCAAAAAAAAAACAACACTTAAACTCCTCCCCCAAATGTGAAAACCTATTTCATGGTGGTGGTGGTGGTGGGGGGGGGGGGGGGGGGGAGAGGGGGGTTTGGCTGCTCACTTTTTAAGCTTCATCTGTATAACTTTTCGTACTAACTTAACAGGGGGGGTCCGTGTTTTCGGGGGGGGGGGGGGGGGGGGGGTTCAAGGTCACTTTTAGTTGCTTTCGTATATAGATATAGGTTCTGGACCCCCCTCCCCCCCTCTAGATCCGCACATGTAAATATTTCATTACCAGTCTGATATTACCTAATAATGTAAATTCTGATAAAGAGAGGATTTTTGAAAGATTTGTGTAAAAAAAAAAAAGGGGGTGGTTAATTTTCTACCCATAATTGGAACTTCTTGAATTTATTGTCAAAACAACAAATATTATTATTTTAGTGCATAGATTTTTTGATGAACTTAAAAAAAATTAGATGCCAAAATGACAACTTGTGCAAATTTTTATCAGTATTTGGGTAGGACTCGGAGAACCCCTTTCCAAATTTGACCCAATCAACTTTCTCAAAAATCAATCCCCACCCACGATTCACCCGTTTTCCTGTCATATTTAGAATAGATAACACAGACTTATGAAAAAAAAATTGTATGTAATTATAATATAAATTTTACAAATGTACACCTTTTTGGAAAATTTCTAGACTCATGCGTGGAATTACATCACACTGCGAGCACTACTTTTACCATTATCATTATTGTTTTGCACATGGTGTATGTACATCACTATTACCACTGGAATTATTAATATTTAGTGTGTGTTTTCAATGGATTTATTATTCTATCAAGTTAACAGTACCTATAACAGGCAGTAAGTACATTATGAATATATTATTTTAAACGTTTATTACAGAATAGGGTTTGTTTGTTGTTTAATGTCCTTCTCAAGAATTTTTCACTCATATGGAGACGCCATCACTTGGGGCTGCAAATTTTAACCTAGGGTTAGGGCCATTGAACAGTGAGGGATCTTTTTTTGTGCCAACAACTACTGCAACATGGGACCTCGGTCTATATAGTCTCATCCG